CCCTTGTAGGTCCTAATAGATGTTAAGCGTTTAACAGCAACAACAACAATCCCACTATAGTATAAAATATAGCTAATGTGTCTAATGTACTTAATAACTACTAGTACTTTATATATTATCGCAGATCTACTCCAGCTTATTCACGATACAACAGACCCTTTATAGAACAGCAACGCAAGCATACGTGTTCGCCCACAGCCCAGTGCAGTCGGACCGGGCCGCGGGGTTCCAACTGATAAACTGGGCGGTGGTGATGCGGTACTGGCTGGCAATGGTCGCGCACGAGTCACCTGCAACAACCCTGTGGAAGGTCTTGCAGTTTCTAGTCATGCCGTCCTGTATGGGGCTCGGGGTTGAGATGCCATTTCCTGGGTTGGTGGGCGTCGGGGTGTGTCCGATGATGGAGACGCAGATGTAGGTGTTGGCCCATAGGCCGTTGCAGGCCGTACCACCAACGCTGTTCCAGGACGCCAGTTGGGCAACGCTGATACCGTTTTTGGAAGCGATGCTGTCGCAGCTGTCGCCGGTGACGATTCTGTAGAAGGCGTCGCAGTTGGAGACCATGCCGGGCTGGGTAGGTGACGGCGTGGCAATCCCATTGCCTGGGTTGGTAGGTGTCGGCGTGTGGCCGATGATCGATACACAGACATAGGCGTTCGCCCAGAGGCCGCTGCAACCCGTCCCGACATTGTTCCACGATGAGAGCTGGGCAACAGTAATGCCGTTCTTTGAGGCGATATTGTCACAGCTATCACCTGTAACAACCTTGTAGAAGGCGTCGCAGTTTGAGACCATGCCAGGCTGAGTAGGTGACGGCGTGGCAATTCCATTGCCCGGGTTGGTGGGTGTTGGGGTATGGCCAACGATAGATACGCAGACATAGGCGTCGGCCCAGAGACCGTTGCACGCCGTCCCTACGTTGTTCCATGAGGAGAGCTGGGCGGCAGTGATGCCGTTCTTGGCGGCAATGCTGTCACAGCTATCACCCGTAACAACCTTGTAGAAGGCATCGCAGTTTGAAACCATGCCAGGCTGTGTGGGCGAGGGCGTGGCAATACCGTTACCCGGGTTAGTGGGCGTTGGTGTGTGGCCGATGACCGACACGCAGACATAGGCGTCGGCCCAGAGGCCGTTGCACGCCGTGCCGCCAATGTTGGTGTTCCATGAGCGGAATTGCTCAACCGAGATGCCGTTCTTGGCGGCGATGCTGTCGCACGAGTCCCCTGTGACCACCTTGTAGAAGGCGTCGCAGTTGTCTACCATACCGGGTTGGGTAGGGCTCGGCGTCTCGATGCCGCTGAGGTATGGGTTAGGAAATGATAAGTCAGAGCCAGATATTCGAGTATGGCAGACTTACTTAGTTGGCTTTGTCGAGGTAGGAGTGGTCGAGGTCGAGGTTGAAGTCGAGGTGCTAGTTGTAGCGGTGCTGGTTGTCGTCCTCACGGTACTGCTGCTGCTCGACGAGCTGGTGCTGGAACTTCTCGTGCTGGGAGTCCCGGTGGAGGTAGAGGTAGTAGGCTTGGCCGTAGTGGACACCGGAGGCTCGCCTCTAGCTTCCACGCCTACAAAGAGCATTATGGTTAGAGCTGGGTTACAAAAAAGACCGACGTCTTTGGGATCAGGGATATCTCTCACAAAAAGACATGGATGTCTTGTATGCGCTACAGCCAGCAGCTAGAGACGGGTTCTAAGAAGCGTGTCAGACCTGTAAAACAACCAAGACTGGTGAAGATCATGATACGCAGCAACTCACCCATCGCACAAAGTCGTCCCAGGTGAAGCCCCAGGCATCTGGCATCTCCTCGCAGGAGATGGAGCCATCATTGTCCCACCACCACGAACAGTATGGCGTGGTGTCCGGGTACACAGGATAATTGGGCACGGCATCTCTAATCCTCGCCCCAGATGGTGCTGCGAGAACAGAGCCCAGGTTGCTGAGAGCAGCCAGAAGAATGAAGTATTGAACAGCCATCCTTGCGAACGCAGAGTGTGGGAAATTGAGAGCTGGAGGTGCACGGCTGTCAAGGAAGAGAAGAGTCTTCCTCCCATATTGTCCATGGTTATATACCCCGAGCTCTGGCGGGGAGTCGAGATCATTAGTCTCGAGCCCCCCCAGGTGACTGGCGGATTGGGAATTTGGGATGCTCTACCATAGACTGGATCTAAACGGGGTCGCTCGGTTCGCTGCCTACGAGCCCCGGGCTGTTTGCTGTGACGCTCATGCAGAGGATGTTGTTCCGGATCCCACTACATAGTATCAACTGGAGTTAGGTACATTGAGTATCGGTGAAATGTCCCGCTGTTGGCCCCCATACTACGCTGACGCCGAGACGTACCCATGAGCAATGGTGTCGTTTTTGCGCCGCAAGACAAATTAATTAGACCTGACTCTCAAGCTTCTCCGGTGTATGCCTTCACAGCTATTCCATAAGTACTAGACTGTGCTCTGCACTCAATCTCCCAATGTGGCTGAAGCTTCCCACCTGTATGCAACCTAGGTAGGTACTAGGTAGATACCAGTAGCACCCCGGCCCTGGAGCCGCATCTTCCCGGCGGATTCAACTACTGTACAGTAGTACACATGTGCCCTGCACCAACATCGACACGGATACGGAGTACTAGTAGGTACAGTTGACACGGGAAAGCAACCATCAGCACTAGATACAATGGGGGCTACAAGACGGTACCTTATACACAGTACCTAGGTGAGTAAGCTGAACTGCTCCAACCACCATGTTCCTTTTGCCCAATGGGAGACTTGCCGCGAGGGAAGTCTGTTGGCTCTGGGGTAATAACCAGCTTCAAGGGGGATTTCATATCCGCCTGCATGGCATAGTGCAGTCATTCTCAGATGTCTGGTTGCAGGTGCTAGAAAGAGGCTAGACAAGTCGTGTTGCTGATTGTATAATAAATAAAGAGTGACTCATTTATGCAGAGTACTGTATTGTACAGTACATACACTACTCTGTCCACTTAGGTAATTAGGAGACGCGTACTATACTGTATGTACTGTATGTACACCGAGAGCGTACACGTATATACATAACGTAGTGTTACATAGGCACATACGTAGATTCAGTACAATGGCACGGGGGCTAGGCATCTAACGCAAGCAGCCATTTAGCATACCGAGGCGATTCCGGTCCGCGGCTCCGTCTTACATTCATTCGTGTACTGCAAAGTAGGTACGGATACCTTACATATTACTAGTACCAATTCAAAGCACTGTGCGTAGAAAGGTAACGTACTGTACACACATCGTTTCTTGCCTACGTACCTATTGCCAAGCTTGCCTATTGCAACAGCGACCCAGCTAGGTACACTACCTTCCTACTCCGTATCAACAGCAGGGAATTCTCCACCATACCACATGTACGCGTCTTCGCGTCGACAACGCTTTGTGCAGGGCTAGTTCCATGTGCCATGGCGGCCGAGGTTATGGATTGGCATAGCCCGCCAGGCCACACCTTCCGGTGCAGTGGCGGAACATCAGGACCGGCTCGAAGCGGGGCATCACAGCCAGCTGCTTTTGGACCCACGGGTGCCCCTTGTCAAGCTGTCGGCGACTCCAGTCGAAGCGCAGCTCTCTCGGTTGATCGAGGTCCGACCAGATCTTTGCGTGAGTATCCTCGGGGACGCGGAGCTCGTTACACTTGTGCCACATCCATTTCTTTTCCAACTCTTGGCGCCACTGCTCGACGCGCGCGCAGTAGTCGTCAGCCGCGTCCGTGACGCGGGAGAAGAACTCGGCGACGTCTGGCTCCTCCACGGACGCCCGGCCGCATCTCCAAGCATCTCGGAATCTAGCGACTGTTGCCGTGTCCCTCGGATCGACTAGCCGGATAGGTTCCTCGCCCAGAGTGCCAAACACGCCGGCGTGGGCGGCTTCCTCTGCCGAGATGTGAATCTCGACGATGGCCAACACGACGTAGTAGAGAACGTGGGGGTCAAAGTACTTGGCGTCTTTGGAGCCTATTACCGAGGCGAGGGAATAATTCTTGTCCCCGTCGGGGTCAAATCGATGCAACAGCTCGGCACTGACGGACGCCGCGGCGGCTTGGCTAGCTAGCCACTGGAGAGATGGCAACGGGTTTGGCGGGGGCCCGAGCCAGTCGTGGTGGTCGTAGTCTCCGTGCCAATGGAGGTGCACAATGTCGAAGCCTTTACGGAAGCGGACTGGCAAGTTTGCGTTCCAGGCGGTCCACGGCGGGTACGGCACGCCGTGCTCGTCCGTCTGGCCCTCCTCGCCCGTCACGTACATGTACCGATGCCGATGCCGATTCAGCGCAACGTCGCGGGCCTCGCGACACACGCGAGAAATGACAGGCCACAGACCAGACTTTGACGACCAGAGCTCTCGCGGCCTGGCTTCGCCGTCTGGAAAGGTGCTATGGAAGTCTGACAGCGGGTAGTCCATCTCGTACACGCGGGGGCCGGGGACGCAGAACGACCAGATCTTGACTCGCAGCTCCATCGGCAGATCTCGAAACTTTGGAAATTCGGTTGCCATCATCGTGGCTGGCGTAGCTGGCGTGGCTGTTGTTGTTGGTCTGCTATTGTTGTTTTGTAATCCGGTGGCTATTGCCAGATGTTGGCTGGTACTGTATGTCATCAGTTAGTAGGGTAAGGTACTGTACTGGACTGGACTGTACTGTACAATACCTTACCTATCGAACCTGGATCGGCACTTCGCCACAAACATTACCTAGGTTACAATACAATACCAACCTGGGCACAATACAATACCTTAGGTACTGTACAGTACAGTACCTAAGTAGGCTCGTTACCTTAGGCTTACACTAAAGAGATCAATGCTTGTGAGCATTTGTGAGGTAATACTTAAGGTAGACAAGCCAGCAAATGCATCAATTGGCTACTGGTAGTTGTCTATTGAAAGCAGGACTGCCGAGCCTCGTCATCAACAAGTGCCGAGTGGAAATTGAATCTTCATCGAGAACCCTTGAAGAGCGGCGATGGCTTTTGCATGCCGGTCGGGTGACTGATTTCCCTTCTGTCTCAAATAGACGGTGAATAACCAATTGTTGAGAGTGTCCCAGAATCCATCCCAGGCAGCGGCGAGCCTTGCATTGGCTCGGACCGTTTCCTCGAAATCAATCTCGTCGTATGTGGTTCCGTCCGGTAACGTCGGCTTTGGGTTCCTGAACTTGAGATCGAAGCCGCGCACAATGTAGTTCCCTTCGACCAACTGTCGGCAGAGCCAACGTTAGCACACACGAATACCCTGAAGTTTGCTTTAGATTGTCCGGAGATCACAGGGCATGAACTGACCCAATTCCTGAGCTCTTTGATGAGGCCATCTTCCATATCGGCCTCTCTCATTCTTATACAGACATCTAGCGACTCTCCAGCGTAGGCCAGGAACCTTTCGATGACTGCCGAGTTTCCGTTAAGCCGCCTTGCTCGCTGAACCGCTTCGATGCTGTTGCCCAGCACGGCTTCGAGGCCCGGCGGGTTGCCCCTGAGTCTGGGGTTCGTCTCCAAGTTGTAGACGCCAGGATAAAGCTTAAGAAAATCAAAATTCGAGCGGTACCCGGCGGCTTTCAACTTCTCGGCCGTCTGCACGGTAGGAAGCTCTCGGGCGTTGTCTGGCACCTGTGGTAAGTCACCGCCACCGCCCGGGCAGTTATTGACGTTAGCCTCCATCATTGCAGGAACCTGATAGTTGAGGGAGAAAGAGAGATGGTTCTCACATCAACAACGCCCGCAAAGCCCGGATTGTTTCTTGTCATCTCTATGTTCTTGATGAACTCGTTAAGGGTGCAGCGCCTCCGCGGGACCGTGTTTTGGTTACAGTCTCGGGCTGTCACAGTGTTCCCGGGACCGAAGGCTTCTAGTTCGATCTGGTAGGCGTTCCATAAGAACATGACTACATTGGGGTAGCAAGGCTGTCAACTTTCCACTCCAACACGCCGTTGGCGCCAACTTTCTACTCACTTTGATAGGGTGCCGCTCTTACAGAGGCCTCGACACCAGCCGTGAGGCTGGCCATCAGGAAGGTGATGGCGAGTGTGAGTCTCATGTCGAACGGGGAAGCCGCACATGGACAGAACAAGACAGAACAAGACAGACGCGACGAGACGGATGGGAAGAGGAGCAATCTCCGAGGTCTGCTGTGACCGAGGGAGGAGATAGAGAAAGAGAGTGGCCCTAAAGGGGCCTTGGTGGAAGAACCCCTGGATACTTGGAGCAAGTCGGAGGTACGTACCTAAGGTAGATACCTAGCTCAGGTAGGTAAGGTAGGTAGCCAGACATGGAGTGAGACCAAAGGGACATGGATCCTAGAGATGGAAAAGCCATAAATGGAATCTAGCCGGAGCATATGGATTCACGTCACCTCCAGTCAGCAGGATCACCTCACAGGCTCACATTGGCGTTATACATAAGGTAAGGTACCAGGTAAGTACCTAGTAATGAAGCCAGCTAGTACGAGGTATAAGTTCCCATTCAAGTCTCCATACTTACAACGGTCAAGCGATTACAAGGCCAAAAACGGAATACTGCAGCCTTGCTCATGTAGGTACAAACGAATTGAATCCTACCCAAACAAAAGGGTTTTAATGCCTCGCTAGCCGCCTCACAGGGCTGGTCATACGCCAAGACAGCCCCCATGTGGTATTTCAGCCCGTACTTGGGTAGCAGCAACTCCAACCCACAACCAACTGTGTAATAGTTCTGCCAGTGCCAACCTCAACGTTGCATGGATCCATTAGGTACCTATCTACCACCTACCTAGGTAGGTTTTAGTATTCAACTTGAGCGAGTAAGCCATTGACATTGATGTCAGCATGCTGGCAACACGCGGGCTTGGGATGATGCCAAGTCTGGAACCAGAATGACCCCTAATGTGTTGTTGACATTAATGATTCCCTCGCTTGCATCCAACATGCATATCAACGTGGTAATGGCTGTCAGCAATACTGCAATAGTGGCTTAGAGCCCCCCCCTCTCCCTGCTTGGTAGGAAAGGTACAGTACCTATTATGTAACCTTATGCAAGGAACAAGTTCTTCAGGGTCTGTAGGTTGGAGTTTCTGTTCAATGGTCACCCGGGCAAAAGCAATCTCAAGGGTGCGGCTTATCGGCACAAAGCTGTGTCTAGTTCCGGGGGACGGGATTTCGGGGGACGGGAGGCCGTGAAACGGTCTTGCCCTGTCGATTGCTTGGAGTTGGACCAGCAATGTGGCTTTTGGGGGCTACGTCGAAGGGATCATCTCATTTCATGTTGTTCCGCCCCTCGGAGGCCGGGGTTTTCTCATTCAGTTTGCTGCAGGCCATGATGCGGTAGGTAAGCACGGGCAGTAAGTACTAAGTACCTACCTACCTCGGTAGCAAAGACCCAATGTCCATGCTTACATATGATGTGTAGGTATTTCCGTTTCCAAGGAGAGGATCCTCTCTCGCGCAGTCATGGAAAGAACCACCTGACCTTCTTCTCTCGTTCTTCTCCAGTCCATACTCCTGAGGACCGCTGGCTTGCACTCTCGTGACGCCCCTGCCCTTTGCTTTGTGCAACATGGGATACGATCTCTGGGGGGCGGTAGTTGTGTCTTTGGCGTTTACGCCAACGTCACTGGCTGACTTGTTCTGGTCCGGCTACGAAAATTGCCCGCTGCCATGTCACGTCGTTGGCCATAATCCCAGCAACTGGACACAATATCACACCGTCAGCGACCTTGACTGGTGCCGGGAACAGTTGCTGTTCGACTTGGGGCTGCACAACCCGCTCGACGAGCCCGGAAACAGTCATATCACCATCCGGTCTTGCGCCGTGACTGACGCTAGTCACACCGAGACTCCGAGTCGCAGTCTGGTCTCCCTACTGGGCGGACAGGAGGTCTGGGCCATTAACAACACCGAGTCAGCGAGTCACCGCAACTCTTCACAAACCGCCGCATGTGGAAGCTCGTTATCTGCACTGGAGCGTAGCTCGGTCAATGTCCGCATCGCCTGGGGAGGTCCCCCCGATAACACAGACGCGCGGGACACGGCGGCAGCGACCGAGAATTTGATGCGCTACCTCGAGGCGGAGCCCAACTGCGCATCTACCATTGTGTTTGCCAAGGCGGGCCAAGCTGTGGTCGGGCTGTACGTTGGTTCCCAAATCGAAAAGGCCGGCGCCGCCAGCATCGTGAAGGATGCCTTCGCGGCCAGAACCAGCGCCGGCAAGGTGCCCATCCGCGTCGGTGCTCAGATCTGCGGGCCAGAGCCTTACAGGGCCCAGACCTTTGGCATCTACGCAGACAACAAGGGCAACATTTCGGCGGTGCAGGCCGTCGTCCGGGACTGGAGCACGGGCATCTGCTTCTCGGAATTTGACCAGGAGGAGGTGCTGGAGGGCACGGCCGTCGGCACCTTGTCTGCCATTATGGACGAGACAAGCGTCACGGTCAACAGCCCGGACAGCAATGGCGAACATGAACGCAAGAGGGAGCCTCAGAAGCTCCATAGTCGAGCCACATGCAGCTACGCTCAGCCAGACCCCGGCGACGGCTGCTGGGCACTCACGCAAAAGTGCAAAATCTCGCAGGCCGACCTCATCAGGTACAACGGGGGCAAGTCGGACTTCTGCAGCACCCTCAAATCTGGCCAATACGTGTGTTGCGGGCCGGGCACCCTGCCCGACTTCTCGCCGCAGCCCAACCCAGACGGGTCGTGCAAGAGTTACACGGTCAAGGCCGATGACACGTGCGCCACCATCGCCGCGGCAAACCAGATTTCAAACTACACCAAGCTTGAGGAGGTCAACAAGCAGACGTGGGGCTTTGCAGGCTGCCGCTACATCCAGCCCGGCCAGTACATCTGCCTCAGCAGCGGCGATCCGCCCATGCCCGCCCCCGTTACCGACGCTGTCTGCGGACCCCAGGTGCGCGGGACCGTGAGACCGACCAACGGGACCAAGCTCGCCGACCTGAACCCGTGTCCCCTCAACGTGTGCTGCAACATCTGGGGCAACTGCGGGCTCAGCAGCGACTTTTGCGTCTATGCCCCGGCCGACACGGGGGCGCCGGGAACGTCCAAACCCGAGATCCACGGGTGTGTCTCCAACTGCGGCATGGACATTGTCCATTCGCCCAACAAGCCCCAAGAGTTCCGCATCGTGGGCTACTTTGAGTCCTGGAACAAGCAGAGACCGTGCCTGAACATGGACGTTTCCAAACTCGTGCACCCCGAGGTCAAACCCCCCGCCGCGGCTCATGCCAGGTACACTCACATCCACTTCGCCTTCCCGGACATCACGCCCCAGTTCACGGTCGATGTCAGCAAGGTCCAGGACCAGTTTGACAGCTTCAAGACACTGTCGGGCTTAAAGAAGATTGTGTCGTTTGGCGGATGGGACTTTAGCAACTACAAAGACTCGTACGCCATCTTCCGCACCATGGTGGCCACCGAGGTGAACAGGCAGAAGGCGGCGCGGAATGTCATCCGCTTTCTGACCGAGCACAATCTTGATGGCCTGGATTTTGACTGGGAATACCCCGGGGTGAGTTGCCACAAGAGCATTGACGTCTCCTTGGTACTATTACATGACAAGTACTAACCCGGGGACTGCAGGCTACCGACATTCCTGGAACGCCAGAAGGCTCGCCTGATGAGGGAGCAAACTATCTCAAGTTCCTGAGGACGGTGCGCAACTCGCTGCCCGCGGGCAAGACCTTGTCCATCGCCGCGCCCAGCTCGTTCTGGTACCTCAAGAACTTCCCCATCAAGGACATATCCGAGATCCTCGACTACATCATCTACATGACGTACGACCTGCATGGCCAATGGGACGCCGACAACAAGTGGGCGAGTCCCGGGTGTCCGACGGGCAACTGCCTGCGCCACCACACCAACAAGACCGAGGTCGAACTGTCGCTCGCCCTCATCACCAAGGCCGGCGTGCCGTCGCACAAGGTGGTCGTCGGCATGCCGCTCTACGGCCGCAGCTTCAAGATGGCCGAAAAGGGGTGCACGGGACCGGACTGCCTCTTCCTCGGCGACCGTTTCAACTCGCAAGCGGCCAAGGGTGCATGCACAGACACGGCCGGCTACATCTCCAACGTCGAGATCCGGGACGTTATCAACAGCAACGCCCACTCAGATTTGTACGGCGAGCGCATGGTCCGGGAGATTGCCGACGAGGCAGGCGACATCGTCGTCTACGACGACACCGAGTGGGTGTCGTGGATGAAGCCCTCCACCTACCTCACACGCGCCGGTGACTACGAAAAAGGCAACTTTGGCGGCACGTCAGACTGGGCCATTGACCTCAACTTTGACTTTGGCAAAGACGGCCGTGACGACAAGCCGTACGACGAGGACGCCGAGAGCCAAGAGCCGACGTGCGACTACGACCGCACCTTCAACGACCTCGAGGACCTCAAGAACAACGCCGGCGGGTTGAGTTTGTACTGTAGGCAGATATACGCCTTGCAGGTGCTGGAGAAGATGTTGGGCAATCTGTATGCCGAGTATAACAGCGTCAACAATGGCTACGACTCCAAGTTTGCGGCCTATGTTCGCTACATCAATCGCATCACGCCCTATGCCATTAACGATTTCATGACGAACAAGGATGGACTGAAATGTAAGTATCTGCACCCCTTGTACACCTTGCTCTCCTCGTAGTACATGTACTAACTACTAGTACCACTAGACTTCAACTGCGTCAAGGATCCCCCAATTGGGCCCTCGAAATCGGGGCAGTGCTTTGATTTCAGCGAGGCCGAGCGCAACGAAGGGACATTTGACATGACAATTACATTGCGAGACCGCGAGGGCTTCTTCACGGACCTGCTCAGCAAGACGGGCGTGGCCGAGGAGTGGATCAACTTCAACGGCCACGAGCGAGACCTTGTCTACTGCAGCGCGCCGGCACAGGGCTCGCACATGTGCAGCCCGGCCTCGGGGCTGCGCGACTGGTACGGGTGGCCGCAAAAGAACGACCACATTGACGTGCCCAACCCCAAGGACATCATCACCAAGACGTTGGGCAATATCGCCGATCTCCGGCTCAGCCTCGTCACGACGAAATGGGAGATCATGATGGGCGGCTGGAACGGCGACGTCGACGACGTGCTCCAGGTCATGTCGGTGCCCATCTTCATGCTGGCCGAGGCCGTCGAGGGCATGAAGCAGGCAAAAGAGATGGGCGAGGACGAGGAGAAGTGGGAGGATGAGCAGGCGCGCAACAAGGCCAAGCAGCTGATTCTGACCATCATCGGCGCCGTGCTCTTCGTCGTGCCCTTTGTCGGCGAGGTCGGCGCCGTGCTTGCCGGCGCCAGCACCCTGGCCCGGTTTGCTCTTATCGCGGGCGAGACGGCCAACCTGGCCTTTGGCATTTACGAGATGGTTGACAACCCCGATTCGGCCATCATGGGCGTCTTGGGCATGATGTTTGGGCTCGGCAGCATTGCCAAGGTTCCCAAGACCCCCCAGGGGTTCAAGGAAATGGCTGGTGTGCGGGCGGGCTTGAGAAATAATGGCGGCGTCAGCAAAATTGGAGGCAATTTCCAAAAGTGGGACGACCAGCTCCAGGACATTATTAAGTTCTGTCGGACTTGATGGCCAGTGCTCTCCATTAACACCTACATAACAGTACCTTATGTATGTGATATATAGGTGGTAGGCATCATCAAATCCAACCTCGGTCTTGCAACCGAGGATGACATCAATGACAACAGCTTGAGGCCGTGGACATAGTAGCACATGTCATATTGACAGTGGTGCCCAGCGGCATGTAGACTTTAGCATGCTTCGGCATCTTGAGAGACTACAGTTGTCTAGCTGACCTAGGTAGTAGATATAGGTACCTACCTGTACCTATCGTGTCTTTGCTACAATACAGGCCGTGTTCTACTAGTATACCATATCATTTGTTCCAGAGAGCCCCGACAGGACAGGTGACGGTGCACCTAGGTGAGTCAAGCACACTCCGTGCTTGCGCCCAGAGTACCGCAAATAGGGGCACTCTCCATAGCAATGAGCTCATGTAACGTCTAACCCCACAGCTTGTCATTCACCTTGAAGCGGAAAATAAGGAGCAAGACAAAGCACCCCGCAACAAGACACAAGATGTAAGCGTTGCTCATGGACGCCACGACGGTATCGACGACGCGCTCTTGCATGTCAGCCGGCATGTCGCGCAGCAGGCGGCTGTTGGGCTCCGAGATGATGGTGTTGATCTCGTCCAGGGAAAAGTCGGGCAGCAGGGCGCCCAGCGCGGCATGGGCTCTGTTAAGAAAGACGGCGTTGGCGATGCCCAGGGAGATGGTGGGCCCGCCGAGCTGCGCAAAGGCCTGCCAGCCCGTGCTGCGGCCTATGTCAAGCGGCGTGTTGACCTTGATGGAGGCAACGGCAAACGTGAGCTGGGTGGCGGCGCCCGAGCCTAGGCCTAGCAAAACCTGGTAGCCGTAGATGTTGGCGAGCGGCGTGTACTGGTTCGCCGTGTAGAGCAGCGCGGCGCCGGGGATGCAGAGCACGCCGGCAAAGATAAACCAGGGAACATAGTAACCCGTCTTGCCCACGGCCCAACCCGCAACAATGGCAATGACGCTCTGGAACACGACGTAAGGGAGGATGCGCACCCCGGCGAGAATGGGGCTGTCGGCCTTGACGAACTGGAAGTAGAGCGGCAGGAAATAGACGGGGACGAAGACGCACGTGGCGCAGCAGGCCACTTCGAGGAAGAGAACCACCATAGTGGCCGACCGGAGGAAGTGCATGGGGAAGATGCGCGTTTGTACCGTGGTGAGCAAAGCAAATTGCTGCTGGAGAAGAAACACGCAGAGGAGCACGAATGCGACGGCAAAAAGGGCAATGACCTGCCCCGAGTTCCACGCGTACTCGACACCTCCAAAGGAAATGGCCATGACGATGCTGACAATGAGGCCTGCCACAAAGAGGTTGCCCAGCACGTCCAGCCCGCTCGTCCGTTCCTTTATGCTTTGGCCGGGATTTGGGTTGAGAGCGGGCAGCAGGAAGATGTAGACCGGAGCGCAGACGCCGCCGACAACCAGATTACTACCCCGTCATCAGACTCTAGTAAGCTTCCACTACTATTGACCCCTGAAAAGACTGGCCTTGATCAACACTGGGTTTGACTCACAAGTAGAAAGCCCAGCGCCACGTTGCGCTGCTCTCAGCAAAGGCGCCGCCAATGATAGGGCCCAGCACCGTCCCAGCCCCGAAAGTAATGCCAACAAGGTTTAGGTACAACGGGCGCTCCCGTTCCGTCGTCATCTTGGTCAAAATAGCCATGGAGCCAAAGTACATTCCCGCGCCGCCCATACCGCAGATGGCACGCCCAACGATGAGCGCGTCCATGGTGGGCGCGGCGCCGGCCACGGCACAGCCGACGGAAAACACGACAAAGGAGACACAAAAGGTCCATTTGGCGCTGAACCGCGCGTACATGTCGCCCCAGAAGAAGTTGGTGCCCCAGCACGCCGCGAGAAAGGCCACGCCGAGCCAGGCCAGCTTGTCGAGCGAGTCGAACTGCCGGATCACGGCCGGCTGGATGTTGGCCGCGATGGTGTTGTCGGTGGCGAACAGGAAGTTGGCCATGAGCACGCTCGCGACGATCAAAAGCCAGACAAAGCCGTGGGCTGTTCGGGGAGGAGGAGAAGGCGCTGGCGACGACGACTCGTCCTTGGGCTCTTCGCTGCTGCCAGTGCTGGGGATAACCCCCCTTTCCGTGTCGGCATTATCGGGCAGTGTACATGTACCCATTTCCGATGGCGCTGTCTCTTTCTCTGCCAGTGTAGCCATTGCTGAGGGAGGAGGTAATAGATGTCAGGTCACTTCGTTCCAGTCCCAGGGCCCTGTAGTGATGCCGGTACGTCAACTCCAGTCGGGGAATCGAGGGCAGCAGAAGAGCTTCAGCCAATGCAGGTCTCGCTTATGTTCTTGAGCTGCTGTGACAAGGCGGACGGTTGTTGTCTTCATCTATCTTCGGCTTCAGGCCGTGTTCGAGGCCGGATTTGGGCATGCTTATAGCACAGGATTCCATGAAAGTGTAATTTCTAGGGAATTCTCTGCACGACTATGTTGGCTAGGTCATGTTTGTAAGCAAACCCGAGTGTAATTTGCTGGCGCGGATTGTCGGCCGAGAAATGTCGGTGGAAAGAGCTGCTACACTTTTGCCGCGTCAAACGCAATATCACAGCCAGGCAATCGGGTCTCGAGGAACAATATCATTGTCTAGGACAGAGTGGATATATTGTTCAAATACACGGAATCAAGCAGACACATCGTCTTTTGCAACATATCGTACTTACATGTAGGTGAAGTACCAGTGGTCGAGAAGTTTGTTGACACTTGATACCCGAAAAGGGGTAAACGTAGGTGAGGTACCTAGGTACCTAGTAGATATGAGGAACCTCACCCTGAGTCCATGAAAATCTCCCTCGGCATTGACGCCATTACAAATGCGTAAATGAAGGCATCTCCAATCCGGGACTGGTGCTTCCAGCAGTGTTCACCTGGCCATGAGCCGCTTGGAAGACTTAAGAGATAGCCAAGCCGTGATTACACGTGCAGTCGACTCGCTCAGTCTCAAAGACGTCCTAACGCCGAAGCATGTGCTCCACAGATGCTACCGACTGCATGTCAATGTCTCCTCGGACAGCCTGATGACAAATCATGGGAAATCAACAAAGAGTCAGTCAGTAATAGCTACTACCTGCCCGATGGCCCAGTTCGAGGTTCGTAGTGGGGCTGTAGATTGACGGCCGACATTTGTCGGCCATCGGGAAATGCCAAGCTGCCGAGTCCCATACCGGCGCAAAGGTGGGCATGGGCAGTAAGGATACAAGCAGCCGTGGGTCACGCTCAGTTGACAGAATTGCATCCCGAGGTACATGCATAAAGCAACCAAAGCATTGACTCATGTGCTGTATATGCGGATGGGCGATTCCATGCTGGTGCCCTAGACAGACCAAAGCTCTTCACAATCGAACTACTAGTATGTGCTGCTCCAGTATTGGTGCCCACTGACCGGTTGGCCAACCCGGTATGTATGTACCACATGTACACTCATGGGAGACAGTTTCATCGTACATGGTAGCCAGATGCCCCCTTCTGGCAAGATCCGCCTCTTCAACCTACACCCCAAAACTGTCCGTCAGGTCTCCCAGAAGGTCAGCCCATCCCGAACCAACTCCGCTGTAACAGCCTCCGTCAAAGGGGAAGTCTAGCTCCGTCCCTTCTTCTCCTCCTTCTGTCGAAACAACACAATCTCGCATGGGGCCCAAACGCCAGCCGGCTGGGCCTGTACCTGTAGATATCGAAGCGACACCAGCACCCACGTCCGTGCCAGCCGCACCACCATCAACATTCTCAAATTCCGGATGCTGGTAAGCGGGTTGGTGAGCCAGGCTGAGCGTTGTCGGGCTATCTGCATCGAATCTGCTAATAAGCCGGGCGATAGTTCGTGCCCCGATTTCGGCCACTTCGCTGACCTCCGCGAGATTTTCCAGGGTGCTCAGCGCATCCCGGGCAGCCTGTACACATTCGTCCCGTGTCACCTTGGCAATGCGGGCTTCGAGCGGGTTCGAGCTGCCGTGCTGCGGCGGCGCCGGGCAGCCATGCTGGATCGTGATGCCTGGGAAGTCGCGGTCCGCGCACAGACAAAGCAACGGTACGGCAGCTTCAAATATGGGCACAATGATGCCCGAGAATTGCGTGAGGGAGCCGCAAGTCATCAGACCATGCAGCGCCTTGGCGCACTGCAGCAGGCTGAGCGCGGCGGCCGCGAGCGCTCTCTTGCCGTGCGCCAGCATGACCTGCTTGTAAAGGGGAAGGGGGGCCGCCATCTGGTCAGGCTGCTGGAGCAGCGTTGGCCTGAAGTTCCAGCAGAGTTGCTCGAAGATGGCTATGTGCAGCAGTTGCCGCTGCATAGGAAGCGCGGGAAGACGCTCGTCCCATTGTCGGTCTGGCTCTAGGGCGAACGCTGGCGGGAGATCTTGAAGGAAGGAGCTGCAGAACTGCTCATATCGTTCTTCTGCGGCCATCATGTCCCATTCGGGACCTCGGGGTAGCCGGTTGCAGCGCCAGAACTGCGCGAGCCGAGCTCGAAGAATGCGCTCCGTAAACACATCGGGGACATCCGAGGACGTGGAGTCGATGTCGACACCGCTGGGGAGCAGGCGCATCCGAGGCCAAACATCGGGGTTTAGCGTGTCAGCAAGGAACGGGATGCGATCGAGATGCCTGGATAGGTAGCTGCCGAATGGAATAAGATAAGATGTCATCGATCGGAACCACGTACTCCCAAAACATGGGGCACACACCTGTCCCATATATAGAGGTTGCAATATGTCCGCCGTCTCATCTCCTTGTCCATCTCACCAGCACAGCCCTCGGAAACGACGGGGCCCAGATGCAGGCCAATCTGTTGAGCCACGCGACTGGCACAACTGACCGACTCCCAAAAGCCGTTCATGCGGCCGACACACCCCGCTGAAAGACCGCCGTAGACGATGTGATGCACGCGGACCAACGAGCCGCGCGGATCCAGGCTTGTGCAGATGGGGTTGAGTGCGTGGATGGCTTTCTCGCAGGACTGGCGAATCGCGGCCAGTGGTACTCCTTCGACGTGGTCAACATTACGTCCGGGTGAAGGTAGAAACTGCGAAGCGTAGCAACATATCCTGAGGATGAGAACGGCGAACTCAATCTCGCTCACTGTAGAGAGGTTGCCAAGTGCCCACCAACGCTGGTACTGCATAAGAAACCACGGGGGATATAAAACTTGGTCTATCCAATTGACCTCGGTGACAAAATACCTAACGAGGAAGTCGATGATGCGGCGATTGGGCATCATGTCCAAGGCTATGCGGACCTGGGCCTCTGTCTCGGACGGTATGGCCTTATCTTGGACGTCGGCCCTGTCATGTTCTGGTGCAAGCTTCCGCACAAGGGTCATGGTGTTGCATTCGCTCAGACCATCATATCCGAACGCCTCGGCCAGCGAGCACCATCCTGGCCTTCCCCGAGGCGTCCCTTCAAGTTGCCTTGTTGGAGGATTGTCATGCGACTCAGCGTCGTGTATGGTATGCTGCTGGTGGGCGATAGATGGAGTAACAGTAGTCTGCGTGTCATCATCCCGGCTCGTGGCTGATGGCGTAGCCAGGCTCGGTGCCTGCACATTTCGTGATGGTTGAAACGAGTGATAAGAACACAGTTCCGGTTGCCGTCGACGACTGCACCGGTTGCATGGATACTGGCGATCGCACTAGCCGAGCGGACAGCTCACGTTAACACTTAAGAGAAGAAACGTTGTGTTTCTGCTGCCAGCAGCTTCAGTTCGGATGCGGTGCGCTCAGGTGCATACCTTCTGCTTCCTCGTGTAGCAAGGTATACAAGAAGCCACCTCTCGTTTTCGCTTCACTGGTTGCATTGTTGCGTTGTGGTTGCGGGGCCGTCGCGGATGAGCAACCGGGAAGACAATTGAAATCGTTAATCGACCATCTGACTAATGCAAGTTTGAGCTGAGGTTGAGGAATTACTCGATGTCGTGAATTTAGAGTGTGGCAGGGGTATAATCCTCTGCAACTTTAAGGTACTTTGGGAGGCCAACCACGCTGTTAGTGCAGCCAGAAATTTCCACGTAAAAATCATCCTCTCGACCACCCCTTCTATCAAGTCAGCCGGTGATAGAGGTACCGAATAGCTTTTCACGTCTCGTCCCTCCGTCCCATCAGGCATCAACCATTGCATGAGTGTCTGGGTCCAGATCCCGGCCGAACAGCAGCCTCAAACTTGAAGTAGCGCTCTGTACGCCTCGCTACTGCACCACTAGCTGCACCGCCCAGCTGCCTAGTAAATTGTGATGACTTACATGGCAATATACATGTCAACGCATCACCCCGATTTTGTGCGAAGCTGTGGCCAATAGGCATTCGTGCTAACTTTCCAGGAGCGATCTCGCTGAGTGAGCAATTCGGCGCGTTGATTGAGGGCGTTGATTGAGGGAAACGTTCAACAGCCCCTGACTCACAATCGGTAGTCACGACCATCATCGGTACTGTACCTATGATTTCTGAAACCGCTGGAATCCCCAACCGTTCACCCTCGATCATTCTCCGTGGAAGCTCGAGATGGAGATGAGTCACTGCGGCTGGATGCTCTGCAACTCGCGGTGTTCAAGAACCCTACATAGGATGGAGAGATAAAGGGGGCTATCATGATGCGGCGCAGCCATCGTCGCTCACGCCGCCTTCGATTCGGAATCTAATTCCTCGTTCATCAATCATCACCACTTTAGCCCGATCTGCACATGCAGTCCAGCTTGACAGACATGTGGGAATTGATGGTTGAACTCGAGTCGATGGCGCAATTTGCGGCCGCCCACGATCCAGAGTCCCAAGAAGCCGACGAGAAAACCATCCGGAGGTGGCAGGAGCTCTTCGGTTACTCGTACTCTGAAGCCGCAGCAAAGATCGAAAGCCACAGGCGGGACATTTGCCGAAACCCTGTTTCCGACACCCACTGGGACTTGGTACACGTCGAAAAAGAGGCCCAAGGATACGACAGGGAGGCCTACGAGCATGCGTGCCAACTCTTTGTCTCGCAGCAGACTCGGACTCGACTCACCCGGCAAGACCTCCCCCGTCTTGTCCATCAAGCCAGAGCCGTATCGAACAGGTACCTCCTCAAGATGGAGGGCCCTCTGCATAGCATTGACTCGATCAAGGCAATACCTTGTCTTTCAGACGGGGACACTGGCTTTTCAGAGCTTAGGCTGATTGCTGGCACCGATGATTCGGGATCCCCCGCAAACTTCTGCATCGTCGACGCGATTATGAAGCACAGCATTGAGAAATGGCTTAGCTCAACCAATTCACCATTCCAAGCGACCTTTGTTCGGTACAGCAAGGCTGACAAGGCACTATCGTCTGCTTCCCATTTCCCGACGATCGGGCGTGACACCACGCTGCCACAGCACCGGCTCGTTTCCGACTCGGCACCGCCGTCCCCCGCCCAAGACGAATACCCGGTCTGGTATTTCTTTTATGGGACACTGGTCAATCCTGATGTTCTTAGGCGGGTTCTCTCCCTGGACGATGACGCGAAGCCTCCTATATATCGCCCTGCGAGGATCACAGGAGGCGCCTTACTGGTGTGGGGCGGGAAGTACCTGGCTCTAGTGGATGCCACCGAGAGGTCCACAGTCGAGGGATATGCGTTCTTGGTCCTCTCGAGCGAGCAAGAGGATGCTCTTCGGTGTTATGAGACGGACCAATACGAGGTTGTGCGCTGCGAGATTAGGATGCTGGACAACGATACGGCGGTAAAAGGCCTGACGTTCCGATTCATATTTGCCTAACAAGGACAGCTCAGATCTTGAGGTGATGGGACATGCCCGTAAGTGCTAGTGTGCTCCATATCCTGCTTAATCCACTCTCCTTCGCTGTCCCAATGTCACCTCACACTGTAAAGATGGGGATGGAGGGATCGGTGTCTACTTGCAATCATGGATCTTAAAGTGTCTCTTTCTCTCTTTCTTCTTTTTCTCCTTCCTTTTTCGTTCTTGTTTTCTCTATTCCTTCCTCTCTTTATTCCCTTTTCATCCCTTTCCTCTCCTTTCTTCTTGTGTCTTTTCTTTTATCTGTTTGTTTTCTCTTTTACAGGCTCTGATTTTTCTTCTCATGACCATTGGCCCAGGCAGACATGCAGACGTCTTTGGCCAAGAGTATTCAAGAAAAATTGAGCTGATAGTTGTCCTAAGGTTTGATACACAATTATGTACTACGTAAAGCACCCAAGTTAGTAGGGTCCCCGACAAACCACTTATTTTTCGAGACTTACACTGGATCACAACATCCTGTCTGGTGAGGTGTAACGGTTACTGCTTGTACTTCGTAGTCGTTCTCTTATCCGTGGCTTCTTCCTCTTATCGGAGGTTTCAGAAGTCTAATCTGGGCTGATCGACCCAACACCTAAATATGATTGGCAGTTACTTCGTACATACATCCGACAGAGTGTTCCAGGTGGGGGGTGCAAGCAATGTAACCCCCACACCCAACTCTCGTGTAGGGTTCCTTCCTGAATCCTCCCGCGTGCTTAGCGCGCCGTTCACCCTTGCTCCATCAAGACTCTGAATAGTTACCGCATTTCGGCTCGTCCTTGGGAACAAAATCCGGCATATATCGTGCCGCCACCAGTTGCGCCGAATCGCGCAGATCACCCAAGTTGCCCGCTCATCTCGATGTCTGATTCATCCCCATCCGGGGCGGTTAGTGAAGGTGGAGCGGCGTCGAGCGCGCACGACTTCGCGACGGCGACGGCGACGGCGACGGTGCCCAAAGACACGACCACACACGTGCACTATGCGCCCAGCATTGACGCCAATCTCGCCGGCGCCGCGCCGCGAGGTTCGCTATCAGACCCCGCCAAGTTCCCTCTCGGCCGCTCTGAAACCGGAGCGACAATCAGTCCCATCATTCGACGCCGCACAGCGCGGGTTGGAACCTTCAGACCCGTGGATGACTTTCAAGATTTCGAGCCGCGACCTGGTTGGCATCGTATGTCTATCTGGGCGTGACCATGCTTTGCTCCTCAATCATGGTGTAGTGCTGCACTGCTGACCTTGTCAACGTGGACCTGCAGCTGGCTCTGAACCAGGCGTGGACCCCAGTAAACCTGATGGAGGGCATGCCTCTATGCCAACACTGAGCGCTCCCTGCGATATCACCGTCGTCGACTTCTCTGACGATCAGCTCTCCCTGCAGAGACTTGATAACGAGTCGCTTACACCGTTTCTGAACCAGCCGAAACCCTCCTGGGCGAAATGCCGCTGGATCAATGTCAACGGCCTCAGCTGGGATGTTATTCAGACCCTGGGGCGCCACAAAAACCTGCATAAACTGGCCATTGAGGATATCATGAACACGAGAAACAGAACTAAGGCCGAATGGTTTGCACACGACGCGTTTTCTTGAGCACGAGACAGCCTCTGACAGAGCATTCCAGGTATCCAACGCACGCCTTCATCGTGTTGACGCTCCAAAAATTGGTCCATATAGACCAATCTGACAGCGACGCCTCAGACTCGGACGAGGATGGCGCAAGTCGGGCAAGCGGTTCGAGCAGGCGAGGTACGAGATTCCCCAGGAGACTCCTCAGGAAGCTAAGGAGAGCATTTCGCAATGGAGACGACAGTGATTTGGGTCCTAGCAAAGCATCCGATTCGGCCGAACTTGGCGGGTACCTCAAATCACAGCCCACTGGATTTTCCGATGCTCCGGATATCGGTCAACTCCGTACTTTGCAGCGCTATCATGCACCGCCAAACGACGTGCGGGCGCAGTTCATGGAGAAGCACTCCGCCCTTGCCTCAAGGAACCTCGCAGTGGCCTGCGAGCAGGTCTCTATGTTCATCACCAATGATAACGTCATCATTAGCTTCTTCGAGTTGTCAGGTCGAGACGTAGAGGCACCCATTGTTCGACGTCTCCAGACAAGCGATACCGTCATCCGGCAGTGAGTTTGCCCGCGGCCGTGGCGCGCCTTGGATGAGACGTCTGCAGGCTCTGGCGAGTCCCGCATAAGCCTTCATTTTGCTAACAACTTATCTGCCGACCAGATCCTGTGACGCATCCATGGTTGGCCAGGCCATCATCGATGCCATTATTGATTTGGCGATTCCTGTCGCCGGTTGCTATGGCGATGTAATTGGGGATCTTGAGCTGGACGTCCTTACGAGCCCCAACCTCAATCACACCAGGGAGCTTTACGTTCTGATTACTGAGATCAACAAGATGCTGGCGTTCATCAGCCCCATCACAACCCTCATCAACACGCTGCGCGACCACGAGATTGACCTGGCACATGACGCTGCGATGGCGAAACTGTTGGATCCCAATCACGAACCCATCATTACCCGACTGACCTACACGTATCTCGGCGATGTTCTGGACCATTCCGTTTTGATCACGGAGACGTTGAATCAGATCAAAAGCTCGGCCGATAACCTGATTGATCTGATTTTCAACACCATCTCGGCTTACCAGAACAAGTCCATGCAGCAGCTCACGGCGGCAACCATCATCTTCCTTCCCTTGACCTTCATCACGGGGTACTTTGGCCAAAACTTTGAGCCGTTTAACGCCATTTATGAAGACGTTCAGTTGTTGTATGTGTCAAGAACCGGCGCCCCCTTTCTGCTTCGAGTCGCACACTGACCCCTGAAAGCTGGAAAATCGCGATTCCGACTGTTGTAGCAACCGTCCTCATCGTGTTCAATGAAGCCATCTACGATTATTGGAAGAGGATGCTTCAGCGCCAAAGAATATCACGCGAGAGGAAGCGGCGCTCGAGAAGAAGTGATAGAAAGCGCCGTTGAAGGATCGGCCGCTGACTTGGTGGGCGCTTCGACGTGACTGTCAAACATTTACTACGGCACGACTTTATGGCTTTCCTACTACTCCATATCAGGCAGTGAGTTTTGGCACTACTTAACACGCTGTCAGAGTCTTTTGAAGGTACATCAGTGTTCGTCCGAACTGCCGAGTTCTCCGCATTTTCTACCTCCGGAACGTACTTCCGGCACTTATTCTTTTCCTGAGGAAATACATCTTGCCGCATGGGTGGAGAAGTGTGGTGGGACCAGGGTCAAGTGTGGTCTCCGGATTCGACCTACTGACCTATAAGTACTAACAACCGGGGACATACAGGGCGCGATTGAAATTCAGATTCACATCATCCGTGTTTGACCTGCCCTCAAATTTCACCAGATTTTGTCCGTTTGCGCCTTTGGAGAAGGACTGATCTCATATATCTCAGGTCACGTATTAACTCATATATCCGGCGGTGGCAAACTTGGAGGAAAAAACGACCAGAGTCGGGTCACGATGAACGGCAGCCGGAAGGATGAAAGCCATGGTGGCGCTCTAGCCCAGCAACAACTGCTATACATTGACGGGAAACACCAGGCTGCTTCTGATGGGGCCACTTTTCCGGTCAAGAATCCAATGACTGGCAGTATCATGTACAACTGCGCTTCGGCCTCCGTTGACGACTACGCAACCGCCGTCGACAACGCCGATGCGGCATACCAAGGATGGTCCAGAACGCCGCCTTCAACCAGACGACGTATCTTCCTCAGGGCTGCTGAGATATTGGAGTCATACATGGAGGAAGATGCACCATTGCTTCTCTCCAACGAAGTGTCGGCCACCGAGCACTGGGTCAAGGTCAACATTCTCGCCACTGCCGCGCTTTTTAGGGAGGTGGCAGGGCTGGTTACGCACATCAAGGGCGAAATTGTGCCAGCGGATCGGCCCGGGACGACCATCCTTGTAGAGAGGCAGGCTGTTGGCGTAATATTTGCTATAGCCCCCTGGAACGCACCTGTTCGTCTAGGCCGCCCCTCCTACCCATCTACCTACACGAAGCCTGCGTTGACACGGGTACTGATAATGAGGCAAACAGGTGAATTTGACGGCAAGGGCAGTAGCTTGCCCGCTCATCTGCGGGAACACAGTGGTTTTGAAGCCGTCCGAGATGAGCCCCAAGAGCCAATTCCTCGTTGTACGGGCCTTGAGCGCGGCAGGCCTGCCACCGGGCTGCCTTAATTTTCTCCCCTCATCCCCAGAGCGCGCTCCCGAGGTGACCGAGTTTGCGGTTAAGCACCCAAAGATCCTCCGCATAAACTTCACGGGCAGCGACCGGGTGGGCAAAATCATTGCCGGGTGGGCCGCCACCTGCTTGAAGCGGTGCGTCTTGGAATTGGGGGGCAAAGCGCCCGTCATCGTACTGGACGATGCCAACATTGACGATGCGGTTGAGGCGGTGGTGTTTGGCGCTTACGCCTACGCTGGGCAGGTTTGCATGTCTACTGAACGTGTGCTGCTGCATAAATCGATCGCCGGGGAATTCAAGGAGAAACTAGTCCGCCGGACGGCAAGTCTGAAGTCTGGCAACCACCTGGAAGAGACTGGGGTCTCCATTTCCGGGCTCTTCACGCCGGCGTCTGCCGCGCGGGTCATGGCCATGATCCGCAGCGCCGTAGACGGCGGCGCCAAAATGCTGGCGGGAGACCTCAAGATTACAGGCCCCAACCAAACCATCATTGCGCCTCACATTCTCGAGAATGTCAGCCCCGAAATGGACCTTGCGCACAAGGAATCGTTCGGCCCGGTCATGGTTCTGTCCGAGTTTGAGACGGACGAAGAGGCGATTGCGTCGGCAAACGACAGCGAGTTCTCGCTCTGCGCCAGCGTCTGGTCAAGAGATGTCATGAGGGCGATGGACATTACAAGGCGGGTGAGGGCAGGCGCGTGTCACATCAACGGCCCGACCATATACGTTGAGTCCACGCTTCCAAACGGCGGCACCGGCGGTAGCAGTGGATATGGTCGTTTTGGCGGCATGGCTGGTGTGGAGGAGTTTACTGAGCGCAAAATTGTCACACTGGCCAAGCCAGGCTTGAAGTTTCCGTTTTGAGGACATTCTGAACGGGCATAGGATATTCGGTTGTCATGGCTTGAAGACTCGGGCTCCAGCCACCAAACGACTGGATCCTCTCGGCAGTGGCAACTTCTCAGTAAGCAAGCACGGGCTGGTGCATAAGAGGGGTGCCAAACACGGCGCCTATTCGATTTTACGATGTACTTGTTTTAGCCAACCGGATATCCCACCAGGTGGGAATACGAGGTCCCAGAGCAGGTCAGGTAGCATTGATGGCTGGGCCCGGCAGCCGATCACTGCCAGAAAACCAGCAAATATCCCCGGCAAAATCATACGGATCCAGGAACAGGTGAAGTAGCATTGGAACCAGGCAATTCACGAAGGTGTAGTGCTTACCGTGCCTTACCTTAGCAATAATCGATGCCGTCAGCGTATGTCAGGCGGTCACCGACCTCTGTGGCTGGCGAATCTCACTCTGCAATGCGATTTCTCGTGATGGCACCCGTGTAGTTATACGAGAATCCGTGTAAGGAATTCTTGCTTGGGCATCAGTCCCGGCCGCATATGCTGGTTGCAACATTGTAGAAGGGCTGATCCGATATTGTATGCAGGAACAAAGCCGTACAACGACTTACTGTATATAATGACCCTGGAATCCCATCGTAGCCCTCGACCTTGGAAGTCTTGAGTATCAGCATCCAAAGACACTCTCGCCAGCCTCAACTGCCTCCTCTCCAACCACCTAACTCACTACCACATCTTCACTATGGCACGCCTGACTCTGGTTGCAGCCGCCCTTCTTGGGCTTGGAAACCGTGCCCTGGCCTTGGAAACATGCGGCCAATCACAGTACGACCCGGCACAGGTGAGTCTCATGATAGCCACCCACAGATAGCGTCAGGCATATGCTAACCTGGAAATCTCGCGTGCAGTACGTCTGCTGGAACGGCCAGTTCCTCTGCCCCGTTGTCGCCGGCGAAGGATTATCCTATTGCGCGGGCGCGTGCTACAGCAAGTTCATGTACACGTGCGCCAACAGCGTCCTGACGCTCCTCCCGCCCGTCGACACGCCTTTCACCTTGACCGTATCCAACCCGGCACTGCCCACCCTCGACGGCAAGCCTGTCACGGCCGGTGGCCAACGCTGGACGCTCGGTGGCCAAACCAGCAGCTACTGCCCCGAACAGGTGGGCGACGCTTGCCCGCCGGGCAACATCACGGCCATCGTCGCTTCGGAAGGGCGCGCCGCCATGGATGTCATGGTCCCCGGCGGCCAGCTGGTCTACCTGGACCCCAACTGGAACGTGGGCTACACGCAGGCCCACTCGGCCCACATCCCCTCGGGAAGCACGGTGACGGGTTTTGCTGCTTACCAGGGCGGCGGCTTCGTCAACCTCAACGGGAACGGCTGGGGCTGGGTTGCCTGCCCACCTACTGCTGCTGGTGGCGGCGGTGGCAGTGGTGCGTGGAATCTTGTGGCCAAGAACGAGACCAATGCCGATCGCCTGGGCGCGTGTACCCCCGTCAACCTGAAGGTCAACCCCTTGCCCGCCGGCACAGTCGGCGCGTGGCAGTATACATAAAAGGAGATTCCTTTGCTTGGACATGAACAGGCGGAGGCGAGTTGGTGAGGCATGAGTCGGCAGGGCATGTTGATGCATCATGACTGAAGACGACATCGTGTAGTACGGTACAACTCACTGGTAATCAATACTTAACGGTGGTGATAGAGAATAGTTCATGCAGATCATTTATCCCTGACCTCTTACTAGTAATCTCCCAACACGGCCAAGCATGATCGGGTGGTAGGCTCAAAAGAAACTCGAGATTCGGTGCTAGACCTGGCCAACTCAAGGCGCCATCTATCATGTTCTATGCTCTACAAAGTAAATTGCATGCGTCCGGGGACAGCCCCCTTCCGTAACCCAGTGTTTGAGTCTTCCGCTGACAACTTGGCGGGCCAACTCTGTCCCGATGCCCTTATTTGTTTGTCAACGGAACACTTTATACAAACCGTAAAGCGATCCAAGCAGTAAGGACTTTGCCGATTCCTCCAAGTCTGGCACCCCTGACTCAGAACCTGTACGGCCACCTCCTTCTAATCCCGCCCTAGGCGCTCTTCATCGTCATCCCTGAGCTCGTACGCCGGGCGGAACTTTGATGCCTCTCCTCTAACTGCCAGTGCCGGGTTCGGGCGAGTGTCAGTCACGCCGCCAAGAGACGTGAAACCTCGATTGTACAGCTCGCAAAACGGTATGCCAAGATGTCGAATGAACTGTCTGTAAGTTAGTACCGTGCTCGTTCGACCTACAGCCAAGGACTGCGCCTATTGGGCTCCATTGAGCTTCGGCAGCCAAGAAGCGGAACAAAGCAGATAGACTCACCGCCCATATTTCAACGTAATGCCAGTCAATCACGGGGTGGACGCGCATGAACTGCGGCCAGCCTTCGTCTGTCGGATTGAAATGCGACAGAAACTCACCGTGGGGATCTGTCCGCCTTGTTCCCAGGAATATTGCCTTGACGGCCGGCCTATCCTTCAGATACGCCTCGAGAGCAGGTCGCATAGGCAACGCGTAGCGTTTGAGGTCGAGATGGTATTGCTCCGCGGACGAGCACACGAAGTCTTCCACCTCGGCAAATGGATGGGGAGAGACAATGTATATCGCCTGAAGCGGTCGGGTGGTGGGAGCGGCGTTCGACGAAACTGCGGATTCGGAGGTTGGTGCTTGCGGCGGCGTGCTCATGGTCGTGACATCGAAATCGGGGGGCGAGGGGCGAGACGAAGAAGCCCACGCTGGCAGGCAAGCCATGATGAGGACCAGGAGGACCAGACAGTCCTTGCCGCCATTATATGAGAGTGAAACATGTTCGAGCCTTTGAGGAGTGAACCCCGAAGACATAAAAAGTCAGCTCAAATCGTCGGACCGTCAGCCCCCCGTCGTCGTCGGCCCCGCCCTCACCTCGGCCATGCAAAGAGTGACGCAGCACCTACCCATAGCGGCGCAGCGCCTCCCCGATCACGTCGATCGACACCCTGACCTGGTTCTGCACCTTGCGCAAGACATCGTCATCGGTCTCCTCGCAGAGAAAAGCATCAATCTTGTTCCGAATCTCGAAGCAGATGTCTGGGAGCGTGCGTCGCATCGATGATGCTGCGGGTGTGGGCGTGGGCATTTGTGTCGAAGCATCTGCTGGTTTTGGAGAGACGCCGTTGATTCGAGCATCGTTGTGCTGCCGACGAACCGAATCATGTATCATTTCCAATCCCATCTGCGAGCAAGAATGACTGAGCATTATTATTATCGATCGACGAGGAAAAACTAGCAGGCGGCCACGGGGGTTCCCGTTCAGCGGAGCATCGTCATGTGCAACTTGTCAGCAGAAGGCGGCAGCGCTGCGGTGGGGGCGGGGCAGGCGGGTCAACCAGGGCATCAATTTAACGTTACAGTGGAGCTGAAGAGCAAATCCGAAGTTGGCCCGAGGGCCCCGGAGGCCGCTCGCAGCTGTGGAGTCGCGGCGGATGCCCTGCCCAGTGCCCACATTGCCCAGATTCCCTTTGAACTGGATCCACTATTAGCCGCATCGGACCTGCCCTAAACTCATCACTTCAGCTCTCCTTCTTAATCTATGAATCGCCACGGATAAATCCCCCGGTTCCCACCAGAGCGGTTGTTGGCCGGCTTCATCAATTAGGCACCTAATATTCGCGAAAGGAGAGACGAACTCGACAAGTGTATAATGCTTCGTATGTGCCTAAGATGCAATTACCTCGACCGGATGGGGCTTTCTCTCGCACAACGACAGCCAAAGTTAACAATTTCATCCCGAGTCGGACGTGGCCTAGTTTCCACGGCTTTTAGCATTCCTCCTCCGGTTGGCGACTCGGACGTAGTCCAGAGCCTTGGCCGAAGGCTGAGCAACTGGGGTGCCGTCAGAGACGGAGCCGGCGGGTAGAAAGATCTCCGCTCCTGGTTCACCCATAGCAGATCTGGATTATATCATCTTATAGCCGAGTTAGGTACTTACTAGGTAGCCTGGCTTTGTCACCGCTCTTGTCGGCGACCATACAATGAACTTGTTTGTGTTGCTAAGGTAGGTATGTGAGATATACATTACTACTATTACTAGTAGGTAACGGTGTCTTGTCGACAGTCGAGGCGCCGAGGCAGTACCTATAATGCCGGTATATCAAGATGCTTTCTTAACCGGTGTCAGAATGAAGAACCCGAGGAGCGCCGTGTCTTAATGGGAAGAAGTTTCTTTTCGTGTTGTCATGGACTGTCGTCAATATCCACTGTGGAAGCTTCAGGAACACATAGGTGCGTAGGTACGCAGGTATATACGTCAGTTCCTCTTTCCTACTTTCACCCCCCAACCGGGCAGTGAGGCCATGAAGAAGAGGTCGAGCGTGTTAGGTAGTAACATGGCAGCTTAGCTCTTTCCCAACGCATCCAGTTCGATTCTAATCGGAAGCAGCAGCTTCTGCTCAGGTACCTACCTATCTACCTGTCATACCTCACTTGAGCACTCCATAATGCCAATCAATCATCCTGACCCTCCTCCCAATCAGGGCCGTCCTCGACTCTCGCTTGGCTTCCTGGTTGTACGCTTAATACCACAACAACAGCCCTCTGCCCCTCTATCTGCCTCTTTCCTGCTCGGTGCGTTTGTCTTTCTTAAAAGAACAGCCATCCCTTCACTCCGCAGCAATAACAGTCCCCGCGCCTAATATCGAAAACATTAATGTTCCTGGTTGTACGCTTGGTACGTGCTCCGGACGGTTGAGCAGCCGCTTTACGCTTCCGTGTCCCGTCGCCTTGGTAGGAGTATCGTTGAGTTTCGTAGTCAACTCAGCAATATCCTTCTTGAAGTTCTCCATGTTCTCCTCCAATGCGTGCCCTCTTGCTCCTCTCCTCTGCAAGATCGTGCTTATAGCTGGCCAGATCCTTCTGGAATTTGTTGAACCATCTCATAAAAGACTCTTTCAAACGGATCACAGCCTCAGCTTTCACTTTGGTGTCGGGCGCAGGATCATCCTCATGTTGCACGTCAAATGATCCGTCATATTCAGCCCACTGCGTAAGTTTGGCCAGACCAAGACTTTTGAGCTGTCCTCCAATCCTTGTGTGCATAAAGCCGTCAGGGTGGCACATCCGGATAACTAGAATCAGTGCATGTGGAGGAGGCAGATGACCATCGACGAGGAGGGTCAGAAGAAATTTCAAGGCATGCAGATCCAACGCGAATACAGGGCCTACGAGGATCGCAGGAAAGAGCTGACTCAGAATTCCATCAAAGCCTACAAGAAGAATACAAGTGAGTGAATCCCAATGTGGTAGCTTCGTCCATAACTGAAAGCAGGGCACAATCTCCGACAGTCTGTTGTAACCTTTTCGGGTCCGCTGGGGTAGCTGGAACAATCGGGAAGACCTTTGACACGGCACACACCGACATCACGACACTAGGATACATCTCGCCATCAGCCTGTGACATCTTGGAGGCAGAGCTGGCCAGACTGGAAGCCGGACTCACAGCTGGCTGCTTACCAACGCACATGTGCCCACCGTTCGTTCTGAGTTCGCTCCTCAACAAGCCTTAAATGAGACTGACGAGTTCGACCAGGCAAGTACGACGTTCGGCCCTCTTCGCCCTCATTCAGGCAAACGTGAATGAATGTTACGTAGCAACTGCCCCAAAAGTCGCTAGCGTTATCAGGTTGACCGACCGCAGCTTAGCCTGTACCACTACTGAAGTCGTCTTTGCATATCAAAGCTGGAGAGACAGACCGTCCTCGGAGTCTGCCGACTATTTGGAGGTGCCTCAACGAGGCGGGTGGGAATGCGGTTATCGATGATCAAATATGCATCGGGGATTGCGAAACCACATACCTCCCCTGCAGAGTAGCAATGAGCCCGGCTGGAGACACCCGAGACACTCTTCATGCTCAAGTCATCAGCACTCGAGGGAGCAGGGTAATAGTCGTGTCTGGTATTGTATCTCCAACCCCGTGTGGTCACATGGCCTGTCTCATTCATAACCTTCTAGTAACGTGAATTGTGTGCTTTGAGTGGTGGCCAGGCTTATCTCGTCTACCTTATATAGGTAGTATTAACCTACCTACCCAGGTAGGTACCTTAGGTTGATACCTCAATGAACTTCATGTTATCTTTCTAAAGTTAACACTGACTCCTCACTCTTGGTGTGGCCTGGCGAGATCGCCACATTCAGGAAGCCCACCGCCGTGCTTTTGACTGAACCGTTCTTTGAACTGGAGTGAAGACCCTTACGGAGGTGACTGGGCTCGACAACACTCGAAGTACACGGCGTCGATCTCAGATATTTAGTAATAGGTACAGTAGGTACTCTTCAATAAGCGACTTTTACCTTAGTTGATACCTAATAGTATTACCTCACATACCTAGTATTTACTACTAGTACTGGCGGTTTTGGAGGTTTTGGACATGCCTCCCTTCGGACACCAACATCGACCCTTTGGGCTTGACAAGACGGTGGCCGTTATCGGTACCGGTATCAGCGGGATCTGCGTCGCCGCGCATTTGTTGAAACAGGGACTGCGTGTGACTGTCTACGAACGCTCAGGCGTTGCTGGTGGAGTCTGGCACTACGATGAACGTGTCTCTGACGACGTTCCATACCCCAACACGACCCCTTCTCGAGGTGACTACCGCGTCTCGGAGCGCGGCGAGTTTGCATGTGCGACCGAAACTCCGAACCATCTTGGCAATGCCCACGGCGGAGTAAACATTGGAGGCAGTGAAGGCGTTCCCATTCGCGAGGTAGAGTTCGCGCCTCCTGGACCCTGTTACGCCGGCCTAAAGAACAATGTCCCTACAAGTGTAATGGCCAGCTCTCTGGACTCATGGCCAAAAGGAACGGAAGCCCATGTCAGCCAAAGACTGGTTGAGCAGTATATCCAGGGGTTATCAAAGAAATTCGGCGTGGACGCCGTGACTTTGTATCACACCCGTGTCGATGAAGCCAGGAAAACAATGGATGGCTTAAAGTGGGAGATACGGTCGGTTACGTTGGAAAAGCTGGGGACGGGTGCCCGATTAGTTGAGAAGGTCGCCCAGTTCGACCTCTTGGTGGTTGCTTCGGGCCACTACAATATGCCGCGGGTCCCGGACATTGAAGGGCTGAAGGACTGGAAAGCCGCCTACCCTGACCGAGTTACCCATTCGAAACGGTATAGAACCCCCGAGATGTACCGTCACCGGAACGTCCTAGTCATTGGTGGCGGTGTGTCTGCGCTGGATATCTGCCGTGAGCTCGACGGGGTCGCCAAAAAGACATACCAGAGCGTGCGCGGAGGCCAGTTTGATCTTTCAGAAACACTCCTGCCACCGAGTGCTGTCAGGGTGGCCGAAGTCGAGCGGTTTGCTCTCCGAAAAGAGCCTTCCCATGGCAACGGTCACGATGGGCTTGAAGAAGAGGAGCCCGTTGCTGGCTCGGTTATTCTGAAGGACGGTCGAGTATTGGATGATATTGACTATGTTGTGTTGGCAACGGGCTACATCACGTCATATCCATTCCTTTCGCAGCTACATTCCGACACGGCAGCCATTACCGAGGCGGGCGAGGAGCTGATCGTTACATCTGACGGCGATATGGCGCATAACCTGCACCGGGATATCTTCTATATCAATGATCCGACGCTGGCGTTCGTTGGGGTACCCTACCACGTCGCAACATTCTCCCTTTTTGATTTTCAAGCCCAGGCCGTTGCTCGGGTCTTTGCCGGCAGGACGAGGCTGCCGATTCGGGAGGAAATGCGGAGGGAATACGAGAAGCGTGTGCAAGAGAAGGGGCTCGGGCGGGCCTTTCATTCTTTGTGGGCGCCCGGCCATGAGATCACCTACGTGCAGGAGCTGGTCGACTGGGTGAATAGGTGTGGTTTGGAAACCGGAGAGGAGATAACGGATCCAATGCAGCCACACTCGGAGGAATGGAGACGGGAATACGGGGAGCTGAAAGCTAAGTTGCTAGGAGTCAGGGGCTCGCTACTAGGACCAACCGTTGTGGGCAAAAATCTTGAATCAGAGAGCTGATAGGATATGCTTATTGCGCATAGACCGAAGCTAGTCGTAGACAATACTATTGCTGCTATACTTGCAGTAGGTACCCAACTAAGCGTTGTATACAAAGAGCCAGGGGTTGCGCACCACGTTCGAAACATCCAAGTTCTCCGGCAGCCTAAGGCGAACTGAGGACGGACATGGTGTATGAATTACGATATCTCAGCAGCATGAGCGACAACAAAGAGGAATTCGGCAATGCAACTTACGATCCGCTCTTCAAGCGTCGAGCATACCCATCAGTCTCGGACCACAGTCGTAACAAAGGCGGTCTGTTCAGCTACTGTGGCTGAAGGAACCCCTTTATGGCTTGACTGACACCACAACCGGGAAAGAACCGCATTACCACGTCTCAAAGGCAGCGGACACAGGACCCCCATCCGACTAAAGACACCACACACAGCTCGAAAATTCGGTACCTACCTAGGTAAGGTTACGGAGTTCAACAATGGCAAAGACGCAAACCACCATGCACGAACCCACCGTCCACGCTGACGAGCCTATGCCCAAGGGCTACCGCTTCGTGGCCAAAGGCAACATTAATCACCAAGCATTGCCGCCAACAGACCCACCAGGCAGGCAAAACATTATACGTCGTGGTCGACGACAAGAACCGGCGCATGGGCCTGCGCTGCCCGGCAGCAATCCACACGGCCGTCATGGCGGAACACCTGGCGACCGCCACGCAGCGGGCAGCCGCAGTTCAGAAGCGAGACGAGGCCATGACGGACGCCTTTCGCGACGCCATCCTCGCGCTCTGCCCGGCGGCGCCGCGGGACGAGGTCGCGCAGATCGCGCGGCGCTCGCTCAAAAAGCACAGCCGGCAGGTCGGCCGGCGGATGGGGACCGTGGCGCTGCTGCGCGACCGGGCCAGGCTTGCCGTTGGCGCACACATCCGGCACGTGCACACCGACTACGACCGGCTCTTGAAGCAGGGCGTGAGCAGGCAGGCCGCAAGAGAACAGGTCTGGGACCAGGTACGCGAGACCGCCAGGCGGTGGGGATGCAAGCTTGACATGCCGTCACCGCCAACGGCTCCCGCCAGGGGCAGGACTGAGAAGAAGAGGCATGGGAAGGAAACTGTCCAGGTATGGAAAGGAGAGGGAAAGGGCTTTGTGAAAAAGGCCATGGTTTATTCGGAGCTCAAGTATCCAATGGTCAGCGCCCGGATGACAAGGAGTTGGCTAAGGAGACTGGACTCTATCGTGAGGGGAACGGTGGAAGATGCCGACGTCGATGATGCGGTCTTCTTGAAACACGACGAGAGTGTTAGCGATTGTGATAGCGGCTGCAGCGAGTGGAGTAGTTTGAGGGACCAGCTCCGGCTGCCAATCGCGGATGGAGAGACCTAATGTCATGATGGTATGACCTTTGTTCGTTGGGCGTCGTCGGGCGTTGCTGGTTCGCCATATTCCCTCGATGTGCAGATGGCTCCACGGGCATACGGCTGGCTACCTCTGCAGAATGATGGGTGTTTGGTCATATAAAGTGATGGGATGTGGTGTTACCTACCCCAAAGAAACGGCACGGAATTGTAAGCGGGTGGAAGCCGACGGTCCCGAACCGGAGAAGCAAGCCGACGGCATCTCAACCGGGGCGCTGGGCGCCTCCAGAGGGGAAGCGGGGCATGATGAGATCTGGCCCCTCCATGCCCAATGCGCAGGCCAGTTCAGCCGTCGGAGTGTCGTGTTGCGTCAACTGGAGTTCCGGGTGCACCTCGTAGTGGCTGCGGGCGAAATCAGGGACGCGGTGTGTCCCAAAGATGTGGCCTAGCATATTAGTGAGATTTAGCAGCCCCTTCGGTCGCTTGATGGGAACCGAGGTGAAGGCCGTGGTTCCGACGGCGTTGAATCCGCGTCCGGAGCCGCACATCCCCACCAAACCTCCGAGATCCGGCTCTGACCATAATCTGCCGGCGGCTGGTTCCTTGTGACGGAAAAAGAACTAGAGGGGGTAAATAAGCTGCGATGACTGCCCACATTGATCTTGCGTCTTGGAAAACCAAGCTCAAGCTCTTGTTGAAACGGACAACTGCACCTGACACCATGGCCACCGCACAGAAGAAGCAGCAAATCTCCTTCGAGGGTCTGTTGCCCAGCCGCACAAGCCCCGAGTGAGCATGGAACGTTTGACTGACAAGCAGCAGAATACCTCGGTTGCTCCGAGGCAGCGTTTGAGTGGGCGGACAGCTATGACTCGAAGGACTGGGACCGGCTGAGGAAGTGCATTGCTCCCACTCTGAGGGTACGTTGAAAGAAGGGGAAGAAAGAAACTGTGCCCTATCCTAGGCCCAACTGACCGCGGTTTTTGAACATGCTTCCAGATCGACTACCGGTCGTTCCTCAACAAGCTGTGGGAGGCGATGCCGGCCGAGGAGTTCATCGCCATGATCTCAGACAAGTCGGTGTTGGGCAATCCGCTGCTGCGCACGCAGCACTTCATTGGTGGCGCCAGCAAGTGGGAGAAGGTGTCGGACACGGAGATTGTCGGCTACCACCAGCTGCGCGTGCCGCACCAGGTCTACACAGACTCAAGCCTGCAGACTGTTGCCGTCAAGGGCCACGCCCACAGCCACAACACGCACTACTACAGAAAGGTCGACGGCGTGTGGAAGTTTGCCGGCCTCTGCCCCAACATCCGGTGGTCCGAGTATGACTTTGACAAGGTCTTTGCCAGCGGCCGCGATAATTTTGGCGATTCGGCCTAGAGCGGTGATGGTCTCTGTGGCTCCCGTTTCTCAGGTTCTCATGCCCGGAATGCCTCAGCATTGGCAAAAACAGCGACGAGGAAGAGGGTCATGAAGTTCGGTCAGGCAGATTGGACAAAATAGCAAGGAAAATGATCGTGCCGAGAAAAAAAATAATCAAATCAACCAGTGAGCTATTCTGATTGCCCATTTTGCACTGTGTTACAAGTGCCGACTGTTTTCTGAGTTCTCGAGTGGGTTTGTGGTGAGTGATGGATCAAGGTGTTCAGCAGTGAGGTAGGGCTGAAGTTAAATGGGTGGCTCGCTAGCTGAGGGTTAGGCAGGTGATTGGTCCAATCTCTCATTAGGTGGGGACGAGCTATGTAACTCGACGTACGGATACTGTGGTATGTATTGCGCCGGCCCCCGCAACTCTTCAGCATCCACAATCCACAACCGTGGGAGAGATGCAACGACTGTGACACGCAATGCTCTACCTACTGCACATAGACAAGCGATATTTCCAATGACTTTCCAGAGGTAACATAGCTCGCCGGTACTGGCGGCTTACGGGTGGCTATACCAATAACAATGCGAGAGTTTATGCACTACATCACAAACGCCTTCTACGGCGCGACTGATTGGAACGAGGACAACACCTACAAAGAGCTTAATGCCACCGCCAGAGGTAGGCTTTACCCCCCTAAACCCCTGCCATCTCATGCATCTCCTCTGACACAGGCACCTGACAGAGCTCATCGACTTCCCCATCCCTCGGGGACTCCGCCTGACCCTTTCGTCCCTTGCAACGCCTAACTTTGCGACAAGCTACCAGCTCGGCAGCATTGGCATCGTCGATGGCTCCATCTCGTACCTACATAGTTCGATCCCTTTGACAAGCACCGTCGCACAATCCGATCGTATACCCCTACCAGCCTTGCTGCGGTCTTATCGGCGACTACACGATCTTGGTTCAATAGAGGGAGAACAGTCCGTGGACAAAGTCGGTGATGAAGACACCCCACCAGTCAACGCTCCCGCTGGCGTCCATCACGCACTCTGCCAAAACGGACACACTCTGCTGTATGGCCGCCTGTATCTACCACAGTCGCTCCTCGAAGGTCTAGTGGTTCGGCGCTTCAACCCCTCTCTCCAGGTCCAGCTCTCTGCTGTTAGCGAGCAGTCGTTGAAAAACGGCGGCACCGTATTGGGCCTCGTGCAGTATGACAAGGGAAAGTACGGGGTGGAAGGTTTAGCTTCAACTGACGGTGGTCTCCTCGGTGTTCGCGGCCTGTACAACTTTGGTGGGGATGCTGCCTCGTCGGCCAAGAGCCCGCCAACTAGCGCTGTGTCCTCAGATGCCAATGGAAACGGCCAGCCCGTGGAGAAAGAACGAATATACGGCCGCTTTAGTGCGGGCGGCGAGGTGTATTACGGGACACTCAACAAATCTGGCGGCATGTCTCTCGGCGCCCGGTTCGCGACCCTCCCAGCACACCGAGGGACTCCGCTGACGGCAACCTTGACCATCAATCCCCTCATGGGGAACATCAATGCCACATATGCCGTCCTAGCCCAAGACTACTGCTCCCTGGCAACCAGGATGGAGTTCAACGTTTACAGTTACGAAAGCGAGTGGGCGGTGGGCATGGAACTGTGGAGCAACCGGAGACCGGCCGGTTTCTTGCTCGGCGCCGATCCCAGCAGCCAAAACGAGCCCGATCCCGCGCCTCCCACAAGGAGGGAAAGAAGTTTCCAGGCAAAGATGGAATGGCGATTGGACGACCCGGAACCGGAGCCGGAGCGGGCCAAAGCTGGAACGAATGCTGCGGAAGGCGGGAGCAAAGAAGAGTATCTGGGCGTCTTGAAGGCCCGGCTCGACCAAAACCTGAGGATCGGCCTCCTATGGGAAGGCCGCGTTAAGTCGCTCATCTTCAGCCTGGGTACCGGTGTCGACCTACGGAGGTTAGGAGAACCATTCCGAAGCCTGGGTCTCGAAGTACAGTATTCCTCGTGATTGCATCTGAGCCCAAGGTTTTATTATTGGTGCAACTGTGCTCGTCATCAAATCCATCAAATCTCGGAGGAGGTGGTATGCAGAGCGGGGCCCGGAACGGAGTGAGAACCTCGATGGTTCAATTCGCTAGCCCGGTGGGGAGATAAGCATCACCCATCATGTCAGCGGCAAAAGGGTGAGATGATACTGCGAACTTTTCAACAATGAGCGTCACGGTACAATTCGAGGCATGATTATGACCGGGCTACTAGGCACCCAAAGCTCTTTGCCAGTGTTATCGCTCGCCATGGTCGACAAGTCGACGCAGGATAAACCGAACAATCTATCGAAACCTGAACATGGCTCCGATGTTGCTAGCACCTGCCGCTTGGCGAAAGACCTGGTCCTTGAGGGGGACTGCGGCAGTCGTCAAGGTTCTCATCCCTGAGACCCAACCCCACAACTGCTCGTCGCGTATTTTTTCTTACAGCTAGCTGTCTCCACGGCGGGTCCTATGAGGTTTACGCCCTCAGAAACTTCACGAAATCCGACCAGTACCGCTTTACTGGGCAGTGTATTGGTCTTCCTGGATGACTGAGCGCTCCGTTCGACTTAAGTATGCTTTTGAGTCATTTATCTGGCTCTATGAGCTGATATAACTTTCCTCTTGGGTAAGGCCATAAAAGCCTGGCCATCAAGGTGCATCCCCACCCGGCCTAAATCCGGGAATCGGCTCTCATAGCCTCTGATAGGAGAGCATTTCGTCAGCGCCACTCCCCTGCTACACGCCGCAGATTCCTTTGCTCAGATCCACCTGGCTTGACGCCAGTTGGGGGTGACATGCAGGAGTCTTTACGCGAGCGTCTTGTGCACTGCCCTATATTACCCCGACGGGACGCAGATCTTGGCTCTCCTTCCCGTTCTCTCGGCGATCTCTTGGCTTTCATTCCTGGCCGCTCGTCGACATCTTGGCTCTCTTTACTGGCTTCTCGGCAGACACTTGGCTCTCTTTTGGCTTCTCGGCGAGATCTTGGCTCTCTTTAGTGCCCTCCTTCTCGGCGACCCGGCGTTTTGGTTCTGAGCGGAGCTCTGCCTCCTTCCAGCAGAGCCGTGTACACACACTTCCGTCCGCACGTGTCAACGCAAGTCCGCATCAGACAGCTCAAAGTGTCACCGTCAAATGCCAACAAGCATGTCGCTACATAGAATGCAACTAGGGGTTCGGGACGAAGGCGATGGAGTTGGGGCTGCCCCGGCTTGTGAGGTTTCCACAGCCAACACAGACTACTGGGGTCTGCGGATTGGCTCCATCTTCATTATCCTGGTCGGTTCCGCACTTGGCGCCCTCCTACCCGTTGTCTTGGCGAGGACGTCTAGGACTCGGATGCCGAAAGCAGCTTTGTTCGTGGCCAAGTACTTTGGTACCGGTGTGATCTTGGCTACGGCTTGGATGCACCTTCTCTCCCCGGCGTCTGACAATCTTCGCGACGAATGTCTCGGAGATATCCTCCCTGATTATGACTGGGCAATGGCCATTGGCTTGATGACCGTCATGGTCATGTTTCTCCTCGAACTTATCATCTCACACTTTGACTTTGGCTTCGGCTCCCCTAAGGGGCACAGCCATGGTGCTTTGGCCCCTTCAGCCGGAATGGGCACTGTTGAGGCTTCTGGCGCCGATGTCTCCGGCAAGGAAAGAATTCATCCTCTGGGCGACGAGTTCAGCTACGCACCAAACGGAACGGACCACCTGGGCCACCAGCGGGACCATGTCGAAGGCGACGGATATGCCAACTACGCCGCGCAGATCACCGCCATCTTCGTGCTTGAGTTCGGCGTCATCTTCCACTCCATCTTCATTGGCCTCACCCTCGCTGTCACAGACAATTTCATTATCCTATTCGTCGTCTTGGTCTTCCACCAAACCTTTGAAGGCTTCGGACTGGGCGCTCGCCTAGCCATGGCAACCTGGCCCAAGGGGGCGCGGGGCTGGACGCCCTACATTCTGGGCATGCTCTACGCCATCAGCACGCCCTTGTCGATTGGAATGGGCCTTGTCGCCAACGAGACTCTTTCGCTGGATGCGGCAACGAGCAAGGTGGTCAATGGCGTCTTTGATGCCATCAGCGGCGGCATCCTCATGTACACGGGTCTTGTCGAGCTGGTGGCTCACGAGTTCATGTTTAGTCCCGAAATGCGCAGAGCAGGTCTGCCGACGCAGCTTGCGGCGTACGCCTGCGTGGCGACGGGTGTTGGCTTGATGGCGCTCCTCGCGAAATGGGCGTGAGCTTGGTGAGGATAGAATCGCTTGTATATATATATACATATAGACGTATTTCAACACTGGCCTTTTTGGAAGCTGGGTCTAGAGATGGCTAGGGGGTTTCATTTACGGTTTGGTAGCCTACTTAGGTGGAAGTTCTGGGTAGAAGTCTGCTGTTTACTGATGACGGAAGGGTAGACGGTTTGATACCCAGGTGACGCAAGACATTGTCAATGGTATTGTACTCTTATCTCCTCGGTTCTGTATCCGTTTGGTCAACCCGTTAGAGGGCAATCCCAGATATGTATCAGAAAACAGAATAGACCGCGAGACAGACCAGTACTCTAGAAGCGGGATCCTAAGGCCGGGATGTTCGCAAGTGAAATGTGACCTACTCTCCTTCCGGTCGGGAGTCAGCTTCACTAAGATTCATTACCATTACCATTACCACTGCCATTACCAACAAAACGACCAGCCATCTCAACACAAAAGGGCGGTAAGCTGCGAAATCCAGGACCCTTTAACCAGCAAGCCAACCACCACCGCTCCTTCCAAGAACCGGTCCTGCTCTGAAAATGGCATCTCAATGCTCCTTAATCACTCCACGCTGCAAGGTTCGAGAACCGACGGAAAGAAATATGAAGTGCCGCCTTTGGAGTGGCGGAAAAAAACAAAAAGGGCAGCCCGCATCTCTCGTGCATGCATGCAGTTCAGGGGTTCGCTTGGTAGTCTACGAGCCCTCTCGTTCTCTCTAATTCTGACCGCGACGTTGGTATGCCACGGCCCGCGCAAACACACTCCTGTCTCGCATCTGGGCCTCTCTTTTGCTCCCCACGTGCGAACCCGACTTCTTAGCCCGGTTCTGGGCCCATTTAGCTCTCTTCTTCCTCATCGTCGACGACGTGGCTGCAGGTGGCGGCGGCGGAGCTGTCGCGGACGGAGAAGAGAGTCGGTTATCCTTGTTGTTGTTACCGTTGTATGTGAATCTCTGTCTGAGGTATAAAACGCTTAGTGACTGCTGAACTGTTGCGCGATTGCTCGGCTTCTGACTCTTCGGTTTCCTCCTGCTGCTCTCAGCCCTGTCCCGGTTGCGGCGACTATACGACTCCGCGCGGGAGATCTCCGAAACACTATCAAACTCTGCGCGACGACGGCGGTCGAGCTCCGGGATCGACACTTCGAATCTACCTGCCCGATGGTCCCGCTCAGGTGCTGGCGAGGCAAAGTAGCCTGATTTGCCCGCCACGGTCGAGATGGGGTCGGGCAGTTGTGAGCTGCTTGGAGTGGTGCCAGAGGAAGGGTCGTAGGGCGACCGATCTGGTTGTTGTGACAGAAAGGCACTGGAGAGCCTGCGGTGATCACCGCCTTCCTCAAGGAATTCCTGGAATGACTTCGGGTCCACGGCGCGGGTTCTGGGTTTCGCGCAGGGCGGCTGGTCTGGTGCGGATGGAAACACCTTCCACTGTTGAGAAAATGCCAGTCAGCGTGTGTGGTGGGAAACAGATATGGAGTTAGTGGTGGAAACATTCGAGACTTACATCTGACGGGGCGATGGCGTTCGTCCGCTGGAAAGCGGACTGGATGGGCTCTTTCTGTGGCCGGCGTACTTCAACATCATCTCCATCATCCTCGATACTAAGAGCATTCACGTCTTCCATATTGACTTGGGCATCGGATTCCCCGTCCTCGGAGTCGAAGTCCCAACCCACAGAACCACCCCCTTGTTCGTCCCCATCCCGAGCCCGGCTTGAATTCAAGCCCTCGCCCGCCTGAAACTGGCGGACACACCTGTCGCAATTGCATTTGCGACACCCGGTGACGCTCTCACGCTTGCCCCTGACGACGAACGGGTGAGTCGTAACGTATATCTTCAGCCCGGTCGTACATTTGATAGTTTGAAGGAAGTCCCAACACTAGTTCCAGGTCAATGTCAGCCATGCCGTTCAGTTTGTGACTTTGAGGCCGAGTTTGAACAGAGAAATCATTGAACACACTTACATTGGCGCAGGGGCCGTGATCCATAACGATCATCGCCCTCTTGAGCATGCCATGAACTTGGGCATCGCGCAATTCTTCCATGCGCCTGACATCTGTGGTCTTGAGAACCACATTCAAAGCCGCGATGACCCAATAAAGGGCCAATTTCTTCTCCTATCTGACCGGTTAGCGACTCAACAGGATTGCAGGGAAAGGCCCTATAGAGAGGCCGGCCATCACGAACCGCGTGGCAAGCGTGGAACCGCCCCTCATCTTCGGGGAGCGCCTGCCCGTTTTTGTCCCGATAGGACTCTTTCAAGTTGAAGTCCAGGAACTTCGCAACGTCCATGACAAGTTTTGTGTACTTGTCGTTGTTTAAAACCCAGTTATTGCTCTTCCCGGTATCCTTCCAACCACTTGTGGCCGCCATTTTACACGAGGATTTGCGAGCGAGAAAATCACGCCCGTCGTGGCACGCTCTAGCTGTTGCCTGTCGACTTTAAAAACATCGACGGGCCGGAGGAGGACCACCTCGCCCCGATCTTTGTATATGAAGGCTTTGGAGAACTCATGTTCTCCAATTCGGCTTCATGCAAGACCCGGTCAGCATCAGAAACTTTCCAAGTAGCCTGTAAGCGGCAATGCTGGTCAAGCAGAGCTAGCGGGGTGGAAAAACGAACCTGGATGCCCGAGCAACAGGGTATCTGAGAATCTTCGCGATTATATGGCCGATATCTTTTCTGGCGCTTAGTAACAGCGGGAAAGCCGAGGCGCCGATAAGCCTTTAGCTTTCGCTTGAAAAGGCTTGCTCTTGCATACTGAAGGGCAAGGTGTCCTCGACTGTCTTTGGCTTTTATCGAAGCTCCTTTCTGTAAAGGAAGCCTCGCAATTGCAAGGCGGTCCGTCAAGACGGCCATCATCAACGGAGTCGAGCCATCGATATCCCTAGAATTCATCATCACCTCGCCATCTGGTGAGTCGAGGATCTTTATAACTTCGCGAGTCTTGCCCGACAGGATAGCCGTGTGTAACGGGCTAAGACCGAGTCGCCGTCGGGCTCCTTCGTGAAGTTCCATATTTGGATTTCGAAAGGCAGCTACCCAGGAAGCAGAGAGGACGAACAGGCAAAAACAGCGGCGGTAGTAGGTAAATGAAGTACAATAAACAGCGTGTCAAGAGATAGGAAAATGAACGAAATGGTTACACGTTTCTTCAGTCACTGCTGATTTGGGGAGGGAGAAGGCGGCAGAAAAAGAGCCTTGAGGAAGTTGCTTGATTTGCTCGGTTGGAAAACCAAGGAGGGAGAAGTGGTTCCAAGCAACCAGGCTAGGTCTTCGAGAGAGATTCCACGGTAAGAAAAAGTACAATAAGAAGCGGGAGACAAGAAAGCGCTGGAGTGGAGGGTGAGAGTGTGGGTTTTCAGCGATCGATTTTGAGAGAGGCGCAAAGGGAAGGCTTGCAGAAGGGAAATGGTGAAGAGGCCAGAAGCCGAACAGCCGCCATTTGCACTTTCGAGATTGGAAGAAGTGGCATGGCACCTGCCAGAGCATCAAATTCAGTAAGTCACAATTCAATCGTCGTCCGAAGTAAATTGTGGAGGCAAACCAGGCAAGGCTCATGTGATCAAGCAAGCCAGTAATCCTTTTATGACGCCTAAACCATATGCTACCGGGAATCTAGACCTGACCCATGCCGCGCAGTGCCTTTCGGCTCCCATTCCACCCAGGCATCTTCTCTCGTCAAGCAGAGAATGACGGGGTGTAAAGTAACTTTGAAGGACGAACTCATATGAGGACGAATTTACTCCTCCTCCTCCTCCTCCTCATCCTCAGCCTCAGCAACGGTCTGTGCAATCCCTGTTTCTCGCGTTAGAGGATGCCCGTACCACAAAACTGAGGGGTTACCTACGGTCAAGATCACGCTGGCCCTGCTGGGTAATACGGCGGCCACCCTTCTCCTCGTCCTGCTCGAGAACCTGGATCTTCTCGAGAGCCTGCATAATCTTGCGGTCTACGCTGCCGCTGGCATCGACGTGCTTGGAGGGGCGGGTGCCGCGGTTCTTGGCGCTGCCGTGGACCTTGCGGAGACGGCCGACACCGACGGTCTTTCTGAGATAGACGTGGCGGGCAACCGAAGCGGCACGGACGTAGAACCAGTCAATGTCCTGGGGAGGCATCTCCTTGGCAGGGCCGGTCTTGACGGTGTCGACCCAACCTATGCAGAGCATCCTGTCAGAAACTCGGTCGATCGAAGCAACGGTTTGCGGTCGGCGAAACTAACCGGGTACAGGGAGCTTGCCCTGGCGCTTCAGGAAAGCCGCGTAGGCATCTGCCGTTAGGTTAGCTTACTGCTGAGCACTGCAGAGGAGAAGAAAAAAACTTACTGACGAACTTGTGAGCCTTTCACCCAGCAACAAACTTGATTAGCATGATTCCGTCTTCAGAGATCTTTCGACCCCCTCACGCCTGCTCCCATCATCTTTCTTTGTTGCTGCAAGGGCCAACAGTCCGTCATGGTCGGCCAGCGAAAATGGCAGCGACTCGACAGCGAAAGAGTGTTCGGGTCTCGGTCGCAGAGGCCATTCAGGACACAGAGCTGCATGCACTTACATCGACATCACGAACACCGACACCTCCGGGCATTTTGGCGGTATTTATTGGGGTATTTGGGCGGAGATGGTAGAAGTTGATCGTTCGTGACGGCGGAGGTTGTCGGTGCAAGCAAAGCCGCAGGTCTTCAATTGAGGGCGCCGGAAATTCTTGGAGTGGAGGAGAGAGTCTTGGCGTTTGTCCTTATCAATTAGGGCTGTGGCCCTGGCACTTGTTATCGGATTACGACCCTAACCCTGAGTCTGCAAGGTCGACTTCATTTGAAGAATCCCATTCCATGATCAGTGATCACCAATTGACTGTGGGCCCTCCTCCATGGCCTGTTTGTCCTGATCGACGAGAGAATCGCATGGTGGTAGCTCGGTTTCTAGGGTACGTACACTTCCTCGAATCTACCTGTTAAGCAAGTGATGCATTTCATCAGGATCGGGATTGAGATCAATTGGGAGACCATTCTCCTTCTCTCGTGCGAAGCTGGCTTGTCTGGACGCTGAACTCTGAAAACCGTTATGTTATGTTTATGAAGTACTCCGTACATACCCTAACCCAAACAGCACTCCGATTCATAAAGTCCAGCCTAACATTCTCTGGTTCCAGGCGCATCTCTTGACAGCAAAAGATGGCTTAACGTTTCTCAACCCAAGTGTTTCAAGCCACACTTGCGGGAGATACTCATGATCTCCGGATCGCTGTTCGGAGATTTACACTGCTGCCCGAAGTCCTGTCAACAGGAGTTTGAACTCTAAATCTCCCTACATGAGACGATGAACCCCATGTCGTCCGTTCTGTGCCGCCCGAAGATTGGATTGCACACCTGCATGCCCCAGACTTGGCGCCGTCTGTGACAGGCACCGTTTCACCATTCCCGCTGCGGTCTTTGCGCCCACTGCTGTCATCGAACAAAAGCCCATGCTCATGCGACAGGGGCACCACACTTCAACCGCTCGCCAAACAACAAGCGCCCCCCTTTCAGGGACTTTGACATCAATGGTAACCAGTGAGCCTTCAGCGCAACCCTGTGCGACAAAGTTTCCCGCGCGCGTTTCCCATGACGGAGCAAATCGATCTGCAATTACATTGTACAGTACACACGGGTGGTCTTCTAACCCCTACTGTGTACGCTGCCTGTCATCAAGGACAACGCTTCGAAACATTCGAGCTGCTAGTCCGTGAGCCGCCCTCCTGGGCTCATTGCCGCCATCGCCAATCTAGCTTCCCTCGGCCACTCACTGACAAGGGATACATGCACGAAACGTTCTGGAGCCTGCACATCAGAGGATCCCATGAAACCCATTAACCAGGCAGGGGACTTACCTTACCCTGATTCAAATTGCGAATGGGGGGAAAGCAGTTAGATGAGCTGGGACTGCCTAGTTCCTACCTCTCCCACCAGCGTGTAAGCTGCCCGGGGAATGAAAGTATCATAGGAATAAGTAGCACTAGGTTCCCCCGAACCATTATACTCTACTTTCTTCACCGGTCTCTCCTTTGAGTCGTCACTCCTGATGTGCTGTTGTACATAGTACCGTCCCTTTATCAACCTTCGCTTCTTGACCTGCCTGCTGGGCGGGCATCCATTCCTTTGCTTGATTGAGTGAGGCTTCTGTTCACGCTCTCTATTATTCGTACGGTTGTGTATTGATAGCATACACCATGGTCTTTACACTCTCTTCCCTCCTTGCTCTGGTTGCCCTGGCGGGCGCAAAACCCCTTCGTTCCCGAGCAGTCGACCGCCTCGATGAAGCTGCTACCGCCGAGGCCCACCAGCGAGACAATGGCGCCACTCGAGCCTTTTCTGGCGTCCAGATCAAGGTATGAGGTCGGAGATGAAGGAGTGCCCCGTTTTGATGCTAACCCGCCGATTGTAGACATCAGACGGGAAATGTCTTTTTGTTGACAAACTCTCGGGCGATTTCCGCGCCAATCTTACTCCGGTTCAGGTTGCCGAGTGTGGATTAACCGACGGACAGGGCTGGGATGTCATCACGGCAGGCAAACACATCACGGGCGATGGTGTCATGCTCGTTGTGAGCACTCTGACCCAAGCCTGCTTGAATGTTGATACGCGCAGACCGGCCGGGAACCAGGTTCTGCTGTTCTCGTGTGGCGGCCGGGCTGACGGAGGTACGTGATATGACAGCACGACTCCCGAGGGTTCTCTGCTGATGCTCTTCCCTAGGCGGAGAGGTGACCGATTCACAACTCTTTGTATTCAATGGCGGCGCCGGTCCCCTCTCTTTCCAACCGCGGAATGAAAAGGGTTCTTGTCTTGTTGTTAAGAATAATGCTCTCGATATCACCAATTGCAACAACGGGGATGCCAGTCAGTCTTTCACATTTGGCGGCACCGCAGTTGGAGGGGGTGGCAACGGCGGTAATGGCAACGGCGGTAATGGCAACGGCGGTAATGGCAACGGCGGTAATGGCAACGGTAATGGCAACGGCGGCGGAAACGGCGCTGGTGGTGGTAACAATGCCGGACAATCGTCAACGACCTGCACCAAAACGACCCGGACGGTAACCGTGGCCTCGTCCACGACTGCTAAGGCTACCAGCGCTTCCTCATCTACCAAAGCTGCTCAGACTACCACCACCCCTTCCTCTACCGCGGCCGCCCAAACAACAACAGCAACAACAACGCCCGCAACAAGCGCGGGCGGCGCTACTGGGACCAGGACAGGGGGCATTTTGACGGTGAACCCCACGGAGCCCGTACCAGTTTCACGAGCCGGCGGTACTCTGCAGCCCACAGCCGCCGCCGAGTCTCACGAGCGCGACGATACAGCCACAAGAGCGTTCAGCGGCGTCTCTATCCGCGCGCCCAATGGGCAGTGTCTCTTCATCGATCCGACGGCGGGCGACTTCCGGCAGAACCTGATCCCGGTTTCCCTGGTGGACTGCACGGGCGCGCCCAACGAGAAGTGGGACGTCATCACCGCGGGCAAACACAACCAGGCAAATCCCGGGCAGCCTCCTGCTGCGCTGATTGTTAGCGCACTGGTATGTTTCCCTGATTAAGCGATACGGAAGAAGCGAAGAGGGAATTTGCTTGCACAGGAAACTAACATGAGATCCGCTCAGACCCAAGGCTGCATCAGCTTTGACGGCAGGCGGCAAGCTGGTGACACGGTAACCCTCTTCTCCTGCGGCGGCCGTGCTGATGGTGGTGAGTAGCTCCTATGCTCCTGGATGCCACCCTCTGCCCCTTTTGTTACGTTGCACACGTCTAATCATTCTTCTGTAGACGGTGGCACCGATGGCAACCAGCTCTTCCCATTCATCGGACAGACAAGCTTCGCGTTTGCTCCGCGGAACGAGCAGAACAGAACTTGCATCCTCCCTGGAAATGGTAGACTTGATTCGGGTCCTTGCCCTACTGATGGTTCTCAGCTGTTTTCCATCTTTGAGTGAACGGGCATGTCGTTCGGTTGATGTTGGATCGCCGAACAGGAAGACCTCGTGCCGATGCTGGATCCGGGGTTAAGCTCGATCACTGTATGAAGATTGGAGCGCGGGGCGGTATCTTTGTAATTCTCGATGTTGTCTGTATTATGTTTGCATCTTTTTATCCGAGGAAAGATGAGAGCTCCTCTCACTACCGTACTGTGTATACGGAGGAGAGACAGGCTTGAACGAATGTCACGAGTGCAGCAGTTGGTGCAACGCAACCGTTCTGTAGAGGCAGTTGGCCGTGCAGTGGATTGAGTGTCCCTCGGCGCTTCACTTGCAGTTGATTGGTCAGCAAGCTCGGGAAGGATCGACCAGCCGCCGAACCTCCCACCGCAGTATTCCACTTGACATCATCCCGAAATTTTGCTTTCGCAAATACCTCGCCGGCCGGCAGCGGAAAGGCACTTACTATAGCAGACATTTCTTTCTCATATACTACTCAGCTAGAGTACTCAAACCATGCCACCTCTCCGCTGCGCCAACGCGCCGACACCAGCCAAGCTCTTCGTGCAGCTCAGCATGCGACGGCAAGCCATCTCGCCCTCGCCCGCACTGCCCATCCTCGACCTCCTCCTCCCCCGTCTAAGCACCAGCGCCGGGGAACCCTCCCTCCGCGCGCGCCGCGCCCTCTCAACTGCGAACGCGGCAACTGCCACCACATACACCACGTATCCCTTTCCCTGTCCCCGGCACAAAATTCCGACCTTATGGCAACAGCGACTCCCCGGCGCCACATCCTCTCATCATCGCTCATTCACCACCACCCCCTCCCGGCGCGCAACGCACACGATATTCAACCCGCAGTTAGACGAAGATGGCAATGAAATGCGCCTGGAAATCACCCCGCGCGCAGCAAAGGTTTGTCCTTTTCGCCACTCCTCGAAAATGCCACCTTTTACCCGCCCTCCCTGCCTGTAATACATGCAGACTAACCGCTACCCGCTACAGCGCCTCACCGAGATCATGGCCAAAGACCACAACCCCTATCTGGCGCTGCGCATCCAGGTCGAGTCGGGCGGGTGCCACGGGTTCCAGTATCTCATGAAGCTCGTCACCCTGCCTGACTCTTTACCCAGCCTTGGGGAGAAAGACGGCGGCGAGGCCTCCCCAGACAACACCGAGTCAGCAGCAACATCCAATGCTATAGGTGCGGACGACACAATCTTCACATATACCCCCGATGACAACGACGGGGGCTCTCCCCAAACAGCAGACCTGACGGTTCCCAAAGTTATACTGGACCAACCCTCGCTGGAGCTTCTCAAGGGAAGCAAAGTGGACTTTACGATGGAGCTCATCGGGTCGCAGTTCAAGATTGTGGATAACCCCTTGGCCACGAGCAGCTGCGGTTGTGGCACGAGTTTTGACATCAAGATATGACGGGTTTCCTTCCATGTTGATATGGTGTATAAATGATACCCATTGATATTCGAGCACGGGCTGAACAAGACCACATGTATGTACACTGCTACCTATAGCAACAGATATAGACACATGCCAGGCCAGTACGTGGTCAAAAAGATCAAGTCAGTGGCCCTGAGCGACTCTTGTGGAATTCGGGTAGCATCCTGGCCAGTGGACAGTAGGCTAGATCACAAAGTCTAAGGGTGAATCAGATGTTGCGTGCAAGAACGACATCATGTGTTGCATTCATTCCCCGCGAGCCTCCCTGGCTGTCGCATTAACGCCGAGCACCCATGCAATTGCCCCTGACCTAGAGATAAGAACCGCAAAACCGCCAAAAGCCACCTTTTTAGTTCATCTGCCTGATCAGAGCATTGATGTGCTCCTCCCGATTGCCAAGGTCACCACCCTCAATGAAGTGCTTGAACTTGCGAGGGCGGAAGCCACCAGTGGGGTTGCTGAGCTTGAAGGGCCACAGGAAGTTGGAGGCCTGCTTGAAGTTGGGGCCGACAGTGTAGATCTCATGAATGAGATCCTCCATGCAGAGAATGCCAAACTTGCCCAGGTTCTCCTCAATGATGGCGTTGTCAGTCAGGGCGATGCGCTGGCCGTTGACCTTGCCATAACCGCGCTTGTAGATGAGCTCCTTGACGCTCTTCAGGTTGGGGTAGCCATAGGCAACCCACGGCTCGACAACCTTGATCATCTCAGCGGTGGCCTTGGTGACGCGAACGAAGACGCCATTGTTGATCTGGAGCAGACGGAGCAGCTGCAGGATCTTGCGCGGCTTAGGAGGGATCTTGTTGATACTTTTGAAACGTCAGTCCCGGCTTTCAAGACCCGATATTCGCGATAGTGGACCTACCCCTTGATGCGGATGACGAAGATCAGCTTGGCCTCGGCCGGGATGTGGAAGGAGCCTTCCTGCTTGGCGAGGCGAGCAAGGCGGATCTTCTCACGCTCGGCGTCACGGTACTCCTTGACGTACTTCTCAGCACGCTTGAAGATGGTGCCGCGCTTCTCCTTGTTGGCCTGCAACGAACTGTCAGCAACTCTGCAAGTCGCTCGCACTTAGAATGTCAAATCGTCCTCCACATGGTTCGATCAGACCCGAAAGATGGTATAAGTTTAGCAACAGCATTGACCTGGGTCTAGTCGCTATGTGTGTTGTGCATCATATCGTCCCACGGAGGTCCAACAGAAAACGGTAAACCAACCTGCTTCTTCTTCTCCTGCTCGGCAGCGCGCTCGGCGCGGGCCTTCTCCTGCGACTTGCGCTTCTTCAGGAGAGTCTCGGGAACCAGAATATCGTTCTGGGTCGGGACGGACCTAAGCGTTCAGATTAGTACGTAGTCCAGCATACCGCAGTATGTGGTAGAGCGCCGGTAGAGAACTGCTGCTCGTGCGACATTCTCTCGTGGCTAACTCGATTTTCAACGTCGATTGACGGAGACCCAGCAGTGCAAGCAAACAGCTTGCAACCGCACTGCGGACTCGCATGTCTCGACACCTTGAACAAACGTTCAAGAAGCTATGCTGGCATGGGCGGCCCAGTAGTTTTCGGCCACAGAACCGACTCCTAGCTCCTATATCCCAGCCGCAATGAATTTAAGGGTGAAGGCAGAGCCTTCAGCCCCAACACCCCGCGAGGCATCTCTCAGTCTACAAGCTGAACCGGCTCCAGCCTGGAGGAAAGAGGGAGAAACGCGGGAGGGATCGAGCTGGAGCGATGCCTGGTTCGAAATCGAAACCAGGAAAAGCATCCAGTGAGAGGACTACGCCAATCTGCAGAAAGTGACACGCGACGATACCATTCAAAACTTCAAGGAAATATGCTGGGGTGAGGCATACGTGGAAGCCATCTTTCTGGATTTGTCGACCTGTCTGGCGGTGCTGGAGTTGTCGTCGGTTCGGGTCGAGAAGATCGCAGGAGAAGAATTTCGGTGGTGGGCACGAGAAATAACGTCTGGAAATTTGGAGCTAAAAGTGGGGCCGATTGTTCGCTTCGTTTAACTTAGGGCTTGCGCCGAAAAGATTTGTGTCCGTGCCCCCGCTTTCTGCAGCGTCTCACCGCCAGAATTGATAGGGCATTATTCTTCCCACTTAGTGCCTCGAAATTCCGAGAAAGTCGTTGTCGACGGTCCATTTTCGCAAGAACACCAATACCCAAACCCCAAGGGAGGCAGGATCTCGAAGTCAAAATGGCCCCGAAGAAAGCCCCTCGTGCGCCTCAGGAGAACATCTCCCTGGGCCCTCAGGTCCGGGAGGGCGAGCTCGTCTTTGGCGGTTCGTTGACTCCCACCATCCAGACAGTCTGTGGAGACTCTTACCTGACGCTCGCTCTTCTGTACAGTTGCCCGCATCTTCGCCAGCTTTAACGACACCTTCGTCCATGTGACCGATCTCAGGTTCGTACGCCGCTGAATCTGAGAGACCTACGCACGGGGAGGTTGTGGGAGAAAGAGGAGGAAACCTGCAACTCCCACAACCCCCACCACCCCGCGATCAGGTCTTGACACACAAACGCATGGTTCTGAGGCTAACATTCTGGGTGATTCCAGCGGCCGCGAAACCATCTGCCGTGTCACCGGTGGTATGAAGGTCAAGGCCGACCGTGACGAGTCTTCTCCCTACGCCGCCATGTTGGCTGCCCAGGACGTTGCGGCTCGCTGCAAGGAGCTTGGCATTACTGCCCTTCACATCAAGATCCGTGCCACTGGTGGTATGTTTTCGCCTGTTCCCCCGACTCTCGCTGTTGAGGTATAAATCACGGATTGGCTAACGTTGAATTCTCTACAGGCAATGGTACCAAGACCCCTGGCCCCGGCGCTCAGTCTGCCCTCCGCGCCCTGGCCCGGTCCGGCATGAAGATTGGCCGCATTGAGGATGTTACCCCTACCCCCTCCGACTCGACTCGTCGCAAGGGTGGTCGTCGTGGTCGCCGTCTCTGAATTGGAGCGCGGTGGCTGCGTTGTCTCTGGGAAAGGACCGGGTTCTCGTTTGGGGGTTTTTGCTGTGGCGTTGACAACTACGAGGAGAACGGCCTTAGATTGCCTGGTCTCCATATCCTGGCGCTTGTCACATGTTGCTTATGGCACACCTGCAGCAGATTGAAAATAGAGAATCAAGGGATGGAGCTACGAAAGTAGCCCTGAACCAACGCTGCCTTGCGTCTAGGTCATCAGCGACCCCCAACGATGGGTTCTCTCCAAAACGCACTGGTATCATGAAGTCCATCTGTACTCTCCAGCTGCCCCGGTGAGTCGTGACTCTTATGCCTCCATGAACTTCCTTTTACGATTGCCGCACGTCCATATCATTACATAGCCCCGCATTACACAAGCTCGCAGTCCAAATAGGGGTTTCTTGGTACAAGTGATCACTGCAAGACACGGTAGACAGCCGTTGATGCCAATACGAGAACGCGTGAATGCCTTTGGTAAAAGAGCCTCTGATTCCTGTCTGCATTCCCTGGTCTATAGTGGATTCCATTTTACCACACCACAGAACCAGTTTTCATACGTAAAACAACCCTTGACCCAGTAAACTAGTAGCAAACTGAACCGATAAATCCCTCCGTCATCCCAAGACTAAGCACGAACCGCAGCACCAAGCGCACCGCCCGTAAACTGTGTGCCGCCGGCCTGCCGCTGTGTATTGCCGCCTGTCCTCGCGCCACCCCTGCCGCCACGTTGGCCACCACCCCTCGCGCCGCCGTGGTGCCTGCCGTCCTTTCTGCTGAAGGCGTTGGCCGAGCCTTGTGTCCTCATCTCGAGTGTGCGCTCGTTCGTCTCAATCAGGTTGCTCGCCTTATCTGAGAGGGCCAGGGCAAGGCTCTGGAGGCGGCTGAGCTCGACGCCCTTGCGGAAGATGACCGTCTCGGTCACAGGGTCATGAGCAGCGGCGAGCTCCTCATGGTTGGCCATCTTGTCAACAACCTCGGCGACCTTGCGTGAGTCAAGCTCAAACATGGAGCTCAGGGTCTCAATGGAAAGGGTGTCATAGAAGGGAGCATAGGTGAACAGGTAGGTCCGGAGTCCCTCCTCCTGGATCTGTTTGGCGAGCATGGCCTTGATACCCTCAGCGCCCGGCATGAGGTCCCATATCTTGATGCTGTGGATGAAGGTGATAGCCTTCTTCCACTCGCCAGCGGCCAGTGCCTTGGATGCCTGCATGACATGGTCACGAGTGTTCTCTGGCGGGCCGGTGAAGATCTGCCTCTCGTGGTATTCAAGCATGCGGCGGTACGTCTTGCTGATGATGCGCTTCTTGATATCCGGCGATGAGCCAATTTGCGCGAGCAACGGGATTTCAAGGAGCATGCTGCAGGTGAGATAGACGCACTCCAGAAGCTCCAAGTTGATGTGCATGTGGAAGGGAAGTTGCCGTTGCTTCTCGAGGCGTTCTTGCTCCGGTGTAACTTGACCGTAGCGCTGCATCATGACGCCCTGAGCCAAAAGCTCCTTTTGCCGACCGCTGCCGCAGATATCCTGAAGAGTATTCTGAGCATCATAGATCAGACCTTTCCGGAAGGCACACAGGCCGACCTGGACCAGGGTGCGGTTGTAGAGGATCTGTGTGGCGACATCGAAATTGGGAATGCTCTCTTGCAAGTGGGAGGTGAGCATCATGTCGCGCGCCCTGTCGTACTCTTCATGTAATGCCAGGAAGTAAATCTGGCAGAGCATGGCACGAGCGCGGATAATGCCCTCGCTATGCTCGAAAAGATAATCGCACAGGACGTGGATAAGCTTCCCGGCTTCGCTCGAGTAGGAACGAGGTGTGATGGCAGAATCCAAAGCATTGGAAATCTGCTTCCATGCGTTCTCCTCTAAAATCTTCACCACTTGAGCCGGCTGGGACACTCATGTTAGCAAAGTTCCCAAAGGTTCCGCGACGAAGGAATCTCAACATACCTTGAAGTAAACGTGATCCAAACGTCGCTGGATAATCCTGTTCAGGCTCTCTTGGGGCACTTCTAAGGACGCATCCTTGCGGATGGTCTCATAGTAGAGAAGACCCTGGAGAATAATGGTGTAGAGCGATGTCTCGTCCGTCAGCCTCTCAATGTACTCGGAGGTGTGGGGATCGATGCTCTGCAAAGAGCGGGTAAGCTCGTCATCCAAGCGCTCAATGTATGACACTACGCTGCCGGGCACCTTGATGTACTTGTCATCAGGACCCAGGACAGGCGTCTTTTCGTCGTCATCCCACTCCTCTGCATTCTCGATCACAACGTGGTCCTTGTGCGTCTCGAGGAGGGCAAGCAGAGCTGCCAGCTCCTTCTCGGCGGCCTTCCAGTGTTCCAACGGCATTGAAGACGCGGTGCCGGTACCCAGATCGAAGCGAGCCGAAACCAGTGTCTGAAGGACCCGAATCTTGAGATAGGGCGTCTCGGCAACCTTATTGAGCTCTTCCATGACCCTGATCTGCTCCAAGCGGTCCGTACTCTTCCTGCCCCTGGACTCGATGATTGCACGAAGGTGCTTTTGAATGCTCTCGGGAGAATAGGTAATGGCCTTGCCGCCGCGTTTGGGGACCGTGGCGAAACCCTTGTCGTCCTCATCTTCTGGCTCCCCGGAAACTGGCTCCTGGAACCTGACCTTGGTGGCTTTTGGAAGAGGCAACTCCTCCTCGTCCGACTCCATAAACGCATCGCTGTCTTTCCTGAAAGCATCGATCTGAGCCTGGTACTCCTTGTTGTTCTTCTTGATGCGTTGCTTGACAGCATTGAGACCCCGTGCGTTTGTGGCGTTCATCTTTTTTGGCGTGACTTTCTGCTTGGCCAGAGTCTCGTTCATGAAATCCTCCAACTCGGCGATACACTTGATGTATGACTTTGGCGCCTTGCCGCCATCCTGTAGTTTTATCACCTGACGGTTAAGTTTGTCGAACTCTAAAGCAGGGTTAGCACTGTATGCCTTTCTCAAAAGACAAGAGACGTACCATTTGCGATGGAGCCCCAGTCATTGATCTTCTGGCCGTTTTGAATGGCGGTAATCGTAGCCTCGAGTTCGTCGAACCTCTTGTCTTTGGCACTCTTGACCTTTGTTGCCCCTTCCACATCGCTTTCCTCACTCTCGGAGGATGCTTGGTCAACCAAGAAACGGGACAAGCCCTTCTTTTGAGGACCGGCTTCATCGTCGGACTCTTCCTCCTCCTCATCCTCCTCCTCTGAGGACTCCTGCTCCTCCTGCTCCTCCTCCTCTTCCTCCTCAGATGTGGAGTACAGCTCCTCCTCCTCAGAGCTGCTCTCGGTCGAGCTCTCGTCGCCGCCGCGGAAGAATCGAGACATGATTGCAGCTAGTCCGTAATCGCTATGCTATTCGGTGGTACTTTTCGTGGTCCTCGACAACGCGTTGCTCGGTGGTGGCCTAATCTGGCGATGTAGGGCGAAAACTGAGAGTTGGAGGGGTTGAATTAATTTTCGCTGAATGGTGATTTTCTTAGTGGGGCGATTTGGGGCTAGCGACCGTGGCGGGAATGTCAGTTGAGTCAATGGGCAGTGCGGCACAGGCGCACAAGTACTCCGTACTGTGGAGTGCTCCTCCGCATCTCACTCGCACACTGTCTTTGACATTGAGAACACTGGAAGCCCGCTACTCTAGGCATGAAACAGTCTGTCTTTGTTCAGAGCCAGACCATACGATTCCGGCACCTAACCCCCGAGAGCCTACAGATACTACGGTATTCAGGCGAAGTACGAAGTAGTTACTTTAATACACATCCAACTGATGCAGCTATAAGCGACGCGGGCTACGAAGTACAGTTCAGTGGTACGGGAGCCGTGTATTCGTACAGTACGTTGTAGTTACATCTTGTCTTGGACCATTCGATGACTTGTAATTTTTCGAAATTCGGTTCCAGTGCAGTGAGTGCAAGCCACAACTTGCAAGCCTTGTTAACGTCAGTTATGCCTCTACCGGGGCAGAGAGACAAACGCGAGTTTGCCTAACAGCTGTGGCACTTGCTGAGCGCTTTGCCTCGTTAAAGCAAGTTGCGCCACTCGTCCCGTCGCGAGAGCTACTCAAGTTTTTTTGTATCGAGCATCGACCATTACCAGCTCCATCAAATCATCACACCAAATTCGCGAGATCACCGCTGCGGACGCCTGCGGGATCGTCGCCTCCATCACACAAGTTCATGGAGGCTATCATTGAATTCATCTCTCATCCTTGAAGCAGCGCAATCTTGGCCTCTGGTGCATTCGACGAGGAAACACAGCTGCATCAACCACCGCGCCGATAGGCGATAGCACCTTTCTGGTGGTCAAGTCCACCCAGAGTTGCACCTGACGACATCACCATGTCTTCTTTCCCTCCCCCTCCGCCGCCTCCTCCGGGCTGGGGCCCGCCTCCTCCACCTCCCCCCCCGCCAGGACCCCCGTCGTCGCTCCCTCCACCGCCCGCTCTCCCCGCGCCACCCCCTCCGGGCTACCGCCCGCCCGTCGATCCCCAGATCGCCAAGTTCGCGCAGAAGAAGAAGGAATGGCTTCGCAACCAGCGCAGCCGCTTTGGGGAGAAGAGGAAAGGCGGCTTTGTCGAGACCCAAAAGGCCGACATGCCGCCTGAGCACTTGCGCAAGATCGTGAAGGATATTGGCGACGTTTCCCAGAAGAAGTACACGAGTGACAAGCGCAGCTACCTCGGTGCGCTCAAGTTCATGCCGCACGCGGTCATGAAATTGCTGGAGAACATGCCCATGCCGTGGGAATCGGCGAGGGAAGTCAAAGTTCTCTACCACGTCAACGGCTGTTTGACTCTGGTCAACGAGATACCCCGAGTTATTGAGCCTGTCTTTTTTGCGCAATGGGCCACCATGTGGACGACGATGCGTAAGGAAAAGAGCGATCGAAGATTGTTCAAGCGCATGCGGTTTCCGCCTTTTGACGATGAAGAGCCCCCGCTCTCCTGGTCTGAGAATATCGAAGACGTAGAGCCGCTTGAACCGATTCAGATGGATCTCGATGAGGAAGAAGAGGCGGCTGTGTACGAATGGTTCTACGACCACCAACCCCTCGTCGACACATCGCACGTCAACGGCCCGAGTTACAAGACATGGAACCTCACGCTGCCGCAGATGGCAAGCTTGTTCCGTCTGAGTCGCCCTCTGGTGTCGGACGTGGTGGACAAGAACTACTTCTATCTGTTTGAGTTGAAAAGCTTTCTGACAGCAAAGGCCTTGAACGTTGCGTTGCCAGGTGGTCCCCGGTTTGAACCACTCTATAAAGACATCGATCCCAATGACGAAGACTTTGGAGAGTTCAACGCTATGGATCGCATCATCTTCCGAAACCCAATCCGGACTGAGGTTCGAGTAGCTTACCCGTACCTTTACAACGCGCTGCCCCGAAGCGTGCACCTGTCTTGGCACTCTCATCCACAGGTCGTCTACTCCAGAACCGAGGATCACAATCTCCCCGCGTTTTACTTCGATACCAGCATTAACCCTATCTCCTCCCGCGCGGTTGCCCCGCGAAATCTTACCGTCAGTCATGAGGATGAGATATTTGGGAAGGGGAATATCGAGGAGCCTGAAGAGGAGGCATTTGAGCTGCCTGCGGCCGTTGAGCCCTTCTTTGCCGACGAGGAGTTATACACAGAGGACACGGCATCCGCGATCGAACTGTGGTGGGCGCCTTTCCCCTTTGACCGCCGCTCCGGGCGCATGGTGCGAGCCCAGGATGTTCCCCTCATCAAGCACTGGTACCTGGAGCACTGCCCACCCAAGCAGCCAGTCAAAGTGCGCGTGTCGTATCAGAAGCTTCTCAAGACGTACGTGCTCAATGAGTTGCACAAGAAGAGGCCAAAGTCACTGCAGAAGCAGAATCTTCTCAAGACCTTGAAGGGGACAAAGTTCTTCCAGCAAACGACGATTGACTGGGTTGAAGCAGGCCTACAAGTCTGCCGCCAGGGCTTCAATATGCTCAATCTGCTGATTCACCGCAAGAACCTTACATATCTCCATCTTGACTACAACTTCAATCTGAAACCCGTCAAGACATTAACCACCAAGGAGCGAAAGAAGTCAAGATTCGGCAACGCGTTCCACCTCATGCGAGAGATCTTGCGGCTAACCAAGCTCATTGTCGACGCCCAAGTGCAATACCGGCTGGGCAATATCGATGCCTTTCAACTTGCTGATGGCATACTTTATGCCTTCAACCACGTTGGACAGCTAACGGGCATGTACCGATACAAGTACAAGCTCATGCACCAGATCCGCTCGTGCAAAGACTTGAAGCACTTGATATACTACCGGTTTAACGCCGGTCCTGTGGGCAAGGGCCCCGGTTGCGGATTTTGGGCGCCCGCATGGAGAGTCTGGCTGTTCTTCATGAGAGGCATCATCCCGTTGCTTGAGCGTTGGCTTGGCAACCTTCTCTCACGTCAATTTGAGGGTCGTCACAGCAAGGGAGTGGCCAAGACTGTTACAAAGCAGCGAGTCGAATCGCACTTCGACTTGGAACTGCGAGCCTCGGTCATGGCTGATCTGATGGACATGATGCCGGAAGGCATCAAACAGAACAAGGTCAACACGGTGCTTCAGCATCTTTCCGAGGCGTGGAGATGCTGGAAGAGCAACATTCCCTGGAAGGTCCCTGGCTTGCCCGCCGCCATCGAGAACATCATTTTGCGATACGTCAAGGCCAAGGCCGACTGGTGGATTTCGGTCGCCCATTACAACCGGGAGCGCATTCGTCGGGGCGCCACTGTCGACAAGACCGTGGCAAAGAAGAACGTTGGACGACTGACACGGTTGTGGCTCAAGGCTGAGCAAGAGAGACAGCACAACCACATGAAAGACGGGCCATACGTCTCGTCCGAGGAGGCTGTTGCCATCTACACGACGACTGTCCATTGGCTCGAATCGCGAAAATTCTCGCCTATCCCTTTCCCCAGCGTCTCTTACAAGCATGACACCAAGATTCTTATCTTGGCGCTTGAACGGCTGCGGGAGGCCTATTCCACCAAGGGTAGGCTGAATCAGAGCCAGCGAGAAGAGCTTGCTCTGATTGAGCAGGCTTACGACAGCCCGGGAACGACTCTGGAGCGGATCAAGCGCTTCCTTCTCACACAGCGGGCTTTCAAAGAGGTCGGCATCGATATGAACGACAATTACAGTACCATCAACCCGGTGTATGACATTGAGCCCATCGAGAAGATCAGCGATGCCTATCTCGATCAGTACCTCTGGTACCAAGCTGATCAGCGCCATCTGTTCCCCGCTTGGATCAAGCCCTCAGATTCCGAAGTTCCGCCTCTTCTCGTATACAAGTGGGCGCAGGGCATCAACAACCTCGAAAACGTCTGGGAAACCGCGAATGGCGAGTGCAACGTCATGATTGAGACCCAGCTTTCCAAGGTTTATGAGAAGATCGAACTGACTCTGCTCAACTCACTTCTGCGCCTGATTATGGACCACAACTTGGCCGATTACATCACGGCCAAGAACAACGTTACGCTGACGTACAAGGACATGAGCCATGTCAACAGTTACGGCATGATCCGTGGGCTTCAATTCTCGGCGTTTGTCTTCCAGTACTATGGCCTGATCCTCGACCTTCTCCTTCTCGGTCCTCAGCGGGCCAGCGAGATAGCTGGTCCCCCGCAGAGCCCCAACGACTTCCTCCAATTTCAGGATCGCGAGACGGAAGTAAGACATCCCATTCGGTTGTACACCAGGTACATTGACAAGATCTGGGTGTTCCTGCGTTTCACCGCCGACGAGTCGAGAGACCTCATTCAACGATTCCTCACAGAGCAGCCGGATCCCAACTTTGAGAATGTCATCGGCTACAAGAGCAAGAAATGCTGGCCCAGGGACTCCCGGATGCGACTGATGAGGCACGACGTGAATTTGGGGAGGGCTGTCTTCTGGGATCTCAAGAACCGGCTCCCGAGATCGGTGACTACGATTGAGTGGGATGATACATTTGCTAGTGTCTACAGCAAGGACAACCCCAATCTTTTGTTCTCTATGTGTGGTTTTGAGGTGCGCATTTTGCCCAAGATCCGCAACCAGAACGACGAGTTCCCGGTCAAGGACAGCGTATGGTCTCTTGTGGACAACAGAACCAAGGAACGGACCGCACATGCTTTCCTGCAAGTGACTGAGGAGGATATTCAAAAGTTCAACAACCGTATCCGCCAGATCCTCATGTCGTCGGGTTCAACGACCTTCACCAAGATCGCCAATAAGTGGAACACCGCGCTGATCGCTTTGTTTACGTACTACCGGGAAGCGGCCGTCTCGACCGTCAATCTGCTCGACACCATCGTCAAATGCGAGACCAAAATCCAGACTCGAGTCAAGATCGGCTTGAACTCGAAGATGCCCTCGCGTTTCCCGCCGGCCGTGTTCTACACTCCAAAGGAACTCGGCGGCCTCGGCATGATATCTGGCTCACACATCCTGATCCCAGCAAGTGACAAGCGTTGGTCCAAGCAGACTGATGTCGGTGTGACCCACTACCGAGCGGGCATGTCTCATGACGAAGAGACGTTGATCCCCAACATCTTCCGCTACATCATCCCCTGGGAGGCAGAGTTCATCGATTCGCAGCGCGTGTGGACCGAGTATTCCCAGAAGCGCCTCGAGGCAAACCAGCAGAATCGGAGGCTCACCCTGGAAGACTTGGAAGACAGCTGGGATCGCGGATTGCCCCGTATCAACACTCTGTTCCAGAAAGACCGTAGCACTTTGAGCTTTGACAAGGGATTCCGTGCTCGGGCGGAGTTCAAGATCTACCAGCTAATGAAGAGCAATCCATTCTGGTGGACAAGCCAGAGGCACGACGGCAAGCTCTGGAACCTCAATGCGTACCGTACAGACGTCATTCAAGCCCTGGGTGGTGTCGAGACAATTCTGGAGCATACTCTGTTCAAGGCGACTGGATTCCCCTCCTGGGAGGGTCTCTTCTGGGAAAAGGCGTGCTGCGCGTTCGGCACACGGATCCTCCGCTTCGATGGCAGCGAGGTCGCCGTTGAGGACGTCAAAGAGGGCGATCTTCTTCTGGGTCCTGACGGCGGACCGCGCCGCGCTTTCAACATCGTGAAAGGCAAAGAGCCCCTATTCCGTATCAAGATGGGGGCAGGCTTAGAAGACCTCGTGGTGACCCAGAACCATATTCTGGTTTTGCACAAGGAGAGAGATCATGGTGACGCGTGCAACGGGCCTGAATCTGAGCGCTACGAGACTGTGGAGTTGACGGCTGCTCAATTTGCATCCTTTGACGCGAAAGAGCGGGCTAGGTACCGGGTCTTCAAGTCCACGGGCTTCCAGCTGCCGAGCAGTGACAAGTCTGCTGAACGAAGTGTCCCGCAACTTCACAGCTTCGTTGTTGAGGACGTCATCCTCGAGTCTGAACCAACCGAATGGGCCGGTTTCCGGGTTGACGGCGACCAGCTGTATCTGCGGCATGACCATCTCGTGCTCCACAACAGTGGTTTCGAGGAGAGCATGAAGTTCAAGAAGCTGACCAATGCGCAGCGGTCTGGTTTGAATCAGATTCCCAACCGACGTTTTACCCTCTGGTGGTCTCCGTAAGTTCCCTCCCCTCCCAGCGGAAAATAGCCGCCGAGCCCCTTTTTGCATAGTGTCTGGCCTCTTCCTACAGCAAACTAACACAACTTGATACAGAACCATCAACAGAGCGAACGTCTATGTCGGTTTCCAAGTCCAGCTGGATCTTACCGGTATTTTCCTGCACGGCAAGATCCCGACGTTGAAGATCTCGCTCATTCAGATTTTCCGTGCGCATTTGTGGCAGAAGATCCATGAATCCGTCGTCATGGATCTTTGCCAAGTTTTCGACCAGGAGCTGGAGGCTCTGAGCATCGAGTCGGTGCAAAAGGAGACGATCCATCCTCGAAAGTCGTACAAGATGAACAGCTCATGCGCCGATATCCAGCTGTTTGCGAGCCACAAGTGGAACGTCACCAGGCCCTCACTTCTCTTCGACAACAAGGATGTCATCGAGGCGACCACAACGAACAAATTCTGGATCGACGTCCAACTTCGTTACGGTGACTACGATTCTCACGACATTGAGAGATATGTCAGGGCGAAGTACCTTGACTATACCACAGACAGCATGAGTCTGTATCCTTCCCCGACGGGTCTGATGATCGGCATTGACCTGGCGTACAATCTCTACTCGGCTTACGGGCAGTACTTCCCTGGGCTGAAGATGTTAATCCAGCAGGCCATGGCCAAGATAATGAAGGCGAACCCCGCGCTCTACGTGTTGCGAGAGCGCATTCGAAAAGGCCTGCAGCTCTATGCCTCCGAGAGTAATCAAGAGTTCCTAAACTCACAGAACTACTCGGAGTTGTTCAGCAACCAGACGCAGCTCTTCATCGATGATACCAATGTCTATCGAGTCACGATCCATAAGACTTTTGAAGGCAACCTGACAACAAAGCCGATCAACGGAGCCATCTTCATCTTCAACCCGCGCACTGGTCAACTGTTTTTGAAGATCATTCACACCAGCGTCTGGGCCGGACAGAAGCGTCTTGGCCAGTTGGCGAAGTGGAAGACCGCGGAAGAAGTCGCAGCCCTGATCAGATCGCTCCCTGTTGAGGAGCAGCCGAAACAGCTCATTGTCACCCGGAAAGGCCTGCTTGATCCGCTCGAGGTCAACCTGTTGGATTTCCCCAACATCTCGATCCGCGCTTCGGAGCTGCAGCTTCCTTTCCAGGCTGCCATGAAGGTCGAGAAACTCGGAGACATGATTCTGCGGGCTACTGAGCCCCAAATGGTGCTCTTCAATTTGTACGACGAGTGGTTGAAGAGCATCTCGTCATATACGGCATTCTCTCGCTTGATCCTCATTCTCCGAGCTCTGCACGTCAACCAGGACAAGACGAAGCTCCTGCTACGACCGGACAAGACCGTCATCACACAAGAACACCATATCTGGCCGACCCTGTCCGATGAGGACTGGATCAAGGTTGAAATGCAGCTGCGTGATCTGATCCTCAACGATTACGGGAAGAAGAACAACGTGAATGTGTCGAGTCTGACCACCAGCGAAGTGCGAGATATCATCCTGGGTATGGAGATATCGGCTCCGTCCCTACAGAGGCAGCAAGCCGCCGAAATCGAGAAGCAGCAGCAAGAGCAGCAGCAACTCACGGCGGTTACGACCAGGACACAGAACGTGCACGGGGAGGAGATCATCGTCACCACGACCTCGCAGTTCGAACAGCAGACATTTGCGTCAAAGACGGAGTGGCGAACCCGGGCTATTGCGACGTCCAACCTGCGCACGAGAGCCAACAATATCTACGTGTCGCCCGTAGACAGCGATGTGGACGAGGTCACGTACGTGATGCCCAAGAACATACTCAAGAAGTTTATCACGATCTCGGATCTGCGCGTGCAGGTGGCTGGCTACCTGTACGGTGCGTCGCCAGCGGACAACGATCAGGTCAAGGAAATCAAGTGCATCGTCCTGGTGCCGCAGATTGGTGGGCTGCGCAACGTCCAGCTGCCGCAGCAACTGCCCCAGCACGAGCTGCTTAAGGACATGGAGCCCCTCGGCGTCATCCACACCATGTCGGGCAACGAGCTTCCGTACATGTCTGCCATGGACGTCACGGAGCATGCCAGGCTGGTCGATGCGCACCCGTCGTGGAAGAACGGGAACACGCTGACCGTCACCGTGTCCTTCACCCCAGGAAGCGTCTCCCTCTCGGCTTGGGCGCTCACCCCGCAGGGATACAAGTGGGGCGCCGAGAACAAGGACGTGGGAAGCGACCAGCCCCAGGGGTTCACCACGACTATGGGCGAGAAGCGGCAGCTGCTGCTAAGCGATAAGTTCAGGGGCTTCTTCCTGGTGCCTGAGGGCGGCAAATGGAATTATAGCTTCATGGGAAGCGCCTTTGGAGGGGTGGAGAAGAAACCCATCCATGTCAAACTAGACACGCCAATGCCCTTTTACAGCGACCAGCATCGGCCGATTCATTTCTCGAGTTTCAATGAGTTGGAGGATATCTGGGTTGATAGGCAGGATAACTTTGCCTAGGCAAGCTGCTCGGGGATGGTAAGCTGTTGATGGAACCGGGGAATGGATTCACTCAAGGAAAAGCAAGAGAGGGAAGGAATATTGGGAGGGACGGCACAGGGCATGGGACGCGGCGGGCCCAAGGAAGCAGTCGCTTACGGGAGCAGCTAGCTATAGACTGTGTGATCTGCTCCTGAGGACCTGGGTTGACGGTTAGACATGTTGTGTTGTTGTGTTATTAGGTTGTCTGTACTTCTTTGCAGGGCGTTTTCTCACATGCGTGTTGTACATACATGGAAAGGGGCATGCGTGGTGTGAAGTTTAGCAAGGGGGGTGAAGTGTAACAACTATTTACTACTGCTGGTGATAGTCAGGTTGGGAACAATGACGAAGAACATATGATCGTCATTTGTACTACTACTGGTAGCTTCCGTCTCTGTGACCGGCCGTGATTGTGTCCAGAGTAATTCGTATGTCTGTCAGCAACTCTCAGGTGGGTTAACAGGGCTTATGGCATGTTGAAGTTATGGAAGATGATAGTGACTGCGTATTTGGTTCCCTCAGCTAGCTGTTTGAGGTTTGCTGTTAACTTGGGGAGTGTGATTTCAGGGGTCATCAGCCATCATCCCCTGGGCAAGCCAGAGCAGCTTGAAGGCAGTTTTGCTGACATATTCTCAGCGCCATCCTCGTTCGTTATTGCACGTCTAGTATGAGCAGATAGTACTCTCTATAGAGTGATCCAGATCAGGATGGAGGCGAGGCTATTTTGGCAGGTGAAATTGGAGGAATTGCTTGGTAAGTCGTCAAGAAGCTGTGGCCGGGCGTTCAAGGAGACCCGTCAGAGAAGGGATTTACGCAGCATCTAACACTACAGCCGAGGGGAGTATCGTGACAGAAAGGCCGTAGCACATTCAAGTGTGCTGATTTAGCGCAAGGACATCTACAATGATGCCGGGACGGCGGTGATGGGCCAGGGGTCAGGAGCGAGAGTGGGCTTCCCCAAGCACATAACGCTCCAACCCACACTGCACCCACTACTCTGACTACCGTATTTTGGGCCAGGCAAGTGATATATCCCACCCGAGTTCTCCTGTATATATTGTACATACAGACATACCTTAGCTTGGCAAGGCCGTGCCGAGCTGTACTAACATGTATTGTACAAGTACAGTACATACATAGGCGAGTACCAACAAGTACCCGGTCTCCCTCTCCTGCCCCTGCCCTGAATCGAGAAAAAGCTTGGAGCTGAGAGAACCGATGAGCCGAGAGAAAAATAAAATAAAAATGAAAATGAAAATCCTGGCAGCTTTGCTCTTGCCGCTTGACAACGACAGGATTTCGCGCCCTCACCTAAGATTTGACCTTCACCGCCCCGCCGCCCGTTCCTCAAGATTAACTAGTTGTTGAACACCCCTGAGTGTGCGGGCGGACCAATGGTTGCCCGACACGCAAGTACCGTCGCGCGCTCCTGCCTTGACGCCGAACATACAGCAGTGTGGTGTGGTATTGTGTGCGGTGCTTAGTTTGTCCGTTGCTTTCCTCCGCGCTGCTGCGGCTCACCGCTCCTCTGGCCAACCATGGATTGCCCTACTTGCGCTTCCTGCCACCGCCAGGACGGACGGATTAGCTCCGTGGCTGTGGCCGGACTTGGACGCCACTCGGATGGCAGGGCTTTCGGGGGCGGCTCGGGGTCTGTCATTAAGCGGGCGCGCGGGCGTTTGGAGTCTCGGCCTCTCGGCTTCTTCTTGCTCGGTACGAGAAGCCTGTCCAAGCCCGACCATCCGTAAAGGAAAGCCGGTTGCGGGTTTGGTCCGGGCCTAAGCAGGTCTTTGGCGGTGATCAGTGATTTTACCGTGGTGTCATGTCCCTCATATAGCGGTCGTTATATAGCCCCATGTATGGCATCAAACGAGGCATAAGACAGTCCCACTATTGCAGACACCGCAGGATGCCGTCGCTAGCCTGCCCTGCTTTCCCTTCCCCAACCTCCCCTCGCCCCGCCGCGTACCGATAACACCCGCAACCGGTACCGATAGGGTCTTGTGCCTTGGGGGTTGGAACGTGCAACTCTACACGTAGTCATGACGAGAGGAAGCGAGGGTTACCTATGTGTAGAAGAAGTAAGACGCAGGGCCGAAAGCACGAAGGTCATGAGCGCACTCAGTCAGTCTGTCGCTCCCATTCCCAACCGCCCTGGGATGCTGTAATGATGATTGTGCGGGTGATGGAATATCGTTGGATGGACCGAAAGGCGTCGCAAACAAGCTTTGCTCAGGAGGTATGTACAACACAGTACATACCATAGACTCAGCCCACGCGGTAACCGTACGAGGCGAGGAGCTCCAGGTGCACGCGTCGCGACATCGCGATTATTGGACTCAACCTGCCTGTGAAAGCCAGGGCCGCAATCTCGGCATAATGTTGGAATCGAGCTTGACTTTCTCACTGGAGCGTCCGCATGAGCAAAAGGAGCCTTGGCAATATATACGAGACGACAGCACCTTTTGCATGCTCTCAAAGTCCTTCCTCATCTAGGCGCTTCCGCCGAGCTCAGCAATTCCTGCCGTCCCCAACTCCAGCAAGCAGCCTCACTCGATAGGATGGGGATGTAATACTCACTGCTTGCCCCTGTGTGCAGCATCGCGTACCTGATGATCGAGTCGATATGTGTTGCAACGGTCAAGCATGAGGCGGTATATTGGGGTCCAATCTCCGATTGGGCGACCCAACCGCCCGAGGTCACACTGCTGGTCAGCCTATCGGCTCGCTTGTTGAGTTGTCTGCAAGACACCTCGACTACCGTAGATAGGACCATGGCAGAAGGAGTAGATAACCAAGTTGGACGGAGGTTCGGAGTCCTGGTATACAATTTAGTGATGGAGGACACTGAACTAGAGGGGAGTGCAAGTTGGTCATGTTGCCAAGGCCATTCTCGTCAGCGAGTTGGTTGCGAAGCGAAAAGTGTTGGGAGCTGTATCTCGCTTTGGGCATACATAACATTGATCACTGTGGACCATTTGAAGGAGGTGAAGCCGGGTACCTGGATGCCACTGCACAGCAGAGATTTGTGCCCAAGTGTCTTGCGGCGGCAGGAGAGACCGGATCGACCTGGCAGCCTGTCGAAGCGGGAACTGGCGAGTTGCAGTGGAAGTGGCCACCCACCGCACCGCATAATCCCGTAGCTACCGAGAGGTTGCATGACAACGTTGCGCTCCCCCTCCATTGCGCAATTTGTACCGAACATGCAGGGCTCGCTGCTAACCAACCAGCTGCCAGGCAGGGTTAGTGTTGCGCATTTGAGAGGACGCTTGCGCTTGCATCTGCTTGTTTCGTTTATTTGTTTATTGTTTTCATTTCCACTCTTTTTCTATGCATCCCCATCATTCAGATTTGTCGGGGTGAGGGTTTTGGCCAGGATGAATCCAATTCATCGAAGTCAAGTTCAAGTTGGGGTGCATCGGCAATTGCTTCCTTAGCGTTAAAGCGATCTGGATGATAACGTTGAGTCCCACAATACGGAGGCACACCTCTGCACATTGTCCAATACAAGTATTGAGGTACAGTACAGTACCACTGTATGTATCCACACCTACCATCTCAAAGCCAAAGGGACCTCGGGGACCTGCGTAAGTTCTCTCTGGTAGATTATTACATGCCACCTAGATGTAACCCTCCTCACCCCAATCACTGCTTCATGATCGTCTTTGCCTTCGTTCAAGTCAGAGACCGCTTTCTTGCATCACTCCGTCTGATGCACAGTGCTGGATGAAGATCTCTGGTGGCTATGTACTACAAGCCGTCGATCCAGGACCGCTAAGCCACAGTGGCGCTCACAAGACGCCACCATCACGGCTCCCCTTACTTTAGTGTGTACGTTCTAGATCATGGTACTTACAAGGCAGGTTTTTTTATCATGTTGTATTCTAAAAGGGCGTACCAGATGGTTTGAAGTTTCGGGTTTGGGAGACAAGAAGCAGAGGTGCTTCGTATGTACTCCGTATGTAAGGGATAGTAGTCCAATGAATGTTTCAGTTTTAGGGCCGGCCCGACTAAGACTAACCATTGTAACCAACATTACCTTAACAACGCTACAAGCAGCTCCTCCTATATATTGGAAGTGTTTGCAGTTGTTCCGACATGAGAACATGCTGCAAAATAGTAGGGTAGGTATCTAGAAGCGAAAATCGGATTAGATGAAGAGAAGCAAAATAAAACAACATCAGCTACATACAAGTGGTAATACCATGCCGCAACCCAACGTATGGCAACCTTAACTACTTGGAGTTGCAAGCATTTCCCCTGTGAAGTCCCAAATATTTGTATAATCTTGTATTATCCCCGTCCGTTCGCCGAACCCCTTGTCCAACGTCGCTCTTGCGTCCCCCATCCCAATGTTCAATGTATATCGCTCAGAAAATCGGCAGACAAAAAATCATCATCATCACCCGGTCGTGTGTATTGGCGAATATGATAGCGCTGGTGGAGCATAGAGCATTTATCGTTTGTATCATCGTTCCCCCGCCCTTCCCAGAGCCCCCTAAACCGTTCCCCGGCCGCCCACCTCTAGTAGTAGTAATGTCGTAGAAATAGAATCAAAAGTGAACAAGTAACATGCTGTTTGCCGAGGTCCGAACAACAACTTGCCACGGCCGATGAAGGAAACGCACCAAGTCAGGAAGGTAGGTAGGTGGACGGCAGTGTCCGGGTATCTTGATTATTAGGACCGCCGCTTGGTTGTGACTGAAATGAAGGTCAAGTATTAAAGAAAGCAGTGCATGTGGTTATCAATGTGGCAGAGGAAGAAGCAGTCCGAGGAGGGGAGAATAGGTGAAGTGATTAGAGGAATTAGGTAGCTAGTAGTCAAGAGGGGAAAAGATGAAAATGGAATGATGCCGGAAGTTCGAAATGGACAGAGGAGATGGGAGTATAACAAAGCAACTTGCACCCGCCCCCAAACTTGAACTTGAACACAACAACCAAAGCTGTCAGCCAACGACCACCGTACGCCTCGCTGAAACAAAGGGGTATAAGCGGTGTATGGTTTTTGCTCTGTACTCGGCAAACATGAAGTGAATCAGATCTGTCTGGACAGGGTCGAATACTAGTCTTCCAGGGACGCCGTTTATCCAATAAAGGTACTTGAAAAGAGAAAAGTCGGAATGTACAACTTGAGTCGATGTGGTGAGTTGTGTCGCAGTGGGGTAGGTTCCCTACTATTTATTCGTGCACAGGTGATCGGATCTGATTCTTTCGATTCGAACCGTTCGCTGGAGAAGACCATCGTGTCTCGCGTTCGCTTCGTCAGGTTGGAAGCGCACAGTATGACCTGTATGAGTAGTGTAGGGCTTCGTCACCGTTGGAGCTGCGACGGATAGACGGTTCCCGTCCCGGTTCCGCTTGTGTCCCCTGCCGCAGAAGAAGGCCCTGCCGAGGCAGTGGCGATGGCTCCTGGCGGAGGAGACAGCGACTGCTATAAGTTCACGTTCACGTTGACGTCCTCGTTACTGTTGTCATTGTCGTTACTGTTGTTGTTACCGCTGCTGCCCTCGCCCATCATCAACTGCGCCGCCCGCTCACGGCAAGCGGCGGGAGTGAAACCAGTGCCGACCTTGTTGGCGACGATGCGCCATTTTTCGTTCTCATAGTCCTGCAGGGCCGTCCGGAGCTTTTGATCCTGTATTGTTTCGGACAAATCAGCATATATATCCCGTTTCTGGCTGATCGTCGGTGAGTAGGTAGTGTGTGCTTTCCGATCTTGTGCCAGGGAATTGACATAGTGGCAAGGAGTAAAGTAAGGAATCAAGACCGACCGTTTCCTCAGTCCACTGCGTAGTCTTCGCTTTCAGCTTGGTACAGTACCGCACCTGCAGCGTGCCGCTCGACCGTCCCGGGAAGAAATCCGCAATCTGCTTCCAGGTCAAGCTCTTGTTCTCCTTGAGATCAATCAAGAGCTGGTCGTCTTCGGGCGTAAACTTGAGCTTGGGCCCCCGCGGCCGCGGCGCCGGCGCCGGCATCCCGGCCTGCCCCACCACGCTCGGTGCTCCTCCTCCTCCCCCTCCCCCGCCGCTGTCTCGGCGCATCAGCTTGCTGGGCGGACCCGTGTCGGGAAGGCGGTGGTGATGATGTGTCGGCGGCGCCGCCGGTTGCGGTTGAGCATACGCGCTGCCAACGGGTAATGGCGTCTGCTGAGCCATCGACTCCAGCTGGCTCTGATCGAGATCCGTCATCCCCGAGACGGCGAGGTCCAGATCGTCCGGCCGTTGCCGCTTCACCCCCGCCGCCCCAGCCGTGGGGGTATGGGTCGCTGGGGTTAGAGGGGGATAGAGGGGCGACGCGACCACGGCGTGGGGAGACGGTCCGGCGCCAAAGTGTGGCGGCCCGGGATGTGTATGATGTCCCATGTGGCGCGCGGCGCCCGGGTGGTGGTGGTGCCCGGCCAGGTGTGACGGGTCGGTAAGGATTGGATGGGGGTGCGGATGGGCTGCGGGATAGTGCTGCGGCAGGCCATGGTGGTGGGATTGATGCGGAGGCGGCTCGTGTTGTAGGGGGGACGGCCCGGCATGTTGAAGCGAGCCTCGATGATGGTGGTGCTGCGGGTGGTGATGATGCTGGTGCATGTCATAAGCATTCGCAGCAGCCTGGCCCTGCTCGCCCGAATGCGGCTCTTGCGGCGAGTAGTCGACATTGTAATCTGGTCCCACACGGTAGTTGCCCGCCAGCGTGCCTCCAACACATGGGTTCCGCCAGAGCAAGCCGCTCTGGCTGGTCGCCGGAGTCTGAATCGAAAGAATTTGATGGGTCTGGGCCCCGCGGGGCTACTTTGGCGGGTAGGCTGCCGCGTATCGCTCGGTTCGGGGTAGCCAGTCCAGCGGTCCTTTTTCTCCTTTTTCCAAGTCACCTTCCGCCAACTTCGACAGCTGTGCGTAGCTTGGCTCCAGTACTAGCCCGTGTTAGACGAGAGGAAAGACGCATGTGGTGTCGAAGAGACGACGCGGCGGTGGTGATAGTTGGCGGTGATGTATGGCGAGGCTGCTATGGATGTCGGGGGTTTCTTACTCCCAAAGAAAGCAAAGAGTTGGTTCCGAGATGGGTGGGCGAGCAATGATAGAAGCTTAGTGGGCCGTCCTCACCAAGGTCATTGCAGGTGCATGTGTGACTTCCGTTCTTTTGGTAGCGTATCCGGACAGCGGTGGCCGGGATCTGATAATAGTATCCCGAGAGGCCCCCTTGTTCAAATACCTCCCCTTGCTTTGGAAAGAATGCCTTACAGAGACAGCAAAGCAGAGATTTCACTTCGATCCTTGGCAAGAAGCAGCGGGTATAAATGGCATTATATCGTCTGATCTTTGGTACTATGCAACAGAACGAGGGAGATGCGGGTGGCCGGAGCCTGGGGGTGGAAGTAGGTTTTATTACTTGTTGGCCGGGCTTTCCCAAATCCCAGTTCAAAAAGCACATGAGTGATTGCCCAAGTGCGAGACGACAGATGGTTCCTGAGCTGTGCGGAGCCAGAGTCACCTTGACCAACAATGACGGTAGCATAATTTGAGGATCTTATGCCATGGTCTGGCTGCCGGATATAGAAACAGGGACCAGGCCCTCGCTCATGATGCAACGGGTAGGACAGGGGGACGGAGAGCCACCAGAGCTAGGGTCAACGGGAAAACAAATTGTCAAATGCGTGACCCCGGCCGGTTTAAACCGAATCGGGGAGGGTCACCAAGACGGACTGTCCAAACAGAAATGTGGGCTGGAAGATGCATGGAATAATACAAAACATCAAGCCGGATGGAGAGCAGAATGTGAAACAAGCCCTTACCATGCAGCTGGAGAATGGGCATACCTAAGCAGGCAGGTAGCCAGCCTTGGTGGTGCTGTCAGCGCAGCTCCGAGTCTGCCTCTACTGCACGGCAGTTGCCTCGCAAGAGAAGCTTGGTAACGAGCGACCTCTCGCCGCTCCGACCCATACCATCCTCCAGTGGGTAAGGATACGGGACAGCAGTGGCGAGTGCCAAGGATGGGGGCTGGAGAGGCTGGGACGGAGAGGGAGAGGTGTGGGTGTAAGTGGCCCCGAGAAACGGTGTGCAGGAATACTTACTCCGCAGTGCTACCGCCGTTTTGCGCCTTGATAGACGGACTGCCGGGCCAGTCCGGAAGCACGGAGGTACCCCTACAGTACCTTCGTTGATGTAGTGTACAAGCAGGCAGAGAGCTTGGTGTCCTTGTTGTGGTGAAGAGACTTACTGGAATGATGTGGGCGGCAAGTGGAGAAAGTTGGTGGGTTTTGGCTGTTGTGTCCGAAAGAAGGTATAATACCGCCGGGGTGGGCTATATCAGACACGAAAAGAGATCGGTACCCTAGCTCGTTGTAGGGCAAGAAAAGCTGGAGGGGGACCACATGATTAGTTGCCAGATGCCGAACAGGGGAGAACAACGCCCAGCAAATAACTTGACTGTACCATGCGGTCCCCATGTTCTTGGTCCTGTCAAACGACAGCTTGATCCACCATTCTCGAGAATGCTTGATGTAACCCACACCCAGTGTCGAGCATGTGGCCTTCAGCCTGTGACAGGGCGAAGCTGGCAACTACATAATGTAGCCTGATGGTGATTAAGGGTCCAGCAGGTTTAAAACCTACGGGCTCACGGAAGGTGGCAACTTTGCAAACCTGGCGAAGGAGGATGTTAGGAGGTTTAGGGATAATGTGTCCCGTGGATCGAGTTGCCGCTGATAGGCGAAGGTTCCATGGGATAACCAGCGGGTAGGCGGGCATCCGAACCAGACTGGCCGTTGACCAGGTTCGTAGAAAAACAGCAGCTTTGCTGTCATGGCGATCACCGCTGGGGTGAAGTTGGGACCGACTGGGGGAGGAGGAGGAGGAGTGTCTGGGCCGTTTCTCCAATGGCTTCTTTTCTCAAATTGCGGCCATTCCTTTGCCAATGACAGGACAACGGTACCCAGATTTTCGGGTCAGAAGGCGCAGGTCAGCTTGGTGGCCGGCCAGCCGTTCGCCGCGACAAGTGTATGTGATCGAGTGTGTAGTGTATGACTGTATGTGCGCCGGAGAATAGCGTGCACCATGAGAATGTGAGGACAGGGCTTGAAGAGGCTAATCTCGGCCAGACCAAGGGTATCAGGCCCATCTCAATGCTGTGGAGGCTCACCCTGGTCATTTCTCGCCTTTTCGAGCCAGCCCCCACTGCAGTGATAGCGCGTTGACAGCGCGTTGAAGCAGCCAAGACAGCAGTTAGGCTAAGTCAGCGGCGCAATTGCGGGAAGACCAGAGATCAGACGAGGCCAGACCACAAGCTCGCAAAAGCGAAGTCGGAAAAGAGAGAAGGAAGGAATAAGGATTAGCGCAGGTACAGCCTTGGCAAGAAGGCCTCGGCTGCCGTGACGCGGCGCTCTCAATGAGACCATCGAGTTATGGGAAGCTGCGACCGAGCGGTGCATGAAGAAACGTGTTTCATTCGAACCTGGCAATTAAATGATGGATTATGCTTCCGCAAAAGACGTGATTGAGCCTATCTTGTGATTCCAGAAAACTGCAAGGAGCTTCTAGCTCCACGACTAGGGTTGTACAGTACAGGGGCAGCAACCTTGCTGAGCCTCCATGTCAAAGCCGACGACAAGACAACTTCAATCGCGTCCTGTACGTATCCGACCGGGTCTCTGGGGCTGCTTGGGGAATTGGAGACCGCTGATCTTCCTTTCCTGACTGAGAAGAATTGGAGCTGAAGACGAAGTCCATCACCTCCTCCGCACGGGCAGCCAACAGAATTGAGTGCAATACAGATCTCTTTCGGTCCCGACGCGTTGGAAAAGCAAACCGTTCAAGCTGACATGCCTGAACCTATCATCATTCCTTGAAAGCCCATAACTTGTATGTCTGCTATCTCAGCATTGAGTGCAGCTTCCGCCCAGACATTACGCAGGATCTAAAGGTTCGTATCCTAGGGCAGTGGAGAGCGGCGGTCAACCTCGTTCATGCTGAAGTGGAGGAGCCCTCGAAAAACGTTAGCAATCACTAGACCCTGGAGACAAGGCCGCATATGGTGATTAGAACTTCGATGAAATCAACTAAGCACCCGACTCCTCCATACATATCTAACGTGAACTACTCCGTACACGTGTAGAATGTCTACCAGTATACATACTATGTATAGATTTGTCAACGGGGGTGCATACCTGATGGGGCCTTTCGTATACGGAGTGCGTACGGCATTACCGCCGCAAGGCGAGACAGGGAATGCGGAAAATACGGAAGATACGGAGCCGGCGTGGTAGAGGGTTGGGGAAGAAAACAAGAGGTAATGTTGCGATGCTAACTCTAGCGGGATGGGCTTCGGTCCAGCTTCCGAGACTCCTGATCAGCGTTTTGGTTTTGACTCGGCCGGGGGGAGAAAGGGTGGGGAATTCCTGTGCGACATCACTCCAGATCGGGCTTGCCGTTGCCAAGGGGGCTAGCCTCCCGAGACATGGCTGGGAATTTGACCACGTTCGATGTTCCATCAGGAAGGGGAAAAAGCTCAAAATGGGAAACAGGCAGCAAAAGTCTTGACTCCATTTTGAAAGCTTGAACCAACCAAACCCACCCGGAGATTTGACAGATTCATGCAAACAGCCACTTGCATCCTGCGAACGCCCGGCCAAAGCTTCCAACTAGCAGATGACGTTACGGTAACTAGAAAAAGGTCCGCTCAATAGTTAGGAATAGGACTGCAAATTTCATGCTGAGAATGGAGCTGTCGATACTTTTCCTGTTCAAGGGAGCTTGGCGCCTGTCTTCGAGATTCGAGAAGCACCAACACTCATGCGACTGCCTGGGGCCCTAGGCTTACTGCAGCCTCTCTCCGCTGACCTCCGACGCCCAATGCTCGAGAAGGCCTTTTAGTCCAAGACGAAGCCCAGCTCGACCGCCCGGAAAAGGAAGCTGGGCTGGCCGAACGCATGAACGCATTGTGTGCAATTTCTGGTGATCATCAGCTCCCAACTGCTGAATCATACCTGACCTATCCCGCAATGACCCAAGCAATGTCAGCCGCGCACTCCTCGGCTCGAGCCGCGCGCGTCTCGGTTCCCAACTCTTTGGTTGTCCCCGTGCGATCACCCTCGTCCCGGCAGGACCTGCATCTCCTGTTTCCCAAGTCTTTGGAGAGCAGGAGCTCACATTATCACATTGGCGACCGGAGCAGCTAACTGGTACTTCCAGTGTAAGAGGAACGGGCGATTGGCAGAATGTCAACCTGGAATTTGGCTAAGTACTTTTATTCTGGGCTTCAACCAATGCCACAGCCTGCTGCATCAGGACCATTTACATGTAACTTCGATCTACATACGGATACTGAGTCAGTGGTTGTGTGGCCACCTAACTGAGCCTGGCCGTTCTAATTACGCTTTTGGGAACGTAGCGAAAATAATAAGTCTGTGGTTGCGACTGGACCTCATTGTGCTCGATGACAGTGAGTGAAGCTATCCGGGTGATTGTGACTTCTCGCTTTCAAAGGAACATGGAAGATCTCTCCAACTGTCCTCTGGTAGGTACTGTACTGTATTGTACCTCGTATTACGGAGCATTCGGAAGTGTATCCGTACCGTTGTATTTTGCTGTACAGTACGGAGTACAGAAAATTCTTACCTTGAGCTTCTGCACGAGCTGCGAGCACGATTGAAGATTATTAATCGCAGCAGTTACAGTCACGTGAGCTCGTGCCTAAACGCCACTTGATGGATCGCGACTTCCGTCGATGCGTCATCGAAGGCAACCTTGTTCACGGTTTTGAGAGTTTTGCTTCCATTCAATACAATCTTAGACTCACATCTCGTTCCTGATTGCTTTGTCAACTCGGATTCGAGAAAACCAATGCAGATAGTTCCTCTCCCTATCTATAATGTCGCATCAATAAGTCTTATTGCTGGCTTATTCGCTCCTGGTGCATTTGGTCTGCGCTCTCGCTGGACTCGCCGTTGACCCCATTTCTCTCCTCTACCGTTGCGCAGCGGAATGACTTCCTTACCCCAGCGGCCCGCCATGCCCGTCGCACCGGTGGATGCAGATATATCCGCAGAGCGCACGCAACAAGGCGACAATTTGACTCAGGAAGACGATGCTGCTCCCATACCAGGTGCCGACGAGGCAGCAGCAGACCTTGATGAGGAGGCTGCGCTCAAGATCCTGACTGAAAATGTCCGAGATCAAGATGATCTCGAACGTGATATCACTCTCCAAGCAAACCGCGCCTTGATTGAGGCCGAAGACAAGCGAGACCAGAAGCGTATTGAAAAGGCCGAACAGTTAAAATCACGGCTCGAAAACCAGCACAAAACTCAGCTGCACAAGCTCAACTCCAGCCATGGAAACCCCACTACCAAACTACGGATACAACGAGAACTCGCGCGCATAGAGGCAGAGATCGAGATTTGCGATAAGGACATTGCCGATTTCACCGCTCGCATTGAGCAGCGGAACCGTCAGGGCGATGCCGACGCTCTGCCCTCGACTGCCGGTGGCAAACTGCCCAACGAGACACAGCGTGACTACCTCATCAGAACAGGGAAGATTACCCCTTTTGCGACATTTGGCGGTCCTAGACCCGACGACGTCCAAGGAGAACTCGCTGAAGCCATCATTGATGCCGAGGAAGAGGCCATCGCCGAAGAGTTAGAGCAGAAGGTTGGCGATGGCCCTCGCTCGCACCAGAACCTCAGACTTCCTGGTTTTGCTGAGGACGAGTCGTATACTTCGGCCATCGAGTCCGAGTTTTCTCTGCGGCCGCGCAAGAAACGCAGGGTGCAAGCTGCTGCTGCTTCTGACGATGAGTTCACCCCGGCAGAGTCCGCCTCGGAAGCGGCCACTCCCGAATCCTATGCTTCTGACGATTTTGACATGACCGATCTCACTCCTAAACGGAGACGGGCCAAGACTGTCGTTGAGGAGAGCGATGATAAGGTCGATCTGAGCAATATTGACGACGGCAATGAGGCCGTGTATCAGAGGAGACTGAAAGATTGGGTCGACAGAAGGAGTCGAGCAAGACGCCATCACCGGGAAAAGCTAGGTCTGCCGCTTGATGATGATAGGGGAGATGAAGAGGAGTGGTTTAAGCCATGTCCCGATCAGCCAGATCATGAGTTTGAGAACGGACTCAAACTACCAGGCGACATCTACCCGGCTCTCTTTGACTACCAAAAGACTGGTGTGCAGTGGCTGGCAGAGTTGTATGCCCAGCGTGTCGGCGGCATTATCGGCGATGAAATGGGCTTAGGGAAAACAGGTTTGTCCTGCGTTCCCGTCCTCTGAGTCCCGTGTTTCCAGATGCGAGAAACTCATCTCTTTTATAGTCCAGCTTATATCATTTGTCGCCGCTCTGCATTACAGCAAAATGCTCGACAAGCCCGTCATTGTGGTCGCCCCCGCCACCGTCCTGCGCCAGTGGGTAAATGAGTTCCATCGCTGGTGGCCCCCGTTTCGCGTCTCTATTCTGCACTCATCTGGGAGCGGCATGTTCAATGTCCGTGACGAGGGCGAGATTGAGGACCACGTGGAGGATTGGGATAAGAAGCAGCGACCCAGCAAGTCCACCAAAGCGGCCAAGCGGATTGTGGACCGCGTGGTCAAGCATGGCCATGTTCTCGTCACCACATATGCTGGCCTCCAGACCTACGGCGACGTCCTAATTCCCGTTGACTGGGGTTACGCCGTCCTCGATGAAGGCCACAAGATCCGGAATCCGAACACTGCCGTTACGATATACTGCAAAGAGCTCCGCACGCCTAACCGGGTTATCCTGTCCGGCACTCCTATGCAGAACAATCTGACGGAGCTGTGGTCCTTGTTTGACTTCATCTATCCCATGCGGTTGGGTACACTGGTCTCTTTCCGCAGCCAGTTTGAGATCCCAATCAGGCTGGGAGGGTATGCCAATGCCACGAATCTCCAGATTATGACGGCACAGAAATGTGCCGAAACCCTCAAGGAGACTATCAGCCCGTACCTCCTCCAGCGCTTCAAGGTAGATGTCGCTGCCGACCTCCCAAAGAAGAGCGAGCAGGTGCTCTTTTGCAAGTTGTCCAAATTGCAGCGGGATGCATATGAGTCGTTTCTCATATCTAACGACATGGCGTCGATCCTCAACGGCAAACGTCAGTCTTTGTATGGCATTGACATTCTTCGCAAGATCTGCAATCATCCCGATCTGCTGGATCCCAGGCTCAAGAATAAACCCGGCTACACATGGGGTAGCGCGAGCAAGTCTGGCAAAATGGCGGTTGTCAAGTCACTGCTACCCATGTGGAAACGCTTGGGACACAAGACACTGCTTTTCTGCCAGGGTGTTCAGATGCTGGACATTATCGAAGCCTTTGTCAGGCGTCTGGATAATATCAAGTACCTCCGCATGGACGGCAAGACTCCCGTCAAGCAGCGGCAGGCTCTCGTCGACCAGTTCAACAAAGACGCAGAGATTGATATCTTCTTGCTGACAACAAAGGTGGGCGGGTTGGGCTTGAATTTGACATCAGCCAACCGAGTCATCATCTTCGACCCGGATTGGAACCCGTCCACCGACGTGCAGGCGCGAGAACGAGCCTGGAGACTCGGTCAGAAGCGGGAAGTTACGATCTACCGGTTGATGACGGCGGGAACCATAGAAGAGAAGATCTATCACCGTCAAATATTCAAGCAGTTTCTGTCCAATAAGGTGCTGAAGGATCCAAAACAGCGGGCCTCATTCAACCTCCACGACTTGCACGATCTGTTCAGCCTCAGTTCTTATGAAGACGGGGTGACGGAAACCAGTGAGATGTTCAAAGGCAGCGATGCCGATCCTACGAAGAAGTCTGCAGGACCAAAGGAGCTCATCCTGCCTGGAAACGACGTCGTACCCCCGCGGCCCACGCAAAGCGGAATCGCAGCCAAGACCGAACCTGTCGGCAGCACGGACGAGAAAGAGGCGGACGACCTCCGCAACGTTGAAGGCGTGGCAGGACTGGAGGAATACAGGGACAATTCTGGTGCGCCGGCCACGAACGAAGAGGACCGGATCATGGAGGGCATTTTTGCGCGGGCTGGCGTCCACAGCACATTAGAGCACGAGGAGATTATCAACGGCAAGAAAGCAGTTAGGGCAGATCCCAAGCTGCTCCAGCAGGAGGCCAACCGTATCGCCGCACAGGCCGCCCTTAGTCTCCGGCGCGCAGGCGAGCAAGCGCGCAACGTCCCGATTGGTACCGTGACCTGGACCGGTGAAGTTGGGGAGGCTGGGCGGCCGACCAATGTCCGTCGTGGGATGCATGGCGGGCCGAGCTCGGCCGGCATATTGGCTGGTGTTGCGGCGCGACAGGGTCTCAACTCCTCAGGGAGCGGGGGTAGTCCGAGATCGAGATCGGGGACGCCTGGCGGTGGGCTACGGGACACGAATCTAAGGGCTAAAGATTTTGAGAGGATGATTCCAGAGTTTATCAGGCGGCATGGCGGGAAAGTGCCGTCCAAACTGCTGGTGGATCACTTCAACCAGTACTGCACCGGCCCCAGACAGGCGGACGAGTTCAAGGCGGCGCTGGGCAAGGTGGCCAAGATGGAGAAGCCGGGGTCGAGCATGCGCGCGGTGTGGAAGCTCAAGCCTCAGTATCAGTGATGGCTCACTACTCGTGACGCACGGTTCACCACGAGAGGAGTTTGTCCAATGGTTAGCTGATGCCCAAGGGATGTCGAACTAGACGCATTGTGCTTCGCAGTTCAAACTATACTATATAGACAGCCATGATTTGATGGATAGATGATAATGAAGTCGAATCCATGGATACTACCAAGTGTTGTAGATGAATTACTCTGTGTCCTCAGAGATCCAGTGAGCCAACTCGAGTAGTACTTATCCAAGTGCCCGGGTTTAACAAGCCGCGCGGTAGTTGAAAACGGCAATGGGGCCGGGGCGATTGATAATGGCTTACGAGAAGTGCCGGGCCAATCAATGTGGAGACGTTCCCAAGCACAGGGTAAGTATGCTTGCTGTAAGGCAACGCGATGGAATGGCATGCTTTCTGAACGGAGAGGGGGCCGGAGTTGTGGTGACTGAGCTCGACCGAACCTTATTTGTATGTAATGTATACCCTCTCTCCGACTCTTGGACGCTGTTTTGTCCCTCAGCCTTAACCTCAGCTCACTCACTCACTCATTCATGCATTCACCATCATCAAAGACTGCCCGCCGCTCACACTCTGGAGGATTTGTAGAAGGCAGTGAGTCGCAGCAGCTTGTTTACTATAACTCACCAGTCTCAAAAGCCAAGTCAGGCCGCGTGTTGTGGTGGTGGAAACTAGTGAGGACGTGTGTGCAGCCCCTGTAAAGAACAGTGCCGTCTCTGGGGTGCCAGCCGCAGGGGACCACAATAGGGACAAAGCGGACAGCAGCAGCAGCAGCAGCAGCAGCAGCAGTCCGAACAGGGTCATGACCATGCCAGTGGACGACATCGGGTCCGGATCCGTTTCCGGTCAAGGTTCCGGCCCCGTGTGCTCTCCCAACCCTGGTCCGGGCCCGAGTCCGAGGACCCAGCAGAAACCGGAGCCCGAGCCGGCACGGCAATCGGAGCCGAAGCAAGAAGAAGAAACACTACCGCCTCTCACTCCGCAGGAATTCCGCATTTACAACCGCCTCGCTGAAACAATGGAGTACTTTGTATGTACCGGCAGCCCCTTTTCGCCTGACATTCCATCTCATCATCATTATTTTTATCCCCTCTTCCTTCCGTTTTGTTTTTCTTTTCACTCTTTGCCTTCTTCCGTTTCCATTTCCCCATCGTCAACCACACCCTTTCTTCGTATCCAACCCTCCCCCCAACCCCTTTACCCCAACCTCTCAGCCAACCCAAACCAAAAGATACTATCCATATCCACCCACATGTTATGACATACACATATACCACCCATATCACGATATACCAACACCACCACCTGCTAACCATGTACCACACAACAACAACAACAGCACGACCACTTCCGCCAAACCTGGACCCTCCTCTACGAGGCCTGCGCCCGCAACCAGCGGCCCCCTCACCTCTCTCTCAGACAGTTCCTCGACGAAGGGCTGAGCCTGGTCCGCTATCTCACCACGCACCACACCATTGAGGAAACGCACCTGTACCCGATCCTGGCGTGCAAAATGCCCGAGTTCCGCGCCGCTACTGCACGTTCACATTCACATTCACACCACCATCACCATCACAACGGCCCAATATCTGGCCAACAGTCGGCGGGAGAAGGTGATGATGGCAACGACTGTGAGCTGATAGTGCAGCACCGGCTGATCCACGCGGGCATGGACGAGTTCGAAGCCTACCTGCGGCGATGCAAGACGGGCGAGTGCGAGCTGTCGCTGTCGGTGCTCAAGGAGAAGATGGATTCATGGGGCGAGGTGCTGCTCAGGCATCTCGACCAGGAAGTGGAGGCGCTGAGTGCCGAGAGGATGAGGCGGTACTGGACTGTGTCTGAGATGAGGGCTATTCCCATCTGATTTGGTCCGTTGGTTCTTTCCCTCACGAGTCAGAAGGGCTAGGCTGCAGATATCATTGTGATGCTAGTGTTCTTCATTGTTAGGACTGCAGTTTCGCGGCCGTTGCTAACTCTACACAATATCATGGTACTCTACACAGGCAAATTCGCCAAAGCCTGCCGGATATCCAGCCTCCACCTCCCCAGATGCGCTTAGGGTATCATGCCTCAAATACGATACAAGTAAAGGAAATCAGGAGCCGCTGTGGAACCACCATCGGTTCAAACATGGGTTCAATGAGCGTATGTTCTTCCGACGCTCAAAGTGCCCGAGACTGGTTGTTCATGTAACTCAGGAAGAATATATTATCGGCAATGCGGGGTCGTCCAAGTATCGAGTGTGACTCCGGCTATTGTCAGACAGTGATGAGGTGTGCATCAATGATGGAGATGCTGGACTCAACTGGCCCCTTTCCTAGGCAGATATCGATGACTGCGACGGCGCCAGGATAATGCTCTTTGTCCCGAATGTCATCCTTGGCAGCACCGTCGTCGGCAAGAAGGGGGTGTTTCTCTTCGTCTTCGTCAGGCGACGGGGTGTTGCAACCCATTGTATCGTGCGAGACCTCAACAGCGAGGATGTTCTCGCCATCAGGAATGGAGGGGTTGGCATTTAGAATACCGATCTTGGGAGTCTTGTCGCCCAATACATCTTTGTTCAGACGTATCGCCAACCTGCTGGACGTTGTGCGCGGCTCACCCGTTCCGTTGATAGGACCGACGAGTCGCCGCGGAATGGTAAGCTTTCTGTGGGCGTCCCTAGGAGTCGAGGGCACCGTGCCGGCGCCTGGATCGGGGAGTTCGCGTGCCGAGGTCTCTTCAACCCTTGTCAGGTAGTTTTGGGGCTGGTCATGGTTAGGCAAGGGCTTTTGATAAGGGAGGGGCCGTCTGGATTCTTACTAGGGGAACCGGCCGATATCCAAGATTCTTGACCACATCAGCATCGCAATACGGCCTGGAGCCCATGTGGCCAAAGGAAAAGCTGACTGCAACGGTTGGTAGTATGTCCCCGCTCAGAATGCTGTTCAGGCTGAGGTAGGATTTATCTCTACCGAACTTGTGACAACGAGCACAGAGTTTGCGCCGGCATTCAAATTTCGGATCCGGTACCCACGGTATCTTGTCAGAAGGGTATTTACGCCTGGCATAGGGGAAATTGGGATGATCGGTGCGACACCGTTCGTCAGCTATCGCCTTGTGGACCTTGGGAGAGTGTGAGTACGACGAAGCAGTGAGAGATCGGGGGAGCAACGCACATTCTCACGCTGCGAAAGCAGCACACTGAGCTGTTGGGGAGTGTATGAGCACAGCTGCTCCTCAGACATTTCCTTGAGTAGGCTGTATTTCTCGCTGCGTGCGTCTGCGCCGAACTTGCCGAGGGTCATCTCCTCGACGAATTTGTGCCCAATGTCATCGAAAGCAACCTTTCATCGTAATCAGCATGATGCTACTGTAGTCGAACGTTGCCGACTTACCTCGAAGCCCTTGTTCTTCGCAAAGAGGAGAAGCGGATCTCTGTCGATGGTGCAGCGGTAGAGGAACCCGAACGGGGGCCATCGATGGCAGGATTCGCACCTGTACTCCTCTTGATATAGACTTGTCATCGTGGAGTGGTTGCACACCGGCTGCCAGACATAATCTGGACAGAACCTAGACAACGGGATAGGCAGGTCGCGGCTGGGCTGCGGATTGTCTGAATCGCTCGGCTTGTAGGCTTCAGATATGTGACTCTGCCGGGCACCAGCTACGCCTAGGCTTGCGGTAACCATTCCGCCCTGTGTCCAACTGTCCATCGATACTTTAAGGCAGTGCCTTGCATAACCTACTGAGGAAGAGTCGTGCCAGCGAGGATAGAGGTGATAGTCTCGTCGAAAACGGCACAAGTGCCTCGTTTTCGTGGAGGTGGGATGGACACTAAGAGAAGGAGTGAAATGCGTAAAACACGCGACTGGAAAGGACTGGGAAAACTGATAATCATGTGTACGCGAGTGAATCGCGTCAAGTTTTAAGAAGGGCTGCTAATTCGAGAAGTTCAGCCAAACATCGTTTGGGCAAGGGAAAGAAGGCAACCGCAGGAGGTCCGGTGCAGTACTGTGAACAAGCCCTTTGCTTTCATCGCAACTTCCTTAGGCGAAAACCATAATTCAGACAACAAACCACATTCTGCCATTTCATGTCTGACCTGACTTTTTCGATCCTATGGGCCAGGGAGGATTGACTACCTTGATATCATCAGATCAAATCCCGGTGAACCAGAACCTCACATCGTCAGCAGAACCGCCGCTTTTCGGATCTCGCGAAAGAGATCAACTCCATTGTTCTGTAATTCACGCTCGCATGCCACACGACAAGGAACCACCTGGAAAAGGCAGCGCATCGTGCCTCTAAGATCGAAGACGGCTCTCACAGCCGTCGAGTCGACGTCGCAGACAAGACATGCGGCTCAAAATTTAGCCTCATCGGGAGGAATCCAGGAACCGAAGCCGACTTTCAAGGCAGCCCTGATCGTGCTACTGTAACAGGCACGCCACACATTCAGAAAGCGCAATGAGAAAGTTTTGCGGACCCGAATCCCTTCACCGGTCTCTCGCATTGGACATCATCGTGGTGGGCAGATGAGTGGTCGAGAAGCTCAGGCGGAAACCACGGACAGGGGTTTCAATTGGCAGGGGTTGGTGAGCTGTCGGTTTCTCAGCAGCGACGGGGCAGGTCTGGGGGGAAAACAAAGCCTCGGCCATTCGGACGGGCTGGCCAATCAGCAGTGTTTGCTGTGGCCTGCATTCAGGTCTCCACAACACTCGCTCCCCCAGGGCAGAGCGATCCCCCAGCCGCGCGACACCCACGGGCGACAGGGGGAGCTCAGCACCCCCATCCAAAAAACCAACCTCCCCAATCCACTTTGGCCCGATGTCCCGACCGCAACAAGCCAAGGTTTCGCGAACGCAGCTTTGAACCTGTCACCTCCCCGGCCTCCTCCTCATCAATCAATCGTAAGTCAATGCTCTTTCCTCTGTTCTGTGACTATCCAAGCGCATTGAACCACCGTCTCGACGCGCCGTTTTTGCTCTTCCACGGCCGTTCCATTGTGGACCTAAGCCCGACTCTCCCCCTCCAGAACCGGACATTTGCTCCGCTGTAAACAAAGCGTTGGCCCGGCGCAACCAAGGCGTTCAAAATCATTTGCCCGCCGCAGACAAGGCCAAAGAATCGTGCGATCGACTAATCAGGCTTTCATCTTACTTTCAGATTTCGTACACCGCTGCATGACGATTTTGACCTTCACGAGCCATGTCGCTTAAGATAGAGCGGGACACAGTCAAGGAGACCGTCAACAAGGGCGGTCTCGTTGGCTCCGCCGCAGTCGCCGTGGCCGAGGCCGCCACCGGCAACCTTCCGGGCACCAGCGGCAAGCACCCTGTCGCTGCCGTCGTCGGCACCGCCCTCACCGGCGGCAGACAAAATGCGGGCACCAAGGGTTATCTCGCGGTACGTTTGTCGCGCACACACCTCAGGCGTTTTGGTCAGCCTGCGACTGACATCTTCGTGTGCTTCTTCTCTAGGCCTACCTCCGACAATTAGAGGAGCATCCCTTGCGGACCAAGATGCTCACGGCCGGTACTCTGGCTGGCGCTCAGGAGCTGATGGCGTCGTGGTTGGCCAAGGACCGAAACAAGCACGGCAACTACTTCACATCGCGCGTACCCAAGATGGCGGCTTACGGCGCCCTCGTCAGCGCCCCTCTGGGCCATTTCCTCATCTGGCTCCTGCAAAAGGCCTTCAGCGGGCGGACTAGCTTGCGGGCCAAGATTCTCCAGATTCTCGTCAGCAACTTGATTGTACGTTTGCTGCCCCCCCCTTTCCCTCCCGCCATAACATGTCTTTCCGCGCTGAACTAACTATCTGTCACATCACAGATCGCGCCCATCCAAAACACCGTCTACCTCATCGCCATGGCGCTCATCGCCGGCGCCAAGACGTTCCACCAGGTCCGGGCCACGGTGCGCGTTGGTTTCTGGAAGGTGATGCGCGTCAGCTGGATCACGTCGCCCATCTGCCTCGCCTTCGCCCAAAAGTTCCTCCCCGAAAACACGTGGGTGCCCTTCTTCAACCTCGTCTCCTTCGTCATCGGCACCTACATCAATACCGTCACCAAGAAGAAGCGCCTCTCGGCCCTGCGCAAGAAGCACTTTGGCGACTCGGGCCGCACCCCCGGCGGCTCCACCATCGGCCCCCGCCCCGACGACTACCCGCCCCTCGGACCTAACCCTCAGTACTAAGCCCGGGCCCGGTTTAGGGGGGATTGAGGTAGAGTAGAGCGGTGCTTGGAGTGTTGAGGAATGGGCGATGGGGTCACGGCGATGATGGATAGCGCCCACTACTTCCTGGGGACGATATGGTGAAGAAGGATACGTGTGTGAACAAGGATTACTGTTATGACGGAATGTGATGCAATGGGGGGCGCAGCTCCTCCGAGGGAGTTTTGGTGGGGAGGGATACCTGTATATTTCTGTCATGTTTTAACGTCCAATGTCGCGCTCACTCTTGCGATGATGGATAGATGAATGTTAGTTGGGATACCTCGTGCCTCTGTCGACCCTCGTACCATGGAGAAGCTTAGAACGTCATGTTATGTACAAGACGCCAGGCGCAAAAACTAACAGAACCCCCTCCTGAATGGCCAGTGGCTAATCGAAGGAGTATCTCGCTGCGTGCTCGGTGCGATGTACTTCGTACGCAGCGTACACCTCCAGGGTCTTTGCCTTCAGCCCTCCAAACCTCTCACTATCCTCAGTTATGTCATGACATTCAAAGGCGATAGTAACCGTCTGAACGAGATTACCCAGGAGCCCAGGCAAGCTAGGCTGCAAGGCTGAGTCCCGCAGCGGTTACCCGCATGCCGGCCTTTGACCGCATGCCGTCTGCGGTGAGTTCTCTTGGGAGACATGGCCAGCCAGCGACGACGGCCGTGGCATCAGTGATGGAAATATCTAAGCGTGCGATGTCAGCCTGCACCTCAAGCGCTCACTCATCTTACAAATCTCACTTCGTAATCGCTTACCGTCACCTAGGCGCTGTCCTGGATGCTTTCTTCCGATAAGGACCAAGACAAGGAGGGCCATCTTGCCAGCCTTGTCCTGCCTTACCGATTCGGGTCGAACGGGCATTCAGGCAACGCTTCGGAGCAAGCATTCCGTCCTCTCTTCCTTCAACTCGGCGTTTCCCCGCCAAAATGCTGCTGGTCCTCATCGAGCATGAATCCCGGGCTCCAGTACTCCCACTCGTCGCCGCTCTGCTTGTCGACCCAGAGCATGCCCTCACCGACCAAATCCTCGATGGCCGTCTGCGCCCTGGCGCGGGCCCACCGGAGGTTGACCATGAGCATCGACACGCTGACATAGCCAAGCACCTGGGCCGCCTCAAGCACGGCGCTCTGGTCCGTGTTAAGCTCCTTGGGCACCGACCGGATGTAGGGCTTGCTGCCGACCCGGATGATCGAGTAGGCCGAGCCGAGCGGCTTGAGCGTGCCCACGGCGCGGAGTATGTCGTCTCTGCCGGCATCAAGCACATTATCACAGTTAGAAAAGGAAGAGAAGAAACATATGCATGCTTTCAGACCAGAGGTATATGACTTGGGTGTAAAATGGTACACTCACTCAGTAATCTCAGACGCACCCTCAACCCGGTTACTCATAATCCTCTCCCGCACCTTGCGCAGCTCAATCAACCCTCCATTCTCGCCCCTGGTCTCGGAACAGACCTCGACGACGCGGACGGCGAGCTCAAAGTAAAAGTCGTTGACGGACCTGCCCAGAAGCTGCGCCCAGATCGAACCGCCCCCTTTTCCCTCCCCCCCACCAGTACTAGTACTGCTGGCGAGCGGGTCGACGCCAATGGCAGCGCACATGCGCGCAAACTGGGCGCGGAAGGTCGGGTTGGAGCGAATGTCCTTTGCGTGCGTCGCCGCGAACTGGTGCAGCAGCGACCGGAACACGGCCAGCTGCGTCTCGAGCGCCGCCGCGTTGGCTGACCGCAGCGATGAGCCGTGTGATGCGTACTGCGCCGACGTCAGCCGGCTGCGGTCAAAGGCCGCCAGGCCGACGCCTTTGCGGGACATTGTATTTCTCTTTCTCTTAAGAGTGTGTATATAATTAGTTGCGTGTGTGCTCGCGTGAGTGTATACTAGATAGTGAGTCTGAGAGGGAGACGACAGTTTGTAAGCGATGACGTTGTCTTGAACTGGGAGAGGTTGATCGATGTTCTGTCCTGTGTAAGGTGCTTGAAAGAGGGATTGTGGGGCGATAAGATAAGCTAGCTAGGAGATGTTCCCTCCTTTCAGCCCCTGAACCCCTGAATTCTAGAGGGTGTCAACCCCGTATAAGTACACACCTTAGATAGTCTGATTTTGAACACACTGTAAGCCTGCTCCAACCATGTCAAACCATGACAGTTAGATCTGGCAGCTAGTCAATTCCCACTCTGCAGCGTCAAACCAACTAGCAAGTTCGGAAACTTCAAAATACCTCCCTCGGTCAAAACATGTCAAGTTTGAACGCTTTGGCATATAACAGTGGGCGTGCAGACGGCTCAACACTTCTTACACGGCAGCCCATCGACACATGATACTCATCTAGCCCTCCTCTCTCTCACCGCGACCGACCTTATCCTTCCGGCCCATATACCAACCTCCCCCGCCATCTCTTTCTCAGGCATAGGCTACCATCTCCGCCATACGCTCATCAGCCTTGTCCAATACCCAAGAAGCCACCTCTCAATCTCTGAAACTCACCAAGCCAACCTCACGGCCTTCAGCATCCAGCTCCACAATCACGGGGTACTCATCCTCCTCATCCTCCTCCTCCTCCTCCTCTGCGTCCTCTTCATGGTCGTCACTATTCTCCCCATCATCACCATCATCATCATCCACATCATCCCCAGCTATCCCCGTATTCCCACCACTACCACCACCACCCGCCTCCTCCCCACCACCTCCAGCAGACCCATAAACGCTCAAATCCCAGCCCAGCATATTCAACCACCCCTCGAGCGCAGCAAACGCCCTGCCCACCTCTCCCAACCCCTCTGTGCCCCCCAGCATCGTGGCGCCCAGCCGTTCCAACCCTGATCTGTACCCGGCCAGCGCAGCTTTTAAGCGGGTCCTGCTCCCCGGCAGGCAAAGGTACAGCGACCTGTCCGCGCTAGGGCCCCGGCGAGCAGCACCAGTACCGCGATTAGAAGAGGACATCACAGATGGAGTAGAGGAGGGTTTATTATTATTGGGATCAGTATTAGTATTAGTATCAGTAGATGCTTCGAGGTAGTGCTCGGTGAAGAACAACTGCGCGTGGAGCGTCTGCAGCAGGGCTGCCTGGCCTTCTGGCGGGAGCTGGTGGTGATGATGATGATGATGATGGGGAACAGGCATGGGATCGGGCGGGGGTTGCAGGAGGTGGTTCAGCACGAGCTGCCACCACCGCGCGAGGCACGAGGTATTGCTCAGCAGGGTGCCCGACACAAAGGTGTACTGCAGCTCGGCGAGCAGGGTTGCTTTGTCCGTGTCTTGGGGTGTTTTGGGGTCGTCGTTGCTGGGGGCGGGTTCATTAATAAGGATTGGTGTGTGCGTGTCGAGCGAGTCGATCGGGTATTCAACCCTCTCCCCGCTACCCTTCCCCCCAGGGGCAGTGGTGTGCTTGGTGGCAAAGACCCAGCCGAGAAAGACGGGTGAAATCGCCCACGTCAGGGAATGCCATATCGGCTGGGCGCTGACGGGGTTTAGGGGTGGTTTATGCCCGCCGCGCGTGGGTCGCGAAGTGTAGGGGTGTAGCGTCGGGTAGGCGGACTCGGTCTCGTTCCACTCATGGGCTGATTGAGACTCCAACTGGTAGTCCGACTTTGAGGGCGCGGCCAGCACCTCGTTGTAGCTGTCCCAGTGCTTCACCCGCAGCGTTCCCCTCTTTCCCGTCACGAACCAGTATCCGCAGCGCAAAACACTGCCCGGCTGCTGGACCCAAAGGAAATGAGGCCCCTGGGGTATATCGCGGAATCCGCGGAAGCACTTGTTGGTCGTCAGGGCAATGTCGTCCAGCCCGACAATGAAGTCGTCGGGCAAGTCGAGCAGCTCGAATACATCTCCCTTCTCGAACCAGGCAGGTGCGGCCTGCATCGTGGCGTAGTAGCAGTAACAGTAATGGGATGGTGTGGACTGCGAGCTCGAGAGCCTAAGAACCGTGTCCTTTGCCTTGACAGGTAGATGTGCATGGCCTGATGGTTCTTGTAGGTATCGGGCTCCAAACAAACCCGTAGCAGTTGTGCAATTGGGAATGCTTTACCGATAGCGTGGACCGATTGCAGGAGCCCTAAGGTTGGGAGCTCTCTGTATATCTCGATCTGTTAGAGCTGTTAAGAGGGGTAGTAGAGAGGGCATTTTTACCATAACAAAAATCTGCTTGCACTAACACGGCGACCCAACCAACTCTCGATACGTTGGTCACTATTCGACACGTTTCTCGAAGCTGTCAAGATTGCAGGACCCCTGCAATCACGTAAACCAGGGACCAAGGCTAGAGAGGCTACCTAGCAACCTTCATGAAAATGAACAAGACATCGTTATGGATTCGCATGCAACCATGTTTTGGTGTTTGGACTCTGCACGTTAGACCGTTGCTGCAAGGGATGAGTGAATGCTGCGCAGCTAAAAAAACGAGATGCCGCTGCAACTCGGGGGGCATCACAGTGCCCACCTCGCATGGAAGCCCAGCTGATCCAGCCCCAGATCCTTGACCATACACTAAGCCCAGCAAGGCTGAACCTAAAGAGCCTAAGGTAGGCTCCCGTTCATCTTTTCGTGTATGGAAAAAGACAAATGGACATCTGTCAACAATATTGAGGTACGATGGAGGGAATTGATGCCCACTGGGTCGAGCTCCTGCGCTAGTCCCTCATCTCAACCTCATGAGAAAGGCTATGGGCTATAGCACATCACGTAGCGGAATTTTTCCTGCCGAGAGCATGGAAGGTCAAGATCGGGGCGTTCTTGATAGTAGCAGGTATGTACTGTACGCCTGATCAGGGTATCTTCAAAACAATGGTCTGGTGGTCGCGATCAGGGATAGACACCTCCCTGCCCGGCCTCTGTGCCGCTGCGCGCCCTGGTACAGTCTAACCTGCACATAAGAATCAAGTCGGGAACCCCAATTTTGATTCTTATACCCAGGTTATGCTTACTTCCAGGTACATACATAACCCTAACCCAGGCCAAAAGTTGCCCAAGTCAGGGGTTCACCAAACTTTCGCCCACCTGTATATAAGAATAAACCTGAATTTATATGGGTTACTAAGCAAGATTCGTAAGAATAAGTCCGTTTCCCAGGTTAGTCTTATTTGCCATACAAAATGGCTCGGGAACCCCAATTCTGATTCCTATACCCAGGTTATTCTTATGTCTCGTATTCTTATGTGCAGGTTAGACTGTAATTAGTGACATGGGTACGGTATCCGTACCACTGGACATACGACAACACTCGACTAATGCGACGACGAGGAGGAAGCGCATGTATGCGCTCTGTACACTGCACATATCCAAAAGCGTAAGCATTGTACATACACCTTGATCCAACGAAACGTTGCATATGCACTCTGCTCAATGCAGCAGAGGAGGCTGCGAGCCAAATCTATTGTAGTAGTAAAGAGACATCAGGCCGCAGTTCAGACAGACTCTTGCTGCAACACAGTCTCGATACCAGAGTCGCTCAACTGCTCGTATCAATCTTGTGGGGTCCAGCCCGGGGGCACTTGTCCCACCCTCCTTGGGGTCATAATGACGTTGCTATTGCATGCTGTACGCAAGTGAGCAGTAAGCAGTTGTATGTGTGTGGGTTGCACTTCGTATCTTCATGTACTGTACTTGTATGTCCATAGTTACAATTACGAAGGATGTATAGACAGCCTTCTGCAGCGGGCACCTCAGCATCGTATTTGCATTATAGAACGCATGGAACAAGTCTTTGGCCTGTCAAAACGCATGGCATGGAACAGACAGAAACGGGGATTTTCATTCCGCTTTGACGACATACGTGCAAGCCTAAGATAGCTCCCGCGAATACCCTAGCCTGCTGCGCGTCCTGCTCCCGAAAAGCACCTCCGGTCCCAGGATTCCGTACCCCTGGGCACTGCCTTACCATACTACAGTAACCTTCTATACACTAGTAATATATGTACTACGTATACCTGCTTACGGCACCGTGTGACGAGACCGCCCCTTTCCCCATGTAGTGTAGGGAGGTACCGGCCGGTAACCTGGAAGCGATAATACACTACACTACACTAAGGGACGACTAGCCTAGCCAATACACTAGGTCAGGTAAGTTACGGTATGTTCTTCCCGACAAAAAGTGGTGATGGTGTGGTTACACAAAGCTAAGGTTTAGTGCCCGCGTTGGCAGTTCGGATAAGAATACCTACCGGGAATGATTTGCAGACGGTGCCATCCCGCCATTTGCCCATCTAGCATCCAGAAATAAATAACCAACTTACCCTCAGTACGACCAAAACACCACGTGCCTAAAAGCTTAGCGCTGCCTGTTCGGCCCGGGGCCAATGTTCGACGAGAGGACCCGAGGATGTGGTACCGGTTTTCCTTGCCAACATTGCCCTGCATCTTCCATCGTCATTGGTGTTTATCTTCCGCTTGCGTCGAGAAAGGTCGATGCTCCCGCATCCCCGTCCCTAGTTCTTAGTACCCGACCGAACTGCATCCCGCGAACTGCATCCCGCCTTTCCGAGACACACATCCGGGTGACCATGTCCTACTCTCACTCTTGAGCAATTTGTTCTCAATGCACTGTATTTACGCTTTGCCGCTCCGGCCACAACAGGGGGGCTGGCCTCTCTTTGCCTTGGATTACTTCGCTTTCCCATTACGAGTCTGCTCCGTTTCCTAGACGGACCTCTCCCCGTCTCCAGCTCGTTGCCAACAACCTCTTTCCCCTCTTCCGCGTTAAACCGAACAAAGAATACTCGTGGTAGCCCTAAGTGTAAAAAAAACCTCGTTGCTTACTACTCCGCTTCTCCTCTGTCCACTCTGTCTTCCAAACGCCAGGCCTCCCTGGCCACAACCCCTCCTGCCACCGCCTGAATCAACAAACATGACCACAAGCTCCAACCATGCTGGGCACCATCACCAAATGAATCCTTCCTAGCCACTAACCGCCTCTTCTCCCAGTCCCACGACTGCCTCCAGGTAGACATCGGCAAGCTCCTCGATGCTCCTGCATGGTATTCCCTCCTCTTTTGATAATGCCAGATTTTTAAGAATGCAATTAAGACTGAGAGCATTTCCCAAGGATGATGGTCAGGGGAAAGCGCGAAATGGCAGGCAAGACTCATCAACTCAACTCCCCACCACCACCTTCCACGGTAGCCCGAGCGAAACACCATGATGCAAGCCTCCCCATGCCGGACCATGCAATGCCCAGAAGGTGATGAAAAAAAAGCTGTGAAGCGGGGTGTCATAGAAGGAAATGAAAAAGTAGTGAGAAAAAAAAATAAAAATAAAAATAAAACAACAACCGGGGGACATGGTGAAAATCGGAGATTCGGAATCCGTTTTGAGGGCCGAAATTGAGAGTGAGTTAGGTAGGTGCATTACTGTCGTGATAGGGTGCCTCTATCCCATCGCAGAGCGTCCCAAAATAGTTCGAGTCAAAGGTCGATCCATCCCAATGCCCCCATCGGTTTGCAATGCCCCCATCGGTTTGGTGCCTCGCGTGCAGTGCTCTCATCAGCCGTCTATTCCGAATACAATACAGCCCCGTTCAGCCGCCTCGGCTATTCCCTTCCGCTCGCTCCAGATATCGTAGAGGAGCCCAAGGGAGGCCGGGTACGGGCCTAATGACTGGGTTGGCTACTGCCGTTGTCTGAAACCAGGTTAGGGAATCGACCGGCTGGCGTGGGTGGCCAAGTCCGACTTACGCTGGCCATACATCTGCTGGTTAGGCGGGTACGGCGATGCCGGCGCGTAGTTTGAGTAGCTGTATTCGGGCAACGACTGCTGCATGCCGCCAGGGGGACCCGGAGCATATTGGGTGCTTTGGTACCCGATCGGTGGTAACTGAACAGCACGTTGTGCCGCATACGTGGTTGGCGGTTGAGCTGCATCGGCAGGGGCTTGAGATTCCGTGCCACCGTTTTGCCCGGCAGCTGAGGCGGCCTGGCGCTGACGCTCCTCCTCAGCCTTGCGAGCAGCCTCTTCCTCCTTCTTGCGCGCCTTCCATTCTTTGCGGATTTCCTTGAACTCTAGAGAGGGGTCAATGCGTTAGTCCATGCTCATGCATACAAGCCTGCCCTGCGGGTGGGAAGCTCGCTGGGACCGCGCCAAATAACAGCCGGCGCTTCATGCACGCAGCTTGTTCTTATTCAGCTAACATAACGAACCAGCGACTTTGGACGCAAATAGCGGGGAAGACCCCATGGCTCAGAGCGGACATAGAACCGGTGCGCGATTCGCCTGATATGGGACATTTTGCTCACCTTCTGGAGTCCGTTTTGCCCCGTGAGCCTGCATGGTCACATGAGCATTGAGATGGTTCAGGGTGCCATAAGCTTTCTCGCATCCATTCCAACCGCACTTGTACATGCGCTCAATCTCTTCATATCTTCTCCTCGGCCTCTTGTGCTGCTGAGCGCCGGGAATCGGAACGAACGAGTATACCTAAAGGGAACATCTGGTCAGAATACCGAGCAAAAAGGAGTGCCAAGAAGCAATCGGCAGGAGGGCTAAGGCGACGAGAAGCCAGTCCAAATCGAACCTACCTGATTCGGCCGTCCCTGCGTAGGAGTCTGAGGGAAGACGTGGTGGCTGGGGGTAATGGGAGCTGCGGGCGACCCGGTGTAACTGCCCCAGTCCGGGCGAGGCTGAGCATACAGGCTGCCTCCGGCATGCTGATAGCCGTGGGACATGTCTTGAGGGGGAGGTGCATAGGGCGAGTATTGTCCGTGAGGATAGGTCGGGCTCGCGGTAGCAATGGACGGATCTATAGGTACATTGCTGTCAGACTTGACCTGCCGAGCATCTTGATTACTGCCTTCAGCTGGCAAAGGCAGGGACGGACTTGTTGGTGTTTGCGCCATGGCAGTGCTGGCGCTGTGATTGCTGGCGGAGTGGTATGCACGCTGTATGGGGTGTTCTGGAAAAGAACTGGACCGCGCAGAGCTTGGAAGCCCGCTGTAATCCGAGGTGGGAGTAGCCGAGGCGGAGTAGCTGGCCGATCGCACCTCCTGCTGGCCGCCGTACGACGCAGCAGATGGGTGATCTACAGAAGAGGCCTCAGACTGGGCGTCGCCGACGTTGCTGGGATAGGGCGAAGGCAAACCTGACTGCGAGTACTCGGGGGCACTGCGTTCCATAGAGCGGATTTCCGGGGGTGGGCTTCGGAGGGGGCTAGCGATCGCTCTCCGTTCCTTGCTTCCCGAGGCGGCTGAGAGACGGGGTAGCGTGAGATCCCGGAGCCCGGCTTGGTAGTCGACGGGTGCGAGCGAGACTATCTCGAGCCGACCAAAACCATGCTACTACTGCTTCGACGGGAGGCGATGGACCGTGGACGGCAGTTGAACTAGGCCCTCGTCCAAACTGCTACTATGGGGCAAGCTAGCGTAGCTCGGCCGACCGTGACTCTCGTGCGGGTGATATTTGATGGCTTGGTGTGACGCTCAGGAAAGTCTAGGGAAGGGGGGGGGCCACAACCAGGTTTATAAAGCGGCTGGCCGTGCAACTGGGCTGATTGGCGGAGAAAGATGGCGCGAAAGAAGGGGTGAGGCCCCAAGGTTCGAGTCCCCAAGTGATAGTTATTTCCCCCCAAGAGAGAAACACAAGCCACAACCAGATAGCCAAGCAGCGACTAAACTAGACGGGGTGATTTCGAAAGTTGGGTGGGGAGACTGGGAGGAAATAGCACTAAAATACTAGTGCCACTCGAACCCAGAACGGGCTGGGCCTGCCTGTCGCTAGCGTAGCTGCTGGTCTTGTTGGGGTATCGCGCGGGTCCGTTCTGCGTGCTCCAGCCGGCAGGAAGTGGTGGACTAGTGGTAGCCTGAGGTTTAGGCGACGCTAATGTTGATTCTGAGCGGAGCCGCAGTGATGTCAGGCGAAGGCAGACTAGACTATTCAAGAACCCCGACAGCCAAAGTGTCTCTCTTCCGAGTTGTTTTGTTTCTGATTTCTGCGCGCCCCAGCGCGTGGTCTGGCCTCGGATCGAGTCAAAGCGTGGCGAGCACGAACACAGCGATTCTTCCTAGCACGAAAGTTTCGCGGAGGGAGAATCGAGTTTAGTGCGATATGTACTGAACGGTGGGTTTTATACCAGAGGTGGGGGTGGTGGGCGGAGGGAAATGAGGTGCAAGCAACTGTTTAGGTTCAGGTTGTCACTGCACTCTCTTTTTGCTGCCGGTGCCAGGTCCCAAGGGTTGGAAGAAGGTCCCACCGCCGTGGTTTCCCACACTGATTTGATGAATGAAGAGGGGCTGATTTTTCTCGGTTCCCTTTTTTTCTGCTCTGTCGCTCTCTTCCGTGGGAGAAGTGGAGTCCCTAGCCGTGAAATGGCTGCACAGTCGCAGAAACCCCCGACTGGCACACATGCACGCACTGTGATCCGACTCAAGTCAGTACGAACGCGACGGACGAGGCCGACACGCGCACAAAGGCGCCTTTGGTTAGGTATTGGGCATTTATCTGACTTTCATTCATCACTCAAGACTATTTTCGCATTTCCTTCCGCCTTCATCATACGCACTACTTCTGCCGATCACTAACACCATAGCCAGGCGAGAAGACTCGTCGTGTGACGGAGTGCTTTTATCCTGCAGCGACCTTGACACCTCTGGAGTGTCTGGAGTGTGCGAGTGCAGGGTTCTTCTCAGCTCAACGTGATTATCCAATTGTGAATCGAAGCCGCAGAGCCGGCTTTCCCAGCAGCCCACCAAAGTGGAATTGCCTGCCCGGATGAGCTGTTCCTTGCCCCTTGCTCAGCACGAAAGTACACCATCCCTACCCCACACCAGAGAAAAGCTGCATTATGACTCGCGCGCAAACCCTCACAGGCGCCGCCATGGTGCAGCTGGTATCCTAGGACTACACTCCGTCGGAACGGGATGCGCTCGCTTATACCAGACGACGTGAAGTACCTACAGATGACGTTTTGTGAGCGCCTGTTGTCTTCTGTTGGAAGGGAACCTGCGCAATACCAGGTAACGTTATCTCCAAGATGACGCTCCCAAGCCGCTCAAAAATATCAAGCGAAAGGGGTAAGCAACTCGCCAAAGGTGGCCAATCGCTTCTTTGCTATTGAAGGAAAAAAAGTCCAGAGGTGGCGTCAAGGGGGCGCAACGGGAAAGTGGGTAAAAGGTGGCAAGGAGCAGCGAAATTGAATGGCTGAGACTGCAAATGCCATCAGACGGATGCTGCACTTTGTGGAGTTTCTGCTGGGGCTGGAGCGTGCCTGCTGCAGGGACCGTAAGGTATCACGGTATCGCATAACATTTCCCGGTACTTTCATGGAAGCCAAAGCGGATTGCTGACTTTGGTTCTCTTGATCCATAAGGAGCGCGTACATTTAATGTCGACTGAAGCAGTATAAGAGTTTGCTCAGCGTAACTTGAAGAAACCAGACACGTACTAGGTAGTTGCGTCGTGGCTGAAGGGGGGTCTGGACAAGCTGCGATGTTTCCTTCAACTCAAGTTCTCTGGAGTAAGATCCGGCGGAGGCAGTGGGTCTCACAGTTCTTTGCGCACTGTCGTGTGCAATGATCTACAACACTTTCCCAAGACTGGTTCGATCGTCTCGATGGTTCGCTTGGTTACACAACCTGGAAATCGATACCCTACACGTGTAGTACATGCGTGCAGCGTATGTACGATGTGTGGTTCAGTTCGTGAGAGAAGTGTGATCACTGGTTGGCTGATTCACTATGTATTTACATACACTGGTTTCCAACAGCTAAGGTAGGTAGCATGTCGAGAATGTAATTGCTGGGACTCGCACCTGCACATTAGGACTTGGTTTACTTCTCGTCTATGGAGCGGCGCATGTCGAGTGCACTACACGTCAGCCAGTCCTGTCCGTGATGTAATTGGCCTTCAAGCGTGAAGTTAACCAGGTGTTCTGCGAAGAACCGCGTACTAGCGGCCGTAGAGGAAGAGGCACTAACCGAGGCCAGATGAACCACGGTCATTGGCGAGGCCGGCGATCTGATTCTGTCCGGGACAGAACACGGTCGCTCGGTTCCCCCGGTAGCACGAACTTACAGCATAGCGTATAACCGTGCCTAGTCAGGTTCCTAACAAGATTGGTTGATTTAAGGTTTAGAACCCTCCACGATGCGGCGAGACTAAAATCGGTTTGGCGCTTGAGCTTGGGACACTCGGATCCGAGATCCTGGGGCGTTAGACCAGACTGGAGCCCGGCCGAGAGACGGCGCGTTGCAAAGCTAAACTTGTTGGACGCCGTCGCAAGCTAGTGTACCAATTAGCCCCTAGACGGCTACCCTCCTAGGGACGATCTGGCATTATGATTTTCGACCCAGATGAATGAAGGAACCATCAGCACGGGTCGCAAATGTAATGGTAAGCCCATTGCCGTGTTGTCGCGGCAGGATTTTCTTCAGTTACGGGAGCAAAAAGCACGGCCGGATAGGACAAGGAAGTTGTGATGACTGTGAGTGTCCTTATTGTGGAGATCTGCAGGGAATAAAACATTGAATTCTCACTCACAGCACTTCGTGGATGTCTCAGCGTCTGTCCCTTCAATGCATCTCAAAACCTGCGTAGCAACTTTAGAATAATCTGATGGGCTTGCAAGCTTGGAGCCGACGACTACGTGAAGCGCCAGTGGTAGGAAGGAGTAAGATGACTTCTCCAAGTCACCTCTCTGCTGGACACTTCTGACCAGTTGTGCGAGCGATATTGGGAAGACAAGCAGTCTCGGCAGTCTTGTCCCACTTGGGGAAGGCTGACTCCGAAGCACAAATCTTCGCTTGGTGCGGAGGTATTGTACAAGTACTGTACCAAGACGATCCGCCAAGAACAAAACGCTAGCAAAGTGTTCGTCAAAGCTTCTTCGACCCGAATATCCGGATGCACTAAGCAGGCGGGTGATGTTGTGGTGGGGCACAGTGGCACACGGCGCGGCGCCATCCCTTTGGGGACGCACTACATGTGGCTTGTAGATAGCCTCCTTTATGAAGTGTATGGATTCTACTGAGGCCTTTCATGGAGCACTGCTATACAATGGAACATACTCCGTATAACGAATCATAGACTAACGGTTTGATCACTGAGTTTGAGAAGGTGGCGACCACGGATTTGATCAACTTGCCTTCCTCCATTTCTCTGTGCGAAGGAAACTCGTCGTGCTTCGTGTAGTGACAGACAGGGATGGCAGAAGGACTTGTTCGGTTGGGGCGTCGAGCCAAAGGTCCATCGCTGCTCGGCAGTCCTCTAAGAGGTCAACGGTCCGGGAAGGCTGCGAATGATCACAGAAAGCACACGGCGCAATTTAGCCGTTGTATGTCGGCGACCCTTGTACTACCGATCAACGATGCAGTAGGCTCGCCACGTGTTGCGTGGCATAGCTCGCTCTGGCTCACGTGGATGGATAGGAGACGTGTGGGACATCTCTTATCCTGTGCAACCTGAAAACTACGATGCTGTAATCCCGCGAAGGCAGGGAATGACATGTTTGGGATGCCCTTACATAGCTGACGCCCTGCGGTCCTAAGTTACCGGACATAGCTACAATACGCGCGATGTATTTACATTCGTCCATGGGGCAAGGAAGGAAACTCAAGATAAGACGGCAGGACGGAATCAATACTTGGGAAGATACATGCTTTTGCTCGCCCCTGGTCAGCGGTTGGCGGCAAGTTTTCTATGCAGGTAACAACCGTAGAAGGAAACGGCGGTGAACGGAGCGGGAAGAAGCGACTTACATATGTATGTATATAGAAGCTATCTTTGACCCGGTTGAGCCGCGTGGATTGCTCTTGAGGCGACCGACCGCCTAAGCGGATCTTGCATTACAGGACAAGATACCCTTTGGAGTACTCGCTGTCGGCTCGACAGCTGCACTTCCGGAGTTCTCTCGAGTCTGCAAAAAAACTCCCCGCGCCGGCGCACAGCAGGATGTCTGTCGATGGAAAATAACAAGCCAAGAGTATGAGAAACGCCGAGTCTGATGTCGCGGCTAGACGGTCCGGTACCGTTTTATTGGCACGGTGTCCTCCGAATCGGTAAGGCCAAGCATGCAATAAAGCGCGCTAACTGAAGTGGTCAAGGTGATTACCTCGGTACCCTGAGCGCAATCTGCCCCATGCCGGGCCGATCGCTTTGGGGCAAGGACCAGTGGACCACCCATCACACACTCTGCAGGAGCCACCCTCCACCCACCCCTTCGGTCTGCGTGAAAGTGCTGGCAGCCAGGATGTTGGTGTGCGTTTTCTGCGCCATGGTACCAATTATTGCCCTGGTCACCTCTTTTCCCATCCGGCCATGTCCCTGCGGCTGCAGCATGACAAGTCGCTCTGATAGGGCCGTGAGTCGGCGGTGGTAGTCCGTGACTGAGGACTTTTTCTGCGCATCTTGCACATGACAGGGTGAGCAGGGACATGTTGCGGTGAAGGCTGCTGGAGGTGACAGTCTCATGCGGAATTGGGCCGTTTTATTTCCCGCGGCAGCCGGGGGAAGACGCATGGCGATGGCTGGGAAAATGCCATCCAGCGGACTTCGCCTGACGAACTGCAACCCCGTCTGATATGCAGCTATCTACGGAGTAGGTCTAGCTGAATAGGGGAACCCGAGCGGACAGGTACTGGCGTACATACATCGTACGGTAACATAAGATCAATCTTTGTGGCAACTGCGCTGAGTAAGCGGCGTAGTGTAACGTAAGAATTGTAAACACGAATAGAAATGAAAAGGCCAGCGAATATTTACACGGTTGCTGATTCCTAAACACCAGAGTCTGTTGAAGATTTTCAGAAACTCTTGATAATGCACGGTAACTTTACTTCATCCGAACGGACTAATAAGGTACGTTATGTACAAGGTACTTATGAGGTGGCCGAAACGTTTCGGCGACCAAGGAACGTAGGAAACGATGGCTTCAGCCCAAGCCGTGGGAAGTTGGGAACACAGCACTGCCAAGGAAGGTCTTAGCGCCAGAGCCGCCTTTCATGCTATGATATCGACCTCTTCCAGTCAATAAGAACATCATGGAGGGTATCACATACTACATATCATTAGTCACTTCACACTGGAAGGTTACCGACAACAGAATTAGTTCCGCAGCTTCTAGATGCAGGAGCAGAATCGCACGTGATATAGTTCGGTCTTGTTTCAACAACCAGCAACATCAGCAGTCTCGGCGACCCGGCGTTCCGGGACACAAAGGGCACGATTGTACTACTCCAGGTACACTGCCTACAATCCTGCCGATGTAACTTCCAAATGTTCGGCAACCTGCATGGACTGTACGCATCGAGCGTGTCGGTCGCGTATTCGTATGTTTCTGAGGTGTGCTTCGACATGCTATCTTTGGGTGCGAAGTGACACACCGAAGTGACGCTCGACGCACTGTGATGCAGGGCTCTCTTTTGGGAAGCTTCCCCTCCTCCCTGGGGGTTGAGCGCCGCCCATCTCCTGTGCTGCACTCCGTACCTCCGTAGGATGCTGTCCGGCACCGGGCGGGCAATGGCCCACTACAGCAAAGGGATGTGGGTGCGCATTTTGCAGCTCACGGCAGGTTCCCTTTGTTGGACCTTGACCTGTGGACCGAGCCTGCCCGCTGGGTTCAGGGAAGTTTTACCCTGGTGCAGCTCAAGCGCGGCAAGATGTCTGATTCGCCAGAGCGACCCGTAGGATTATCCATTAGCCCATCAGGCGTCCCCACCACTCGCTTTCTCAGACGGTTTTGGGACATCTGATCCTAAACGTTACCACCTGCGCACTGCCTTTCTGCCTTTCGTTCGGCGGTGGTGATCTGAACTGCAGAAATATTGATGCCGAGTCTCCACCCCTACCACATTGCACATCGAGTGTTTTCCAACGTGAGGGTTCCCTTCCGGGCTCCAGACTCCAATGCCCTTGCGCGGAGGACACCTCTCGATGCGTCGCTGCCTGACCAGTCAAGTCGCC